TAAGTTGGATAAAGAAACACAGAATTGTAATGAGTAAAGACATGTATAATATGCAGAAAATTTAACTTCAGTATATAATAACTAACAAATTATTGAAATGAATCCAACTAACATTTTATACATTTTAAATAAAAACATAACTTATAACAAGCATAATGACATATGAAATACTAATGAGATTTATGTAATTGAGATTTTCCACTGACAATAGTTTGTAGTTGTGGACTAATTTTACTTGTACCAATTATTAAAAGAGATTTAAGATGCTCATCAGTTAATTTAGATCTGTAAACATTTTTTGTGTACTTCATTTTGGAGAAGGTCTTCTCACACAAATAAGTAGTACCAAAAACAGAAAACAGCCCACGAGCAAATTTATGCAAATTATCAAATTGTGTCAGTGGAAGACTCTTATAAAATTCCAACAAAGATGAGTTTTGATATTTGTTCTTAATTATATCACTGCACTGTAGATCAATCATTTCCATTTGAAGTTCCGGGGCTAGGGTTTCAATGTCAGTATCAAAAGGATTCTGAAACATCTTAATTTGATTCGCAATGGCATCAAAGTCCGAGAAACGAGTATCAAAATTTATTTTCAAAGCACTCAAAGTTTCGATTGCAAAATCGATAGGACACTCAGTCTCAGTGGTGTGGATGAATATTTCACATGTTTTAAAATGTAAAAAACATTTTCTTCGTAGTTGTGATTGAAACAGTATCAATTTCTTCCGGAATGATTAGATATTAGTGTATAAATCAGGAAGATGCTGGTTTTCTCCTTGCAATCTCAAATTCAGTTCGTTCACATGTTTTGTCAAATCAACATAAAATGCTAACTTCCACAGCCATGCGTTGTTTTGTAATTCAGTAAGAGGGCGATGCTTTACATTAAAAAAAAAATTCCATCACTGCTCGAAGTTCAAAAAAGTGCTGAAATACTTTTCCACAACTAAGCCAACGTACGGCAGTATGATAAGGTAAGTCATTTTCTCCAATCTCTGCAATAAATTGTCGGTGATTCAGCCCAAAAGATCTGATAAAATTAACAGTTGATATGACTGGTTTCAGAACTTCAGACATATCCAAACATTTTCCGCACAAAGACTGTTGATGAATGATACAATGTAAGACTAATGGTTTTGAACCACCGTCATTTTCTACAGCCTTTGACACAAGAGCGACCACTCCTTTATCTTTCCCACTCATGTTTTTGCCTCCATCAGTTGTAATACATTTCAAGTTTTTCCATCGAAGGTTCTTTTGATTAATGGCCATTTCAACTCCTTTAAAAATATCTGTACCAGTAGTTGTGCCATGAATACTATACATATCAAGAAGTTCTTCATGCACTTCATAGCTTTTATCTACTCCTCGAATATAAATCAACACCTGAGCAGTATCTGACACATCCGTTGACTCATCCAAGGCCAAAGAAAACCACTCAACATGTCCATTTTTGTCGAACAGTTGAGAGGATATATTTTCAGCGATGTTTTCTACCCTTCGAGCCACAGTGTTTGCTGACATACTGACAGTTTTTAATAAATTTACCTTTTCAGGGCACATTTCTTCGGCTACTGCAATTATGCATTCTTTGATCATTTCTCCATCGGTGAATGGTTTTCCACGTTTTGCAATTTCAAGAGCCACACGAAAGCTGGCACGAGTTGCAGCCTCTTGTTCAGTTTTGAGTTTTGTAAATGAAGATTGCTGCGATTTCAATCCGCGCTTCATAGCTTCGAATTTTTCTGTCCGCAAACTTCCTGTATATTTTGAGTAATTTTGAAAATGTTTTGTTTCATAATGACGTTTAATGTTATATTCTTTGAGAACGGCTATGCTTTCATTGCAAATCAAACATAGCGCCTTGTTACTGGACTCAATTACGAAATACTGAATGTTCCACTGATCTTTGAATTTTCTGCATTCACTATCAATTTTTCGCTTCTTTTCCATACTACTAAATCACACACAAAAGCAACAATTCAAATCAAAATACTGTTACAAAGATGTCTTAAACTTAAACACGCACAAACACGTTTTAAGGAGGTACGCACTATTTTATTTCACAACAGTGTCATAGGAACTGACTTGTGGTTGCGCCACTAGCCTTCTTATATATTCCAATTACTGCCATCTAGAAGTGAGTGGAAGACACCAGAACTTTCTCGAACCAACGAGATTATTCTGTACGTGCTATTAGCGCCATCTGTTAGCGATAGAAGGTACTACCTATTTCCGCTTGTGTCCACCAGATGTCGTGTCACGTTACTCCTCATGGCTCGTACTCTACGACTAATCTAGAAATTACAGATAATGACAGGAAAATTAATAATATGCAGTGTTGCCGTTTTGCGGACTTTAGTCCGATTTGCAGCCTTTTTTAAACGTTGCGTACTTTTTCGGACTTTTTTTTTCATCAGTGGACTATTTCACTTTTTACCACCGGCAACAATGATAATATGGTTTTGGCCCTCGGAACTTACTGGAGTAATCAGTATGGCCCTAAGGCTGGAAAGTTTGGAGACCCCTGTATTAGACTATAAGCGTTAGAATTTTTATATTTGTGTTGTATTAAGTGACATGTAAATAGCATGTTTTATGCGTCAATTAATGTTTAATTTGTTAATTTACGTTTTATAATCTTTATAAGTTATTTTTTTATTCAATCCACCACACATTGATCGCCTCATAAGTTACATTTAAATTAAGTGGATATTTTTTTCTTGTTAAATACCACATTAGTTAAAAAAAAAATGCACAACTTTATTATGAATTAGATTGAATATAATGCTTAATAGCATAAGAACCATATGAGGCAACACTGTGCAAAACTAAAACATTATAAACTGAAACCAATAAAACTAAATGGCGGTGATCACACAAAAGTGGAAAGAAAATAAATAAATATTTGATGATCATTATCCAAACATAAGATTATTGAAATATTAATTATTTATGAAGGATATGTTTGCCTTTGATAAGTATAACTAGGTGATAATGATAAGTATAACTGATTTTATGACTAGGATAGGATTTTTGTTCACCATTTTATTCAAAATGGTATCTAAAATTGGGCATGAAAGGTTAAATACTATGCCTAAAATAGAACCATACAGAAATTATTATTATTATTTTTGCATTTTTTGACAGTCAATTACTAAGCTAAAAGTAGAAGAATTTAAGAATTTAATACAAATTTAAAAAACATGTATATAAACTTTTGAAATAAAAAAAAATTTGAAGATAGTAAAAATATTAAAACTTAGACTTTACTTTTGTTTTTGTAGAGAATTTGATTATCATAAATGTTACTTTGAAATAAAAAAAATCGGGCAAATTGAATTTTTTCAGAATTGATGGCATACAACTAAAAAATTTTTTTTTGTTAAATAAGACTGAATTTTACTTTAATGAAATTTGTTTTTAACATAAATTATAACTTTATAAGTATGAAAAACAATATAATCGACAAGTTAGAAAGCAAGATAACTCCATAGGAAATTTACCTTTGATCAGGGGTGCAGAAAATTCTCAGACTATATTTCCCTGGACAGAATATTTTTATTTTGAAATTTCACCTAAAACTACGTCGCTTTTATTCTTTCTTAGCTACAATAACTTCTTCAAAACATTTTTAAAAAGTAAAATTTGTATATTTTTAAAAATTTTTGATGATATTTTTAACAAAGAAAGAATTTATTTGACGAATTTATCATTATTTGATTGAATTTATTTGGAAGAATTTATCATTAAAAATAATAGAAGCAAAAATATATTGAAATAATAATAATTTATAAAACTAAATTTAAGGCCCCATTTTTAAGTTCATGAAATTCTAGCTAATAAATAATCAAATTGACATATAGTTTGTGTATAGAAAAAACTCCCCTCGCCACAAAGTCTAAGGCAGTTTGCTGCTATGGAAACAAGAAACAGCACATTTCAAAGAGGGGATCTTGTCCTTCCTATTATTCCCTTTCTCTCGCCAAATCCTGTTTTAAATATTAACCTAACGCCCCTACTTGAAATAGTCAAACCTCGAAACTAAAGTCACCAACACGAATGGCAAGGGCAGATAACATCCACTAGATGACAGCACAATACACAAAAATATTTTACTTCTACATGAAAATTGATGCTTTACACCTAAAATACTCTTAATATTTTGAAAAATGTGGCTTATCATTATATTATTCAAATCCCTTCACTGGCAATATTTTTTAAGCAACCACAGCACAACATTACAGAAGGAGACCAACTTAAATCTCACTTTTTGTATATGTCTCCAGAATATACCATTTCGTGGAAATTTGGTATCTATCTGAAAACAATGCTAATTAACAGTTTGATTTAAAAATGACTCTTTTGGAAATGTCATTACAGAAGATGGTGGGTTTAAGTAAACACATAATTAAACTACACACATATATAAATGCAATTTTTTTTCTTATTCAGAAAGATAATATTTTAATTAACTTGGGTATATTTTATTTTATTTAATGATTTAAATTTTATTTATAGTTCAAGTTTTTTTTTATTTAAGCCATATAAACACATTATGCACAAAATAGTTCTATCTTTAAACTAAATTGCAAACAACATTATATTAAACATAAAATCTGCCCTAGTTCTATAAAATTAATCTCCATTAAGTTCTATGCTCATGTTATAGAATTTATAAGCACTTTACCAACTGATAGCTTATTAATAGTCTTTCCGGCACTCGTTTATAAATAATTATGAATTTAGCATTATTATTTTTAAAATAGAAGATTTTATTAAATTTTATGATAACATAATTGAGAACCGGGAATTTTTATATAAGCATACAGAAAACACAGATACAACTATGCAAAAGCCTGAACTGAAACATAGCTGTCAACAGGTAACAGACGTACGCATGCTGATGAACTGCTAGCATTAACACTTATTACCAGAAAAGACAGATATTTTGACTGTCAGAGACATTGAGTTTAATTAAATAAGAAAATAAATATCACTTTGTTTCTTTATTCTCCATAATACATCAGTTTTTGAATACTTTGAAACGACAATTGATATAAGCATCCTTACAAACTCAAGGAGTTATACACACCTGGTAAACTAAATTAAGTTGCGTTTTGTGAATTTATATTTTTTATCAGCAGTTTGTAAGAGAAATAAGAATTCCAAAAAAAAAAAATTATTATGAAAAATAATATATTTATTTGCTTTAAGAGAACAGAATAGTACTTAAAATGGAAATTAAAAATGATAAAGAATTTTAGTAGAGTTCTCTCAGTATTGATATCTAGCTGTCATGGGATGAAATTTTGAAAAAAACTTTATGACACAATTTTTCAATTATTTAGTTTTTATTTTCATTATAATTAATGCAGATCCATATTGTAACTGAAAAAAAAGGAGCAAATATATATTTTTACCCTTATTATTTTTTTAAATCTATTTATAATTTTTTTTTACTCTTTTTATACAGAGTATCAGGATACATATATCTGAAAACAGGGTTCATATATATGATTCATATTCCTAAAAACGACTATCAAGAAGAACATTTGATAGTTTAGAATAAAAAAACATTATGAGATGAATGAGGAATGGGTTGAAATAGTCACCATGGGAAAAGCTAGCTCAAAATACAGCTTGGAAAATTTTCATTGAATAATAAAATATGTAAATGCATTTACAGCTATGGAAAGGCACCTTTTCATCAAAAATTATTCGACACATGTCAATTGCGCTTGCAAAAGTATCATCCCTAATAAAGGAAACGTTTGAAACTAGATTTGCTTTGTCATTACTATTGCACTAGAATTACACTAAAGGCAATTGGCAACAGTCTCAGATTCATTCTTATTCTCGTGACGAGAGGGTCATAGTAAACACCTCATTCTCCAATTACCCATAGACTTTTATAGATTTGAAACTGACCGGAACAATACAACATTACATTCTGAACCACTAAGGCACCACTAGATGAAGTGCAAATCAGTTACCAAGTTTCCAATACAAAAAGATGGAGGACAGTGACCCCTGAGAAGGGTCAAGAATATAAGGCTCCAGTGATTAATGGGGAGATTTCAAGTACAAGGCTGGGTTTTTAGAATTTTTTTTTCTGGTGGTACGTTAATTTGCAATATATTAAGACATTTTGTGTCACCAGCGTTCTTCTGGCGCATGTTCATGGCTTAACAGTATTTGTGCACAATTTTTCAAAAAGCATACTTTTTTTAAATTTTATAAAAATATCTAACTTTTTGTGTCAGGGTGTGTATATCTCCTTAAAAGGTAAAAAAAAAAAAAAAAAAAAAAAAAAAAAANAAAAAAAAAAAAAAAAAAAAAAAAAAAAAAAAAAAAAAAAAAAAAAAAAAAAAAACTCAAAAAGGCTAGTGCACTAAATTCACTAAAAATAATTAATATTAAAACCTAGTTAATTTATTACATCATAACTCATCTTTAGCTTTCTTTTGTTTAGCCTTCGATTTTTTATGCTTTGTTCCTTTCTCTACATTATTGCTATCAGAGTCTTTTGCATCACGAAGATAAATGTCTCTTTTCTTTCTTAAAACCATCTGCAGTTCTTGAGCTTTCCATATCTGCAATCTCTTCTTATGAATGCGCTCTATCACACTAGATATATAAACTGTCTTTAAGTAATTTATATTTGGCTTTTTGCCATCTTTACTAATTTTTGCACTTCTCCCCGGCTGGAGTTCATGGATGACCTTTTGAGCGAAATGCAGGTCATTGGTAAGAATTTTGAGCTCCCTGTATAATCGTCTTTGCTCTTTTGCAGACATTATGAGGTTGTGAGCAACACAATCCCGATTGCACATCTCCATGGACACTAGCCAGCGTACTTTAGGTTGGGAGTGTATGAGGACAAAATGCAAGAGGTTGGTAAGAGTGATTTCCATGTGTGCTGGAAACTCGACACTATCAGCTTTTCTAGAAGGAAGTAAAAATAATTTGCATTAATATAAAGATAACTGTAGTTTCAAAATTGAATGCAGTTAGGGGTTGTTCACAAATTGAAAAAAATATAGACCAGAAAAAGAAAAGGTCCGCAAAAATTACACTTTTTTGATTTCTTATTAAGGAAATTTTTTTTAAAATCTCCATGCAGAACTAAAATCTGTTCTAGTTTTCTGCACATTTAAAATCCTTTATTTCATGCTAATGATTTTAGAAGTACGATTGTTCATTTAAAATTACAGTTACACTATGTTATCTGCATAATGCCACAAAATGAATTTATCATGACTATACCATTTTTTTTAAAATGGCAGACACTGAATTTCCTACCTTCTTCGCCTAGGAAGATGCCGGAAGTGTCACTCATTTAACGTTACCCAGTGGACACCTGTGAACCTAAGTCACGGAGGCGAGCAACATTAACCACGCCANAAAATGAATTTATCATGACTATACCATTTTTTTTAATATTAAAAATGACTTTTTTTAAAATGGCAGACACTGAATTTCCTACCTTCTTCGCCTAGGAAGATGCTGGAAGTGTCACTCATTTAACGTTACCCAGTGGGCACCTGTGAACCTACATCACGGAGGCGAGCAACATTACCCACGCCACACTGCCACAGATACCCGTTTCATAGAGTGGTCCATGGAAGATGCCGGAAGTGTCACTCATTTAACGTTACCCAGTGGGCACCTGTGAACCTACATCACGGAGGCGAGCAACATTACCCACGCCACACTGCCACAGATACCCGTTTCATAGAGTGGGCCACATTCACACAACAAACAATAGAGAACAACACACAGAGAGAAACATCCATGCCCTGAGCGGGATTCGAACCCGCAGCCACAAAAAATGACAATATGGATGGTTGACTGTGTAAAAGCTAAGTGCAGATAGCGCTAAGGGTTAAAATTCGTCGCAACACTTCCGACTGACTTTTGCACCTAAGTTTGCAAAAATGCACCATCCAATTTTATTATACTCGTAGTGTTTTCAATATAACATGTTCTTTTAATCTAACAATCAATGAAAGAAACAACAAATAAATTCAGAAGACTCCGCAAGCTTGCTATGCTAAACAAAAAATAACAAGCAGTGCTATTTTAAGCAAATATAACCAAATGAGGGACAAAATTCAAAACATGGCTAACCTTAAACTTTATTTATGCTGTGATATTTATTTTGATAAATTTGTTTTAGGCTTACGAGCTGTTGGAATTTATAAATTGCAGAAAATTCTTATGAATTGCGAAATTACGCTTAAATTTGTACCAAGTCACAATAATAAAACTTCCAAGAATATTAAGCCTGTTAACACATCTCCTCGCAAGCATGACAAGCAAAGAGCCTCGTAATCGAAGTGATACATCGGAAGTTTTGTAAATTTCCTCCAGTTTCAAGAAGCTTGTTATTGTTTACATTCAGCCAAACCATCCATAAAAAAATAATTATTTCACAATATAAGACATTTAAATGAATTATGGAAAATGAAGTTAAGATACTGAATCCATACACATAAATTTAGGCAATCATTACAATGAAGTTTAGACTATATATTGCTTGTTCTTTGCAATACAGAAAAAAAATTTAAGAATCAATAAAGAATCTCCTTAGCATACATATATTTACTTAATGAGTAGTTAAAAAAAAAACAATTTTAATTTTTAATAACACTTAATATCTGATGATTGCATTAATGTATTATTCAAAGAAAATTTATCTTAGCGTAAAATTGTTAGTTAAAATATAATTTAAAAATATAAAATGGCCAACCTTTTAGCAGGAAAAAATATTATTGTGGGATATTTTTCAACTGTATACTCCCAGGGTAAATCATTTTCTTCACCATTTATCCTGCAAAAAATATCATTTATATCAGAATAATTAATAATAAAATAATGATGGAAACAGTGTTACAAGATTTACACAAAAACAAAACTCTCGTATCTTTACCGAACAAATTTTATGCCCTCCACATTTGAAAAGTAGTCAGCAACACGTAGGTAGATGTGAGATATTGATTTACAAGCACCACACCAAGAAGCATAGTAGTAAAGAATAACATCCTATTAAAAAGAAGAAGAAAAAAAAGGATAAATTTTTGATTTTATAAATTAGATTGTTATAAAGGATAAATTTCTTTGCACTAAGCTTAGTGATATTATAGAATTTCTTTTTTTAACATTTATAGAAATGCACTCATATTAAACTAATTTGTTTAACTTATTAAAATTTTTTAGACATTTGTTAAAACTCATTATTCACTACTCCTTCTTCAGCACTACACCCTAGAACAGGCCAAGGATGCGCCAGTCAGATTTCGGCAATGCTGTCCATCCAAGGCAACTGTACTTTAATTTTTGACATCTAACACACCAAGATTTATATATTACATTATCCAGCCACTTGATGGCTGGACGACCTGTTTTCCTTGTGCCAGCAGGTTAGCCAAAAGTCAGCTTCATTATTGACATCTAACACAACAAGATTTATATTACATTATCCAGCCACTTGATGGCTGGATGACCTGTTTTCACTGTGCCAGCAGGTTAGTCAAAAGTCAGCTTCATTTTTGACACCTACCACAACAAGATTTATATTACATTATCCAGTCACTTGATGGCTGGATGACCTGTTTTCCTTGTGCCAGCAGGTTAGTCAAAAGTCAGCTTCATTTTTGACATCTAACACAAGATTTATATATTACATTATTCAGCCACTTGATGGCTGGATGACCTGTTTTCCTTGTGCCAGCAGGTTAGTCAAAAGTCAGCTTCTTTTCAGGGGTCTCTTAATCTTTGCAAGTGTCCAAACGGTCTTATGCAATATGCTTAAATTATTTGGACGATGTTGGTCCTTTAAAATTTACCGTAGAGCACACTGTTGTAAAGTATTCATCATATGTTACTTTCATATACAAGACCATAAATTTTCTGCAATATTTTTTGTTCAAAAATCAATGGTTTATCGTATGCTGCCTTAGCAAGTGTAAAAAACTCGCAGACATGCAGTAATAAAGGTCGAATTAGGGTTCTATAAATATTGATCTTTGTTGCTTGTTTCAGGAGTTTCGATGTTAGAATTATATTCTTTATTTACATTCATATCTGATTCTAATTCATATGAATAAAAATATTATTGAACTAATTAACTATTAAAACGATGCTCATTCAAGCTTCCATATTGGAATGTAATTTTAGTTAACTCCAGAGTAATTAAAAAAATATCATTGGTGAAAACAGTTCATAAGCGCTTCACTTACAGGTGCACAGCAAAGTTCTGAAAAGAATTCTGCATGTTGTTGGTTTCAACACTGTGAACAATATATAACTTAACAGAACTTAAAGTATGAGCTGAATATATATACTATAACATTTGATTTAATATAAGAAAAACCACATGATTATATTCATAAAAATATAACTTTCTAATACTGTATTAATATAGCAAAATATATCTATACATCAGTATGAAAAGCACTAAAGAGGGGGAAAAAAATTAAGTTTTACCAAGTAAAAACCATATAATTTAAAAAAAAAAATATATATAGAATGCAAGAAAATTAATACAGTATATGACATAGATCAAGCATATGCATCATTAATGAGTATATGACGTATGAGTATACATCAAGACATAGTTTTATCATAGATTAAAATTCATTAAACAGGAATCTGATAAGCTTTTATAAGCAATAACTTTCAATCAATAAAATTTATTTCGTTCAATGAAAAAAGGATTGTTCAAAGCAGCTTCTATTTTTCATGTTTGTGATTTTAAAAAAAATTACCTTAAATATCTAGTTAATTTAGTTTAACAAGATCAATTTTAAATTATTAAAAATATGTAGTAATTATTATATATGATTCTAATTATAAAAATCATTTTAAACCCCAGATAGATTAGTGGAATGCATATTTTGTTTAGATATAAAGACAAGAAATATCTTACTTGTTGATCAAATACTATATCAAAGAAAGTTGCAGTTGTCACCTCATCTACACAAACATTGGAATTATCATCTTTCTTGCAATCTTTCAATTTTCGAATTGGCATTCTAAGGTCACGGCTTAAGCTTCCGTCTGTGTAGTTTCTAATAAATTCCACTAATAAAGAAAAACTATGATTAAGCTTACAGTTAAAATAAAAAGAATAATAATATTAATTGAAACAAAGAAAAATGCAGTTCACTTACCTAATGTTTTCTTATTAACTAATCCATTTAAAACAAATTGAGATTCTTGCTGTAATAGAAGATGCAGAAATTAACAAGTCATATTCAATTAAAATCACAAAAATTAATAGTTATTTAATATTGATTAATTTACTACAACTATTAAAAAAAAATCAAATATAGCAATTAGTAAAAAAAAAAAAAAAAAAAAAAAAAAAAAAAAAAANAAAAAAAAAAAAAAAAAAAAAACAAGTAGTGGAAGTTGTAGTAAATCCTAAGTTATTTTTCATTCAATTAAAAACTATCAGTTTTAGAATTGGGAGCAATTTTGTATAATAGTTTTCTAATTTTGAACTACAACTATATCATGCGAGAGTTTTTTTTTAAAACATAGAAAAACTTGAATAATTACACTAAGTAAAATTTACCTACCATAGTTATATAAAATTACTTAAAAGAGCCTTTTTTTTTATCTATATACATTAATTAAACATAAATCACCCTTTAAGATTAAAAAATTTATACAATTATTCATTGAAAAGAACCAAACAAATTGATTAGACTACAAACTGAATAGTAAGGTTTATTAAGATGTAATTTAAATTATTAAAGAGAAAGCCGAGAAATATACAAGATGAAAGAGGATATTTTGGCATGCAGTAACACTGTAAATTAATAAGATAGTGAAAATGATTCTTTAAAAAAAAATTTAAATGAAAATATAGATTAAAATTTTAAAAAATTATAAATTTTTAATTAAATTTAAAAAAATGTTAAATTAGAAAAAAAAACAATATTTAAAAACAAACTAGAAATAATACATAAGATTCATAAATGAAGGGCTAAACACATAGCGCAAGAAATATAAATATAATTTCAAGTGGTATAGCAATCAAATATAAAGAACATTAAATACCTATCTGGTATCTTTTAGTTGTTATTGTATGCCAAAAAAGTTTTATTTACACATTGTTCATAACATGAAAGAGGCATGTTGTGAACCAATGTTCAATTTAACAATTTATGTAAAAAAATAATGATGTAACAAGTCACAATTTTTAAAAACTACCTTTGTATGCAACAAATTTTCAGACATTTTCAAACAAAATTTACTTAACTTTGCATGTTATAGACTAGACTTCATGAAAATACCATTATTAACTAATTAAAAAAACAAAATCATTACCGCTGATTCAATTATCACAGCAGTTGTCTGGTGCAAATTATTTGACACATCAATTCCCAAATTTTCTGCAAAGCTGTGAAAAAGCACAGTGTCCATAGCAATGAAAGTTAAAGATCGGTTAGTACGGCAACCGAGGCCTGTGAAATTGCTAAGCCAAGAGCTGCGATCAGAAGATGCTGGAAAATTAGGAAAATTAAGCTCAGAGTAGTTTAAGGCATATCTCAAGCGATGGCACAACCTTTTCTCATTGTTCTGAATCATTGTTAGAATTAAGTCATCTTTTAATTCAGCTATTTCTTTTTCTGTTATTTGCTTTCTAGAAAGCTTAACAGAATCCTTAGAGCCATCCTCACAGTGAAAGCTCAGTTGCTTATACTGACCGAATTTAACAGGAAAGGAAACTTCCATGTCCCGGCACTGCTTGAATTTACCAAGTTCTTTGATGTTGAACTTCTTTAGAATCAGGTGTAAGGTGTTTTCACATTCGGAAAGCTTCATTTCTTCTACGTTCTTGACGACATGGTGTAAGCAGACCCTACATGAGCAGGAAGTGTTAAATTTCAGATTAAAGTTTGCATTTTGGCAGCAGGTCAGGTCACAGAGGTCAGGACGTCGACTGCATATGTTGGGATGTGTTTTGGTGTCATTTTTATGGCACTTTTTAAGTGATTTTGAAAACTCTTCTTGCATAATATGCCTCTGCAAAACCATGCGATGAACTAGAGATTCAATGAAACCTGTTTTTTCACAGTTACTGTAGTCAAGAGCAACTTCCTTAAACTGGAAGGGAAAAAAAATTTAAATAAATATATATAAGATACTAACTATCAACATTTACAAATTTCAAACCTAGTTCATTAATATAATATTTCAACTCATTCTAATAACTCTACAAAGAAAGCAAAAGTATTTATTTATTTTTTTAAGAATCATTAAAAATTTATTTTTACTTTTTTTTAAAACATGTACCTATAAAAAATATATACTTTTTTAGAAATGTATTTAAGTCAAATTTATAGATTGAATCAAAAGATGATGAGATCGGATCACAGTAAAGATGAAATGTGTATATATTTTGAATAGTCATTTCTTATAGCAAACTAAACTTTCCTGGTATAATTACTTAGAATATCTATATATATATTTCTCTTACACGGCACCAAAAAAAAGCCTCATTGCAATTCCCCGAATGGCAACGTTAGAAAATGGACCAATGATTGCTGCTAAAAATGTCACATGGCAAATGTCACATGAGGTGGCTCAACATATAGCGCTTTTAAAAACTGAAACAATAACCAGAGTGAGCATTATCAGGTTGTTCAATTCAGATTCATGCCCTAAAAACATGATAATATTTAATTTAAACTCAATTAGGAATTAATTAGGCTGGCCTTCTCCATGACTATAAATAAGTCACAAGGTCAGACTTTTGAGAAAATCAGTTTAGTATTGACTAAACAAGTTTTTAGTCATGGACAACTTTATGTTGGCCTGTCAAGAGTTAAGTCATTTGACAGCCTTTCAGTAATTGCTCCAAGATGCCAAATCTATAATTGTGTTTTCAAAGAAATTCTAAATGCTTAGTGTTAATTTCTTAGAGCTTTGCAGAAAAAAATGTTTTTTGGAAAAAATTTAATTGAAACTTCTATTGGCAGTAGGCAAGGGGAACTGCCAAAATCAAAACTCCCCGATTAGAAATGCAGCATGGCGACCTCCACGTGGTATTTCTCGGGTAATGCTAACAGCCATGCATTTTAATTTATTGTATGTAAAACATCCTTATTTTGTTCTAAAATGTTATGTACTTTATCACAAATGTTAATTAATATAGAAATTGATTTCAATAATGCTGATCACCAAAAAATATTTCATTTGGCGATAAAACAAATTTTTGTGTTCTTGAAAATGAAAGACTTTTTGAGGGTTATTATCTCACAAGGAAAAGTTAGGGTTTAAAGTTTATATTTTTAAATAATAAAATTTTTTTCAAAGACTTTTGGAATTAACTAGCATTAACTAATTTATTATACACATTTAGTTGAATTTAGGTGAGTAACTGCAATATTTGATAATTTATTTTGCTAATATGTTTCTCATTTAGCTAATGTTTTGATTTTTTAGCCATGTGCAATCTAAAAAGCTAATATACTTTTTTAAAAGCCAATAAGAACACTGATAGAATTCTTCTACATAAGTACAATACTATGTCTTTGATGATAATATACTATGTCTTTGTGCTAGAGCATTGTGTTCATTGGCGAGCGAGCAGAGCGAGCCATGGTTCACGGCGTGAACCACATAGGATTGCGTAGCAATTCTCGGGGGTTGGCGAGCGTTAGCAAGGAGGGGGCGGAGCCTCCTAGTATGGCAATATTCTTGACTTAAGCTAACGATTCTATATTTTCACGAATAGAAACTAGCTGTCTCACTAAGTTAATTATTTAAAAGACAATATTTAATAGAACTTCGTAGATGATGATTTTATAGCTCTTCAAATATCTTTTTAAAGCTCATCAATACAAAATTCTAATCAAACAAGAAATTTAGTTATATCTGCAGATTAAAAAAAAAATCCTTTAATTAATTTAATATTTTTTAATTAAATAATATTTTAATTAGGATGCTGATGAAAATAAAAGGAGTTGTAAATTTGCAATTACTTCATTTAACTAAGTGACTTTTTGGTTTAGTATAAAAAATCAAAATTTTTTGTAAAGTTTACTGTTGTGGTTTAATAAAGTAACTAATTGAATAAAATCTAAGTCATTTCACAGTTTTTAAAATAATAAAAAAAAGAGCACCAGGTTCTCATTCACTTAACTTTAACTAATAGAATAGCTGAAAAGCAATACCATTTAAAAAGTTAAACAGAAATACACCATTTTAAACAATTGTAATTTTTAGTTGTAGAGCAAGAACCAGAAATGGCAATACTTAAGGAATGGCTATACGTTAAGCAATCTATAAAATAGCAGGTTATTTATAATTCAAAAAATAATATTCATAAATATAAAATAATGGATTATGAATCATATTTTTATAGTTTTATTATATAGAAACTATACATTTAAACTTTTGTAAAGATATATTTACACAGTAAAATGCAAGATTAAAAAATTATGTTCATAATAAACATAAAAATAAAATATAACACACAAATTATTATTTTTATTTTGAAAAGTTAAGTTTTAATGACACATAATTGAAGACTTTAGCAAGCACTTTTCAAATGTTATATTAGTGAACATTAAATAATTGCAAAACTTTTTTTTTACATTGAAAACAGCCTTTACTTACAAGATTGTAATAGGGCGAATGATCTAGCAACAAGTTACGAGGAGTGAACAAAATTACAGTTGGATTTTTTTCTATTTTCTCAGATAATGCTGTACTTTTAGCCCCAGGTGGCGACACCCACTGAGTTACCTTAAAAAAAACATAATTAATAATAATACAGAAATTTAAAAATCAATTGATTGATAAATAATTTTAAAAAATTCTTGGGATTCAGATTTACAAATAAAATTGACTTAGGTTAACACAAATCAAGTCAAAACTTACTTAAAAACTTCAGTCTATAGGGAAAAAAACAAACATAACTTTTAAGAATTTTTTCAGAAAACATTTGGATCCAATGAATTATTGGGTTATAAGATTTTACAAATTTAATTAAAAACAGGAAAATCACAGTAAAAAAAAAAGTCAAGAAGGTTTGTCTTGAATTATAAGTTTATACACTATAACTATTGTCATCTTTACGCAATACCTAGGTTTATCTAAATTTGTCAATTTTTGTCAGATAAAGATAAATGAAATTTTTTTTTCATAAACTAAAAATATAATCTATTTTTTCAACAGAAACTTCTTGAAAATAAAGAATTGTAATTGTTATTTCTTTTTTAAAAGAAAAACTAGATTCTTCAATAAGCTTACATTAATATGCATAATAACATTATATTATCCATTTTTGTTTGGATAACAGGGGCAGCATGATAAATGAATAATTTGTTAACTTTAAATTGTATTTATAAAATACGAAATTATTTTTAAATGCAAAGCAAATTAATACTTGTTAGTGTTTTAATAGTGGAGTTATTTACATTATCAGACAGCATAGACACCAAATCTCACTTCAATACTACAATTTTTGTAAAACATGATACCAAAAGGTATTTAGTATGAACCGTATTTCAATTAAATTGAAAAAAAGTATTGAGTTCAAGATCGATGGTTAAATGCTCTATTGAAATTAATAGTAAAATTTGCAAAGATCACATATTCCACTAAACAATAATAAAAATTATGTGCACTTAAATTATAAATCTATGTTACTTTACATAATTAATTTTTTTGTTAATGACTTACTAACATTACATAAAATAAAGCAATATTTTTTTTCACCACAAAATTAATAATATTAAATTTACAAAAAATAAATAAGCATGTGGCAAATTCTTAAACCTTATGATAATAAGATAAACAACAGAATTAAATAATACATGACTTCAAGATCATATATAGGAAGGTTATTATTAAAAAGTAACGAGTAAAAGTACTAGGACTTAAAGCATAAGTAACAGATAAAAAGTTTTGATTTTGAAAAATAACAAGAGAAAAGTACAAAACAAAAAAAAAAGGAACAATTTTAAAGTACATTTTAAGGAAATTGAAAATTAGAAGTAACCTTACCTTTAATTAAAAAATTCAAGAACAAAATGTAAAATTTTTAGTTTTAAAATTTATTGCAATTGTGAACATTGGAAATATCCAAAAGTCAAACAAGAAATCATTAATTCTATGTTTATATACAAAAAGGAGTTTGAATTTCAGTTGATTTTGAAACTAAACCAATCATCATAAACTTTGCTTTCGCTTTCAGACACAATATTTTAATAAAAAAAATACCATGTAGAGCAATATCAATAAACATAACTTTTGTTTAAAAAAATAAGTAAAAAAAGATTGTATACACATAATAAAGATACACAAGAAACCCATTGAAATCCAATAGATTTACAATGATATTTTGCTTGTGAACGTTAAAAAAAATTATTATATGTAATGAAAATTTTTGAATTTGTGATAAATAAAAATATATGTCACATTGAATCTACTAGTAATTAAAAAATTTAGCACAAAAGTTTTACTTTTAATTTAATGATATGATAAACTAATATGTTTACATGCTATAATTCAAAAAAGAAGATAAAATAAATAATGAAACTAGGATTTTTTAATGTATACAATATTTCAACTAAGTAAAGTATTATTTTTATATTTTAAAGCTTAAATAAAATTTTTTTTTTATTCTTGCAAAAAACTTTTGGTTTTGCAACATTAAATAAATTGTTGAAATTATTTTTAAAAAAAAACCTTCTAATGCATACACATGGCTGACAAAATAGTTAATAAAAAGATTGCTTTAAAAACAATAAGTCTTTAAGATAACCAATTCTTTGTCTTAAAATAAATTAATATGTACAAGGAACTTCATCTTATGCCAATTAGTTTAAGTTTCTGTGCATAATAAGGGAAATAGTTAATTTTTTAAAGGTCAAAATACACCAAAGAGATAAAAATATATTGAATTTGTAACTTAAACAAAACTATTTTCAAAAGGAGAAAAAATGTGCACCTTTTCTCAAAAGGAAAAAAAAAACCTACTCATTCCATGCATAAGTGGTACTGACAATCTGAATTCATAAAACCAAAAGTCCTCCTCCCCTGGCTCATCAGCTATTACCAAGGAAGATTTCCAGAAATGCCACTTAAAATATTTTGCAAAAGAACATTCGAGCATTCAAAATTCACACACACACAACAGAATGTCAAAGTGGGCAGTATTCAATAAGTAAAATTCACAATAAAATTAAAAAAAAAGAAATACCTAATTTCAACAAATAAATTAATATTATAGAAAAAAATAACCATATTTAAGTTTATTAAGGTTAATTTAAAAGAACTAAAGAAAATAGAAATCAAATGATAAATTACCAGTTGCAACTTGGAGTAGGCCCACTTAATAACTTCTGCATGTTCTATTGAAGTTTCATTATATATCTATTAAAAGACATAATGCAGTTTATTAATAACTCAATATTATATTTTCAAATTAATGATTTATAACTAAAAAATTTTGTTTGGAAAAAAAAATTACCACAACTTTGATCATAACATATAAAACAAGAATTATAGAATAAAAAATAACCATTTAAACCACAAAAAATATTTTATAATGAAATAATTAGCCTTTTATTTAAGGGTTTCATTTACGAGTGAAAAAAATATTTCTTGATTTCATTGTTTTAAATTACATATATTTTTCAATGTTTGTCTTAAAAAATGCTCTTTATCAAATGGAAATGTTACCTACACAAAATTTATGCTGACTAAAACGGCACATTTACAAAAATTGTCTCAAAATAATCAGCATCATTACAAAAACTCTATAAAAAATTATTATCTATTTAATAATTCTAATCAAAAATCAGCAAAATTCACATAATTTTTTTATTATTTCTTACTTAATTTTTTATGTCAATGCATTTGGGTAAACCTGTTAAAAAAGCATGCATCAACCAAATTTGCCCGCTATTTGTTTGATTCATGCATTCAGCATTCTAATTGCAAGGGAGAAGATATCTTTATTTTGATTTACCACACAGCAAGCAAAATGAAAAAAGGAAGACCTACCACCAGTCCACCAAATAGTTAACAAAATAAAATTTACTTCGAAAAAAAAAGTCAGACCAAAAGATAGTTTTATTATATGATCATTAAAAACCTTTTTCTAAATCTGCAAATGATGATGATATTGAATACTCTGAAATTCAGTCGCCAAGTGGAAATATTGAAGATATTAATAAAGAGAAAAGAATAATATAATTTAGATTCATTTCTTTCTTTGTAAATTAAACTGTCATTTATATAGTCTTATATGTTAGTTTGAAAATTTGTAAATTTCAAAAAGATAGGCTCATTAAAACACATTTGAAATATGTATTCCTGGTTGCATTTTATCCAGTATTTTAATTGCCTGTAACACAACACTAAAAAAAAGCTACTTCAATATTGTTTTTTTAATAATATTTTTTACAAAAAATGTGGATTGACTTAAGATTTCATAAATATTAAATATCTGTGTAAGTTTTTCATAAAAGTTAAAATGCTGTGAAATTTTTTTTTTACAAAAATGGGGGTTAAGTTTCAAATTCTTTATTGGTACTTTCTTTGGTTTAAGTTCATGTTTAAGCAAGAAAAATAAGCATTATTGAAATAAATGTACTTTAAGTTTTTAGTAAGCAACATTTCTCAAACAAAACTTGCAGCTTGTCTTTCAATATTTGTACCACTTACATTGTTAATCAAAACTTAAATGTCATACACATTTAATAACATTCAGGCAAATATTAAATAAAATTAAATTTGTCTAACTTCTGTTGAATTCCATAGAAAAAGCTGAAGAACTGATTTCAACTTTAAGTTTGTAGCATCACGTCTATTTGTTACCACAGCAAAACAGATCCTTCTATAGGGGTCTGAAAGAAATAATAGCTCTTGAAATATATACAAATCAAATTTATTCATAAAATAAACATATATACAATAATTATAAAATGAAACATAATTTTTCATAATTTGATTAACTGTCAAACCTTTAAATACAAAACCAATCACAATTTTCAACAACTAAACAGTCAAACTTTTGAAACACAATACTCAATAATTCATAAGGAATAAAACTTTTAAAAAAATTAAATGTTAATAAATTAAATTTAATAACTGTCAAAGCATTGAACAAATTTGATTACAAGTTTTCCTCTTTGTACTATTTTTTGCATAAATATTAAAGGCATTTAGTTAGTATTTAAGAAAGTATGCAAAAGCAATAGATATAATAATTAAAGAAACAGGTTTAACTATATAGTAGTCTAAATAAAATGAGTTAGTAAAATAAAGTAGAATGAAGGTTAGAATTGTCTTGTGTGATTATTATCCTATTTTCAATATATTATAACTTTAGTATAAAAAAATATATGTTAAAAATCGATGAACAAGATGATAATTTTTTATAACCAAATTCTACATTATGATAACCTGGTTGTAATAAATTGTGTACAGATAAAATTTAGGTTCAAAACAGTTAGCTGTCTAGCATAATTTAACAAGATTTTATTTACAATATATAAAGAGTAGTAATACTACAAAAGAGAAACAATTTATGATTTTTTTAAGGAATTTATTGAAGGTATTATTTTGATCCTATTTAATAACAATATTAGTACTTTACCTGCGGTTAATGAATTCAATGAAGCATAGTAAAATTGCTTATAGCCATCAGGATAAGAGCCATCCTTAAATTCTAGATAAGCAACAAGGACACCCTAAGAATATTTACAAAATTAGTGAAAAAAGGAAAAAAATACAACAAATTGATCACAAGAATAAGTTATTGTTAAACATAAACAATGATTATAATCAAGTGCATCAGTAAATTCAGTAATTATATTTAATAAATTAAGTTCACTAATTAATTCATAGAATAAGGAAGTAATTTTCAGCATCATAAACCACTCAAACTCTAGGTCTTCCTCTATGCTGAGTCAAAATTGCTGTGCTGCTATGCTGTCTTAAAATGCAATTGTCATTCATCGAATTAGTTAATATCTGGTTCCAGCTAAGTTAATATCTAGTTCTTTGTAGATTAATTATATCTGGTTTTTTGTAACTTTTACATAATTTGAAATGTTTTCACTATACATAATTCAGGCCACATAGTTAACTAAAAAAAAAAAAAAAATCCTATACTACTTTTAAAAATANGTCAAAATTGCTGTGCTGCTATGCTGTCTTAAAATGCAATTGTCATTCATCGAATTAGTTAATATCTGGTTCCAGCTAAGTTAATATCTAGTTCTTTGTAGATTAATTATATCTGGTTTTTTGTAACTTTTACATAATTTGAAATGTTTTCACTATACATAATTCAGGCCACATAGTAAACTAAAAAAAAAAAAAAAATCCTATACTACTCTTAAAAATATAAAAAAGTTAAACAAAAAGTAAAATTTTTATCTACTTAAGAGACTATTATTATTTACCTACTTAAGAGAGTATTTTTTAGAATAATAAAACAAATTTTTTTATCCTAAAATAAAAATAAAATATACTATTTTTAAATTATACTTTGCTTATATCAGAAAGTTTTAAGTTTCCAGAATAAATTTATCAGTTAATATTCCCTTATACCAATATGTACTTAAAATTTGTAATCAAGTTCCAAGATTTCCGTAATCAAACAATTTTTAATTCTATCGCAAAATCTCAAAGCGAAAACACAACAAATATGCAGCCCAGCATTTCTGTACAATAATTTCGAACAAATTTTATTCTATATCTGAAAAGCATTTTGTAAAGCCAAATAAAAAACAGAATAGTGAACATTAATAAACTAAAAAAATAGAATAAAGAACAGCTAACCTCGTGTTTGGTGAGGAGGTCAAGTAATTCTCCATAATGATGCAAAGGCACAAGAGGAGATAAGACATAGTCTAAAAAAGATATAATGTAAGTAGATATAACTGGTCCCTCATACCGAATAAGCCCAAATTCATGTACATTTACTAATACTATGGGATAAGAATGTATTGTAAATTTTTTTCTGCACTCCCCTTCAGGCCACCAACAGTTTATTGCAGCAAAAAATACCTAAAATTGGAAGAAAAGTCACATAATTACATAAAATGTGCAAAGTATAGAAACCATCATAATATATACAGGGGTCTGTTTAAAATAAATTTGGGTCCGTTAATGGACCCTTCACAAAATATCTTTTCATAAAAACGGATCCTTCACAAAATAATTTATATTTTAATCGGACCCTTCACAAATTTGTTTATCTTCATTGTTTTGTTAATCAAAAAAAACACTTCCCAGGAAGGGGGGGGGAATTAAAGACAGATATAAACGATTTAAGTTTTGTCTTCGGCAGACGCTTCTTCCTTTATTCGTCCGAAATGAATATTCTGCGTTCAGCACAGTATGGGCTAAATAACAAATGTTTGTATGTTGCATCTTTAATTCAGTAGCAGCAACTGTTGTTTATTTTTTAAAATTGAATTTTTTTAAATTATAATTTTATAGCGTTGAGTATAATCTTGCAGGTCTTTACAATTAAAAAACTCCTTGAAAAAGTTTTTTGCAATTACAGGACCCTATTTGCAAATATTCACAAAAGCAGGACCATGGTTGAACGAATGTGACTTAATGTTTATTTTATATTCACAAATTACGAGTAATTTTTTCACAATTTTACAAACACGGACCTTTCACAAAATGTCTGGACAGACCCCTGATATAAAATAATTATAAAATGCATAGTTCAATAGCATTATAAAATACATAATTTGAAGTTCAGAATGGGAGTCTTTTTAGAATTTTGCATATGATTCGTACAATTCTTAAAAGAAAATTTAAAGTATAGAGTGGATAAAATTATATAAACAACTTTAAAATATAATAACATCTAAAATTAATCAGTAAAATCTTCCAGATTTTTTCTAATAAATGAACATAAAGTTTTGTTTTTACTGATTTTTATAGTTTTACAGTTTCAAAGCATACTTTTCCTTTTTTAATTTATTGTTATTTTTTTTAAATAGAAAATAAATTTCATGTGTAATTAAATAACTTGCTCCAGACAAACCAAATTTTCTCAGATTTCTGAGTAAATCTTAAAATGTTTCAAACTTTCAGGGTTTAAATTCAGTATAAATCTAAAAGCAATTAAGCACTTCACATATATGCATTGCATATTAATGAGTATTAATAATTTACAATTAAAAGCAAAAATTTTTTAAAATTTGAAATTTTCTCTAACCTAAAATTCTTCTCCAAAAACTCCATGATATTAAGGAAAAAAAAATTTTCTACTCACTAAATTTATAATTAATTTTATTAAAATCAACATGCTACAAACTTATATATCAAGAGATTTCTCTATACATTTCAATTTAATTTTTCATCAACTTTTCCCAATTTTAATGAAGAAACTGAATTTAACGTAAGTGATTGTTAAACAAAAAGAGAAAATAACAAAATTATTAAAATAGCACTGATGAGAAGAAAAATTAATTATAATTGAGTTTACGAAGTTAGTTTTGATAAGTTTTTATTATATGATTGGTTAGATAAAATAGTTATAATACCTAATAATAGATTGAAACATGTTGGTTGTTGAATTGCGCCTGACCATTTCACTGTTCATATATATTCATCATACATAACAGAGTTGACTGGTTTAAACCATTGTGATTTAATATGTGTTTTTAGTAGTACCAATGTTTAGTATGTGATTTGTTAATTTAATGGTATTAATAAAATTTGAGTACCAAGCATGCTTGGGAACTAAACACTGGGGGTTCCGCGTTCGGCTGACCACCTGACCGGAACATCTGCTCCTGCACCCCAGAGCCCAAGGTCAAGAAAACTGAGATGGGCACAGTAGGCCTTGGCCCTCTATGGGCTGTCGCGCCACTGAGTTTAGTTTTTTTAATAAAATTTGATAGTGTAATTTTAATATTTTATATATTATAAAATTAAGTTTTACTTTACTCCTTAACATAAAAAAATTAGTTAATTTAATTTTATTAGAAATTCATAAAAAAAATTCCAGAATTTTTTCTGCTTTTCTAAAAAATTCCAGATTTTCTCTTTTCTACAGAATAACCACTTTGATGCTAAAATATATTTTTTCTCCCTTTAAACTAATTGCCTTTGTTTATTAAAGATGTTTAATTCATCCACCTCCTCCCTGAAAAAAAAATCTAAATACTAGATAACAACAGATTTTTAAAAAAAAAATCAAATGATTTCAATGAATTCCTTAAATTTACAATTATAACTATCCAAATAAGCAACTAAAATATGATACTTATTTCAGAACATAACAGATAGTTATAAAAATTTTTTTTTTACTAAATGTTTGATGATTAAACTTTTTTCTTTTGAGAAATATAACAAAATAACAACTAAAATATGATATTTATTTCAGAACACAAAAGATAGTTATAAAAAAAAAAATTACTAAATGTTTGATGATTAAACTTCTTTTTTTAGAGAAATATAACAAAACAAAATAACAAAGAGAGATTCAGGTAACAGTTATTTTCACAGTGACATGTTGTTGATGCAAGAAAAAGATACTTGGCATCATTTGTACATACTTACACCTACACATATCCCAACCTTCAAGGAAGGAGAAAAATGTTTTTACTACTGACTCACTTAACAGACAAACATTGTTTCTTTACCAAAAATTAAAGGTTTCCCTAACATGTAGTTTGAAAAACAGCATTTGATTTCAAAGCTAGAAAACCACCATATCATAACTTATATAAGAATGGTTTGAAATAGAAAAAAAATATAATAATTTCCATTTATTTTTATAAATACTAATTTTTAAACTACATTAAAAGTTTTTTTTCTCCCTTATTTCAAGCAAATGACATATGTTTCCAGTTTTCAATAATGATTTTTGTTTATTAGCTGCTGTTTCCTGAATGATCATTTTTCACAAGCAAACACCCAAAACTTGTATGAAAAACAATCTTCAAAAGTTTCACTAGATAGAAAAGTAAGGATATTGTTTAGAAATTGCACCAAACACTCCATGTTCTAAATAGATAATGATTGTTTTTCATATTTTAAAGTAAATATGTGTGCCTTTTATTCAACTGCTAATGAAACATATTAAAATGTCATCATTATTTGAAATCATTGAATGTGCTATAACATAATTTTGAACGAAATATTCATCCACTATTCATTTATTTCAAATATGATGAAAGCATGGCTGGAAGGAAATATCAAGCCATCAATGATTAACAGTAGATTTGGTGAGCATGTTTTTAAAATTTTTTAACAAAGCCTTCCGTAATTTTTGTATGGAACTAAGAATTATGATTGAAGAGAGAAATCACAAACATTGTTTCGACCACAAAATTGTTAAAAGCTCTCTACACAAACACATAAAACAAAAAAATTATCCATAATTAAACTACTTATGAAAAAATAATTATTATTTTATATATGTTACTATTAATAGGGGAAATTGGATATCATGTTTAATTACTAAAATGGTTGACAAATATCATAAAAAATTTATTACTTTATACCATTAACGTGTAAAGATTGTATAATATCCAATTTATATTGTATTGGTTTCAGCTCAAACAGATTTTTCTATACCATAATGAAAACTGTTTTTAAATCAAGGGGTGTTTTCATTAAAATTTTTCTTTTTTAAAAAATTAAAACAGGCTCTTTTTTTTAAAGATAAAATTTATATTGTCGAAGAATATAACAATGTTTGTCAAATAATACAATTTGTGATTTATTTTTCCTTATCTAGAATTAAAAATTTTAAATTAAATAAAATTTCTACAAAATCAGGGGTCTGGCCAAACTAAATTTACTACCGCTTAGCGGTACCTTCACAAATTCAACTGTAGGAAAAACGGTAGTTTCACGAAATACTGTTTCTTAAAATTTAATTTTTGAGTCTCGTAAGAAACGATAAATTAATTTTTTTGTATTGATTTTTTAATATAATTTTTAATTTTCTCAAATTATGTCTAAATTTTTACAAAATAGGTACCTCTCAGAAAAACATAGACCCCTGAAAATATTTTTTACAAAAATAAATACATAAATAAATGTATAATCTTCTATGCATTTATTAAAATTTATATTGCTTGTGATAAATAAAACAAAGGAGTAACGTGAACTGTAATTAAATCAACAATTTGTCAAATAAGGTATTTTGGTGCTTAACTTATTTACAGGCAATTTTTTTCATGTAATCTAGAATCAAAGTTTAACATTTGCATTTTAATTAAATACTATTTTTTTAAAAAATAAAATAATACCTAATTAAAAATGCACATTTAAAAAAATACATTACCTCATTGTGATAAAATCTGGCAACAGTTTCAACTTCTTCTTTGGCTTGCATGGATGTTGCATCCCATGGTGCATAATATATGATAAGGGAAACATCTTTTTCCGAAATAAGAGCATATAAATTTTTAAAATTACCAGTGTAAAAATCTGTGACTAAAGATGGAGGCTCAAAAAATATTTTAGGAGGATTTGCTTTTTTTGTTTTCAAGGGACTGAAAGAAAAAATATATATTTTTAAATATAATATATATAATTACTTATTTAGAACAATAACATTATTAAATAAAAAAAAAATTATACAACACATCTACTATAAAATTAAACCAAATCCAATATATAAAATCACATAAAACAATACAAGAATAACCATAGTGCATCTTAAATTTCAGAATTAATAAATTAAAATTAAGCTTTTAAAATATATTTGATTCAATTATACTAATTTTTAATNCTGTCCACGTTGAATTTACTACCGTTTAGCGGTACCTTCACAAATTCAATTTTAGGAAAAACGGTAGTTTCACAAATTCAACTTTAGGAAAAACGATAGTTTCACAAAATACGCTTTCGTAAAATTTTATTTTTTGTATCCTTAAGAAACGACAAATCCATATTTTTGTGTTGATTTTTAAATATTATTTTTAATTTTTCACAAATTATGTCTGATTTTTCACATAATAGGTACCTCGCAAAAAAACTTACACAGACCCCTGACTAATCAATTCAACTGTATTTTAAAATATGAACCTGCTTTTTAAAGTTGTGTTAAAATTATGCTCCCTACAAAATTGCTGAAGAAAATAAACTTTTTTAAACGCAATATTTTTGCTTTGAAAATCTTTGATTAAAAAATATAACTAAATTGCTTCTCGAAAAACCAGAGTAATACTTAGTATTTTTTTAAATACTGGGAAGTGAATTTTAATATCAAAAATATAATAAACAATTTTAAAAACTTGTTTTCACTTGTATGTCACTCCTTTAAATATTAGAACAATAAATAAGCAATGTAACATTCTTTCTTTGATAAATATCATAACTTTCATTTCGCAATAGTTATATTTTATTCATAAATGAAAGCAATTCATATAAATAAACTTAATCTCACAACAGTGACAGTCAGTCAAATAATCATTCGGGAAAGACTAATGTTACAGTAACTACAGAGTCAAAGAGGTAAAAAAGAAGAAGTTAACACATAAAAAAGAAAAAACTTAATACTATTGTAGGGAACCGATTATNAAAACTGGTTTTGCTATGCGGAGGAAACTGCCTGTTAAAATGGTACTTAGCTATGTAAAAGAAACTTCTGTATTTTATTATTGAAAATGTTTTTGATATTTAAAAGATTTATTTCACAATTGAAATAGGTTTCTTTTTTTTTGTGTGTGTGCACTTTTACATAACTTGTGTGCACTTTTACATAAGTGCACATAACTTGTGTGCACTTTTTAAATAAAAATCACTCCTCTCATTAGATTAATCAAGCTTAAAGGTAAGATAAAAGATTATAAACTGCCATAGAGAGTTGCTGTGTTTAAAACACTTTATTTAGTGAAATTCTTTTTTTAAAACTAACTGCATAAACATAAAACAATGTAGCTAGAAATATAGCAGATACGAAGAAAAACAATAATCAATAACCGGGGTACAAAGTATCTTCACTTCTTGGAAGAAATAAAAATAAGATCTATAACAAAAAATTGAAAAGAAAAAACACAGAAAATACAGGTCAATGAAAATTATTATATGACCACATAACTTAATACATTATTTTAGAGTTTTAATTTTTGCAAAGCAAACCATATGGGAAAAATCTAGTTGAAACTTCAATATTTAGAAAACTTGTAGGTAACTTTGTTATGCACAACAAAATAAATTTTATTTTTAGCAGAAGCCATGCAAGTTTGTAAAGTGTTTTTTATATAGCTATGTACTAAATACAAGATCTATAACAAAAAGTTTAAAGCAAAATCATAAAAAACGCTAATGAAAATTATTTTTAGCCCACATAACTTATTTTAGAAATTTAATTATTGCAAAGTAAACCATATGGAAAAAATTTAATTGAAACTTTAATAGTTTGCAAACAATTGAAGGTAACTTTGCTATGCATAACAAAATAAACTTTATTTCGAGCAGAAGCCATACAAGTTTGCAGTGTTGTTTACTATATCTCTATGATCCTACCTATTTTGAAGAGCTGCTATACCAGTAAACACGATTGCAATCACGAAAAATATTTCGCGACCATAAGAATTCATAACTTGAAGATATCCTCCTATTGGCGGTGGTGTCTCTGCACGTGTCTCTTGTATTTTGATATCATCTTCGTCTTTCACCGTATCATTAGACGCCATGATGACGTCATTATAAGAAAAATAATAGCAATATAAATATGAATAATTTTTTTGATCATTAATAAGAAATTATAAAAATCAGATAACAGTATATGTTGCAAGTTCAACAAAGCTTTAAATCAAGTTTCGGATTTCATACGATACCGCCAACTTGACACCGGACACTGGATACTCGAATACAAACAAAAACCAAAACAAGACTAAAAATTATGTAGTGCCATTTTAAGTATGAAAATATTTTATTTTGTTAGTGTTTAAATACAATATGATTTATTTCACTTGATAAAACATATTTAATTATTTAAAAACTTTTTTAAAATGTATTAATACTCTTTATGACTTCTAATAATTTTTTTAAAAAATTGTAGACAAACGCTTGAACTGTAAGAAAAGGAAGGTAAACAAAGCGTGAAATTTATAGTTTTTTGATTCCAAATACATGATCCATTGACTGATTGTATCTTCGGGAGGTAACTATTAATAATTATAATTATTTGCAATAAATAAAGTTGAAACTGATTAAAGTTCATAAATTTTATTTCATGGAAGTTTGAATTCAGACTTGAATTTGCTGGAAGTACTATAGTTTTTATTCAGTATTAAAAGTGAATTGGGTACTTGAAGAATGACATAGACACTAAATTCCTTTCTAGAAGATATTAATCTATTAAAAGAAATATTTCGGAAACTGATTCTTCAAGGATATTTTACGAGTTTTGTATTGACAGTAAATGTATGTTCAGTCATATTTGTATTGCAAAATTCTATTTTGACTTTTCTAAAGTAATATTCAAGTGTGATAGTATTTTGGGTTTTTCGTATCATTGTTCCGGATCTGAAAATTGAAAGCAGGGCTTGTGATTTGTAATTCCGTATCGTGATCTGTCTCACCAACTACAATCGCCAAGATGCCAAATAGATTTTAAACTTGCAAATTTTTAAGAGAAAAAACATGTAGATGTTTGCCCGGGGGTGGCTACGAGTTATACCTTTCGAATTAGTCTTTTCTGTGGTGTTTTTTTTTTAGTTTCTCTGGACTTGACGATTATTCCGCCACAGATCACGATACGGAAATCTCCCCGTGTTGCTCCTGAATTTCTCGGGTCCAAAGACCATTGGTTCGAGAACTTCCATGAATCAAAAACTCATAATCAAACGAAATTTTTACAGAGTTCCTCAATCTAAAATTCCAATTCGGAAACATTTCAATGAATTCCGTTAACGAAACGTTTACATACACGTGATTCTTCAGCCAATTAATTGGCATAAAACCGCATATTTGATTCTTTCTGTTTGGCAGACTGTAGCCATTTTAAATATTTGATCTAATCTGCTAATGTAAAGATTCATATTCACAGAATTTTAATATTAAACATCATTTATCATAATTGCACGCTTTAAAAGTTACACAATGAGATTCATATTTGTGTGATTTAAAAATCACGCATCACCATTTGTATTCATGTGATTTAAAGATTGATCATACATTGCAATTCATATTTGCACTCTTTAAAAATCCAATATCACGATTAGTTTTTTCACATTTTTTAATCTAACTTTGCGATTCATATTCACTTGATTTTATTATCTAATATCGCGAGTCATACTCTCATGTTTTTAAAATCCACGATAGTGATTCTTGTAAGAACTAAGTTCTTTCTTAATGTTGTTATTATAAAGGTGTGATATTCTTCATTAGTCGGTAATTTAATTATGCGAGTATAATTTAAACATGCAATTTATACTCGCTTGTTTTTAAAATCCAGGATAGTGATTCTTGTAAGAATTAAGCTCTTTCTTAATGTTGTTATTATAAAGGTGTGATATTCTTCATTAGTCGGTAAATTAATTATAAATCTTAGTTCAAAAAATTATATTAAACATGGTAAAACTGGTTTTGCTATGCGGAGGAAACTGCCTGTTAAAATGCAACTTTTAACAAGCAGAACTACCAGTAGTTTAAAATAACAATTTGTGCAATTGAAATTTTTTTTTTTGGAATATTGTAACTAAAGGGATACAGAATGCATAAAAAATAATTGAAACTTTTTTGTTTGTATTTTCATGTCGATAAAAACAGAAATATTAAAATTTACCTGTGAATAATGTAGAATAAAGCAATGGAACTGTTAATGATGTGTGTTTATGTCTGAAGTTTTGTTGAAGCATGTTCTTTCACTAGGTTTTATTTTAGAAGTATAATATTTTTCAAAGTAGGCAGTTGTATTTTTTAAAATTGAAATATTTTTCTTTTTCAAAAAATATTTAAAACAAAGTTAATTTTGTTTCCTTGAAATTTTTAATAATCTTTATTTTGCAGTATGAGATGGTGTCTATGATTGAAGCACATTTTTATGGTATTCCTCATCAAAGTAGTATTTATGGTTTGACCTCATTATTTGCTGGTGAAAGTTCCCATAAAGTCTTAGTGGCATCATCTAAAAGGAAAGTCTACTGTATTGAATATACAAAAAGCAAGCAAAGTGTGATATTTTCAACTCGGGAAGTTCAATTCACGTATATACCAAGTAAAAATTCTTATTTTCAATCTGTACACATTGTTTCAAATTCCCAAATTTATAAAATATTTAATTAAAAGTTTTGTTAGTTGTTTATTTCTATGTTATCCACTGCTAACTGAATGAGACATTTCTAAAATAATTTTAGCTAGTGTACTGCAAGCTGTAGTTATAAAGCTGTATAAATAGTTTCTTTTTTAATGTTAACAGAGATTATAATTTTCTATCTGGCACTGTTAACAATATTATTTTACCAATATATTAACTAATATATTATGCAATAAAAGTATTTCCATGTATAAGCTTTATTCTGAACATAATTTTTTTTTTTAATAACTAAGTTTTCTTACAGAATTATCAAAGAAGCTGCAGCATTTTAATTTTAAATGTATTTCAAATTTACTGCCAGTCATAAATTATTGTATGAATTATAAAAAAATGCAGTATTTAAAAAAAATATGTATATAAATTTTTTTTTTTTTAATTACTGGATTCGGATATATATATATCATTTCTAACTCCTATTCTATGCCAATATTTTGGAATTCTTTTGTATATTTGTTTTTATTTCACTTTTTATCTTTATAGAATAAAAAATAATATTCTAATATTGTATATTTTTTATATGCTTACTCTTAATATCTTTTTATATTTTGATATGGCCAAATGATATCTTTTATGAATTAATAAAAAAAAAATATTTTATCTTTTGAAATATATTTAGAAACATTTGTATGAGATAAAAAAGGGCACCAAAAAAAAAAATTCATTTTTCTGAATATTATAAAAATATTCTACTAGCTGAATTAATCTGTCTGATTGTTAATGAATCATCTTTAATTTTTAGGTCGTGCTGAAATTATATCAATTGATGCTTTTAATCAGGCATGCCATATTCATGATTTTGTTGTTGGCATTACCTTTACTAAAGTAAGAATACCTACAAATTAGAAAAACAAACCACGTTTCCTAATTTTTAGTTTTGTCCTTTTTTTTAATTATTTATTTAGTTCTATATTTAGTGTTCAGTAAACTTTATAATATTAAATGAATTTATAAATTTATGTACATATTAAATTTGTTTTTATTATTAATTTTGTTTTATTTATTTTTGCTTATATTTTGTGATTTGCTGTTGTTGAGAACTGTTGTTACTAAAATATAACTTACTTATTTTCCGTTCAATAGTTTGGCACAAATACTTTGTCACAGCCTAAAAAGATTCATTATCCATTTCAATAAGCATGCTAGTGAATGAATTCTTCTTTTTTGAAAATTATATCAGTTCTATTGAATTTATAAAAATGAAATTGTTGAGTGATTTATTGGTAAATAATTGTAATTACAGATTCCTTATCATCTTTATTTTATTTCAAACATTTAGAAATGAATAATTTAATTTTTGTGAACTCTAAATACTTATAAAATTTTGTTTTTTAGCTAGATAATGGAGGGAAGCAAAGCCAATATTTTAATATATATTCTGACTGGGAGCCTAGCAACGAATGTGATTTAGACAATATTGCTCGTAGGTATTTTGATTTCTAAATAATAATAATTCAAATTTTTAGCATACAAATATGTGATTATGATTATTTATTGATGTCATTGGAAACATTTCTATTTATTTTAAACTTTTATAAAAAAAGAATGAAAAAATAATTGAAATTTAGTGAAATAGTGTTTTAAAAACAAAATTGGAACTTGCAGCATTATATTTTGTTTGCTTTATCCTTTTTAAGTATTTCTTTTATTTCTATAAAATTTTAAAAAAATTAAATATAAGATTTTTTTGTCAAAAATGAACTAGAAGAGTTGAGTTGTTTTCTCTTTAGTTTAGGTGAAATAATTGTTTGTACTATTAAGCTATTGAATTATATTGATTTTCTTTCTTATTAAATATTATATTATTTGTACAAATTGTAACTAATTAAAGTATGATAAGTGTCAAGGTTTTGATGTGGAATTTTTTTTGAATCATATTTTTTAAAAATCTTTTTTGTATAAGTTGTTCAATTGTAAAACTTCATAAGTACCATTCAGATTTTTTTTTCGTTTGCTTCAATTGAAAATAACTTCTCTTACATGATGTACCGATTGATCCATTGATTCTTTTACAGGAAAGTAATAACTTATGTTTTTTCTTCTTAATTTTCATCTAAAAGAAAATTAAATTTAGTTTCAGTAGATATTAACAATTTTGTACAAAATAAAAAAATGTAGATATAGATATGAATGGCAATTATGAACTTACATGTATCAATTATCTTTATTGAGAATTTGCTGTTTTTTCCTTAAAAAAAACATGTATTTTACTTATTTAAAAAAATCAATGTCTGATCACATATTTGTGTAATTAGACATTAATTAAAGTGAAAAAAAATATTTCATATAATTTAATTTTGCAGTAAAAGTGTGTAATTTTAAAAATTTATTAATTATATAAAAGAAGTTTGTGATGTAAAAAATGTGTTCATCTTTTTTTTATTTTCTCTCTCATTGGTTCTACTTTTATTTATTTCTAAGAAGAAAATATCTTTTTTCAGAGGGATGCCTAAGTATTTGCCTTGATTTTATTCCATTTCATTTAACGCATACTGAGTAAGAATAATTATTTTACTGTTTATTATTTTACTGTTTATTATTTTATGAACTACAATTATTGCATGTCTATTTTATATGCTGTCAGTAAAATTACTTTGTTTATTATTATCATTAGTATGTAGTACACATATTTTATTTTTTTAAATGTTTTTTTTTTTATTGAAATGTTTCAAAAAGATGAGTTTGAAAGCTTATTTGCTTCACTTCTATTTATTAGATTTAAAACATTTTTATTGCCTAAGAATAATTAAGTTATATAAATTACTCCCAATTCGAAAATATGTATTCATAGCATTTTGTGTAAAATGAACAAAAATAAAAAGAATGAAGATGAAAAGCTGGAAATAAAGGTAAATTGGAATATTATTGTGTATATTAAGAAGACTTTCTTTAAACTATTTAAAAATTATTTTCTTCAAAAAGTTTAATGAAAACAGATTAGACATTGTATCAAAACATAGTATTTTTGAGAAAATTTTTTTGCTGAGCATTATACATGATAGACAAAAAAGAAACAAGCTATCGATTAAGATATACATTTGTACAAATAATTTATGTTTATTTTTTACTATGTTAGTTGTATATTGTGTTAAGCAAAATAAAAATAGCCCAAAAAAAGAGTATATTTTTTAGACAGCAGCTGAGTGTGTTTCCTATTTTTCAAATTTGAAATCCAGAAATTTTAACCATAATTTAGAAAACAAATGCTGGAAGTATTACCATGAAATAAGCCATTGTTCCTGTTTCATTATCAGAATAATTTTTTAAAAAGAGAAGAGATATTAAGACGCATTTTTTTCTAAAAAATATTTGAAATACAGTGGCTTAGTAAATTTTCATTAGTTTTAAGGATATTTCATTTTATTAAGTGACTGATTTTACCAGCATGTCTACATTATGGAAAAAATTTTTTATTTAATTTTATAAATACACTAAAACTAAATTAATTACTACATTTATATATTTTAAGCAGTTTTAATTTAAATGAATGTTTTTTTTTAATTTTTTAAACTGTTTTTTTTTTATTAAGCATAAGCAAAACATTTTTTTTAATATACAGAAAGCTTTCAAAATATTTTTACATAATTGTATAATTAGCAGAATTTTAAATTTAAAAGTGTTTGAAAATTTTTAAATCTTTTTGTCACTTCCAATATTAACTCGAGTGTCAAGGACAATTTAAAATTTATTCTTGATGATCTCGTACGCAGATATGATTTTAAAAAGTAAGCAAATCTTACAACTTAACGATTTCATTAATGACAACCTCAGCATATTTATCTCTAAAAATTTGATAGGTAAGGTGTTTTAGAATGAAGTAATTGGTCAAAGTGTTTTTGAATAAAATAATTTGTAAAAGTGTTTTTTACCACTATGTTTTAAAATTTGAAAAAAGTTTTTAGTTTTGTTTACTACTATTAAAAAATTAGCAACAAAGCAATTATAAGTTGATGAAAATGCTGAGAGGATTGGGACACCTCTAAATTGCTTCTTTCAGATTACCCATTTAATTTATGGCCTGTTAAAAATTTTTTAAAAAATTAGATTTGAAAATACATTTTTAATCATGTTTAATAGACAGATTTTTTATAATCATATAAAATAATCACAGTTTTTTTTTTAAATTGAAATTTAAAAAAGTTTTCTGATGTCATTCAAACATTGCAAAATCAAACATACATCTTACATTTTTTTCCTGTACCTAAGAGTAAAATCTTATAAGAGCATTTCTCAAAACTAAATTTTGATATGATGTAGAAATTTAAACAAAAATATGTTTGTAAAAGCATTTTTGTTTATATTTTGATTTGCTGCTACTGAAAAACTTTAAAAAGTTATTGATTTAGTAATAGATGTTATAAATGATTATATTTTCTCATAATTCAAATCCTTTATTTCTACCTAGATTATCTGTAAATCAATCGAAAGAAATGGTATGGCTTTTAAGTGGGAGTGATTGTAAAATCCATCTTTATCGAGAGGTAAGAATGAATTAAAAGTTTTTGATAAATTTTTTAAATTTCTATTGGTAATTTTTGCTGCTTAAATCAATAACATTATTTACATTTTGTTAGCATATGTAGTTAACATTGCTTAAAACACTTATACTTCATGTACAGGGTGCGTGACGTTTTTAAAATGTTCATCACGATGCTTATTTTCGATTTTTGTTTTTTAAAAGCCCTTAAAGGTGCTTTTTTCAATGGGTGTTTTTCAAAAGTGCTTAATTTTCCCTTTTTCAAAATGATATTTTTTCCTTTACCATGTTGATTTTAGCTACGAATTATGCAAAAAGACACAGTTCACATTGTTCTATTCAACGTATTCACAATTCATTCAGCCACAANTTATGATACTTTTTTAAAGTGCTTAAAAATATTTTTTGAGTGCTTATTTTTTGTTGAATAATTTGGCTACGCACCCTGATGTACAGTGCGCCAAAATGAAAAGCGGAAAAAAAAAACAGACCACCCTGAATATCTTTTGATCTAATGATCGGATCTCCATGTTCTAGGACCCATTCTTAATGGTTCGAGGGGGTAACCTGAAACATGGCAAATAATAATACTTTGAAATACTGCTTACCGATCGGGTTTTTACTATATATACCACGTTTACATCAAATCTTTCAGAATGTCTTCCAACATTGTAAGTATTGAAAAATTTTTGTACATTGGACATATCTTTTTTTTACTGAACTTAACTATTTACTAATACTGTTTTTAAAATCTGTATTTGATTTTGTATAGGATAAAACTCGTCAGACATATTCTGAGGAACCTAGCAATACTTGTTTCCCAGAGTTTGAAGATCTGCCTAGTCTGTAAGTTTTAATATTCATATGGCCATTTTCTTAGTACTAATTTTAAACCAATAGTTTCTAGAATTGATTTTCAAAAAATGTTAGTTTAAATTTAAAGAAATTTTGTACTTTAAAGTATAAGTTATTTTTAAAAAAATCTGTTGAATGTTTACTACATTTGAATAGTATGTTTCAATGAGTTGATACTACAGTCTGTCATATCAGGCAGCTTTTAATGTAGTACCAGCGGATTTGATTGTTCAAAAAATAATAAAAATTTATATTTATTGGTTATTAAAAAATGTTATGCATTTGAGTTTTATTTATTCTTATGTTAACGGATTACAACATCAGTTCATGCAAGAATTTTGAACAAAAATGCAGTATACTTTTAAATATTTGAGTTTTAATTTATTTTGGCTTAATCAATATTAATTTATTTAAAATTTTCAAAAAATATTGGTACTAATTTTAAAATTTGTTTTATTTGACTATTTTTTTTTAAATAGATATTCTTTGCTTCCTTAATTAAATGAATTTTATTAAATGAAATAAGTTAAGTCTAAATATTTCCTTCCTCCCAAAGGAAAAATTGAAGATGAATTTTAGTAAACTTTTCTAAGTTGTTAGTCTTTAAAAACATTGTTAAATGTATTTGTTTTCCTACAAATTTTTATACACTCTAAATAAAACAAGAAGTTAGTTCCCATATTATATGATCTTGGAAAAAAAAACAACTTTCTTATTTTTTGTATCATAAAGAATAGATTAGGATATGTAATTTCATTGTAAAATATAAAATTCACTGAAGTACAATAGAGCAAGTGCAATATTTTTATTTTTATGAAATTAATAACTTTTATGATAGGATTAAAAACTTTTATGTTATTATGAATAAATAACTTTTGTGCATAATACTTTAAGCTATATTTTTAACATTAAGGTTATTCAACATTTGAGTTAGGCAAGATATTTTTTGTATTCTTGTATATTTGATTCTTACACCACTTTGTAATATCTACCAACAAAAATATATGCTTAAACTTTTTTTAGGGTAATGTGGATGGATTTTATAGCATCTGATGATTCAAGAATAACAGCTTTGGGATGTAAAGATGGAACTGTTATAGTTTCTTTAATTGAATTTGTTCCAGGTATTTGCGTGAAATCTAAGTCTAATTTGATTTTTATTTTATCTTTAAAATATCTATAAAAAAAACCTGTCGATTGGTCCATATATTGAAATATATAACTTAAGAGATAGATATTTTATGAAACAAAAAATATAGACATTTTATAAATTAAGTTTGTATCTCTAAAATTTAATTCGGAACTAATAATTGCACTCAAAGCTTAAAAAAAGGAAACTATGAAATTGAGTTAAGTTGTTTGACAACAAAAAAGTGGTTGAGAATGCATATTACGTGAATGCATATTATTATGGGTAATAAATATTGCATAAATATGGAACTGTGATAGTTTCTTTAACCGAATTTGTTCCTAATATTTGCATGAAATCTAGGTCCTCTTTGATTTGTATTTTAGCTTTGTAATATCCAAAAAAACTAAAAAAAAACTGGGGTTGTTCCATATATGGAAATCTATAACTTAAAAGTAGATATTTTATGAAACAGACAATATAAACATTTTCTAAAACCAGTTTGCATCTTTAACATTTTATTAGAGAAAAAAAACTATGAAATAGAGTTTGATAAAAAAAAAGTGGTCGTGACTACATATTACACGAATACATTCTCCAGGTATACATATTTTTCCATTTTGAATCACTATGCAAATGCAGTGACAATATTTTGAATCAATTTTTGAGTGAAATCAACAAATTTGCAGTAAAGATAATTTAAGCAATTCAGATTTATAATTATAATTTTAAAATGATTTGCATTTAGCATTCTAAATATAAGTTAAGATTAGAAAAGTTCGCCCAAGTTTGAATTTTATTGAAATGTGTGAAATATATTTCTTTAATTAAAATTTTGGATCAGTTTAGCATGTATCATGAGTATTTAAATAGTTTTATTTTCATTAATTCACACAAAGAGTGCTATTAATACAGTAGAGTTTAAAAAGTAGAGTTAAAACAGTAGAGTTTAATAGAGTTTAAAAAATTAAAAAAGGAGAAAAAAGGTTATCTATAGTATAAAACGTAAGGCAACTTTATTTTATCTTAATTTTTCAGTTATATATTTTATTGCCACACGTAAAATATATGGAAATAACCAGTTTCTGTAGCTAACATATTAACATGTCTATTATATTGGTTTTTCTCATGGTGGTCGTTGAGTATATTATTTAATTAATGCAGGCAGTATAGGTTACAAAACACAAAAGCTTAATTTTTATGAATAAGCATAAATTTTTTTTTGATGAATTTGGATTCTTGACCCTCAGAATGTGGGAAATTTGACCCCCATAATTTAGTCAGGAGAGGAATCAAAAGTATGAACCTCTCAATGTTAATCTAATTTTTTGTGTATTTTGTTACCTCAAAGAATTTGGATTTTTAAATTTCTTTTTCTCACAATTCCTTCAATTTTTGGATTTTAGCACTCAAAATTAATAGTTTTTGTATTATATGGAACCATATTTGAATAAGCTGGTTTTATAGCTCTGTGCAAAACTTTCTGACTCTCTTAATTAGTGTCTGAGATATCGCAGAATTTAAAAAAAAAAGAAGAGAAAATTAACATTAAGCAGCCAAACTTTTGACCGCTCTTCTACCTAAACTATTGGGACTATATTTTCCAGATTGGACTATGCTCCATATTTTGAAGGTCAAGCATTCGAATCTATCGAAGTAAATGTGTGTTTTCTCAAAGGAAGTATGTTTTAGTGTCTGATTTTGTTAACTAAATATTATCTGCTCATAGCAAATTCAAGGTGAGGCCTTTGAACTATTAAAATTTTGTCTTTGTACTTAAAAATCCGATCATTAGATCAAACGTTATTAAGTTGTTTTCTTTTGCACACTGCATAGTTATAGTTTATGAATTGAATCTAAATTAAGGTTTATTTTTAAATAAGTGATTTTCTGATGTTTACAAAAATATTAAATATTTGATTCTTATTTCGCTTTTTTTAAAACATTTGTTTTAGATATACATATTGTGTCTTCCTGGAAAATTCAGCATGATGGCCCTATTTCATCTGTTAAGCTCTTTAAAGATTCAGGATTGAAAAATCGCCTAGCTTCTGCCCATTCAGGTTGTTACTTAAATTTATCAAAGAAATAAAGCTATAAATATTGAATATTTGAATTTTGTTGATAAAATAAATTTTTAAGAAATTTTTTAATACTATGATTTGCATGCATTTCTCAGTTTTCATACCACAAAAATATGAATCATAATGCAAAGTTGAAAAGCAACCACTTTCACACAATTCAATTGAATCCAATTTGGGTTATAGCATTGAAAAAGCAGATGTTATTTTCATCTTTGTTATTTTATTACTTTAATTATGTCATTTTTATTTTTTTTTATGACCAATGCAATGTGTCAAAAATCTACTGTATTTTCTTTTAATTAGTATAGTAGATATCTATTTTTAACAACTTTATTCCTAGAGTATTATTTGTATGTTTAGAAAATGTCAATAATGAAGTATTCTCTCTTCAATAATTATAATTTCCAGATACAGCTAGTTTTTGAATATGTAATATTCATGTTTTTAATGTAGTACTGGTTTTGATATGTTAATAATATTCTATAAGTTAATAAAAAGAAAAACAATTATGTCCACATGTGAATTATATAAGGACGTTCCATAAACACTTTCCAAAATCACATTAGCAGTCACAAAAGCAAGGAGGAAACAACAGCACTATAGAAATCTGTTAAATTACTACTTCGAAATGCAGGATGAAAATATCAAAACCTGTTTACCTAATGTGTTTCTAATTATCATCTGGCAATCAAACAAGTTTTAAAGTTTTCAGTTCCACTTTTCTCTGTAATGATTCTTTAGTTTCTGATAGAATTTTTATTTATTTACTTCTCTATTAAATATTAATTTACAATCCCTAATGTCTAAAATAATATTTTAATAGAGGTGATAACAAAACATCCAGTATTTTAATATTCATTAATAAATTTTTTTTTTCTGTTATAGATGCAATTGATGAGAAAGGAAAGATAAATTTAGTTGTTGGGAACACTCTAGAAGTATCTGTTGTTTACAGGTATTTAAGCAAATTTTTTTTTATGTCGTTTGTAATCTAATTTAGTTTGAAATCAAAGTTTTCCGATTTAAAGATATAAATTAATAAAAGTAACCAATTTTATATTATGAAGATTTATTCATAATCTAAATATTTATTTATCTTAATTAGCACCAATATTGCTGTTATTTCTGTATCTATGTGGGTAACAATTATTGTAAAGCGTACTGTCTGTTTTCACCCTAACATTCTGTAATGTAATTTATGATAGATTAATTTTTTGCATATTATTACAGGGATGTCTTAAACTGTGATTTGAGTATATCGTCCCAATGGCAATTACCTAATAGCAATAAATTTGACTGTGTCACCTGTGCATTGATTGCAGATATTGATATGGATGGGAACAATGAATTGTTATTAGGAACATATGGGCAAGTATGTACAAAAATAAAGTGTTTATTTGATATTACATAAGCTTTTGTGCCTGATAGATGTAATTTTTCTTTTAAACTAAATGATAACATTGGGTTGTTAGTTGCGGGTGTATTATTGCACAAAAAGCGTATTAATAGACAATATTCTTTACAAATTTCCTCAAAAAAAAAGATTATTATTTTAAAAAGCATCTTCCAATTATTAAATAGTCATTTGATTACTTACTATTAAGTATTTAAATAACTATGGGTATTTGAGTTTTTAAATTCCAGATTTTGATTTCGGTAGGGGTGCATTTTTATAAATTTGGTATTTTGATTTCCTAAGTTAATCAGTAATGAGCTAAAGAAATTTTAAATTGGTTAAATGTTAGTCGCATAAAAAGTTGCATAGTTGAAACCTTGTGCCTATGAACAAATTTTTTTTGTAGAATGGTACAAAAACAAAAAAAGAAACTTGATAAATTTTTCACACAGGCGCTTACCTTTCTTACGTGAACATAAGGTTAAATCCTGAGGTGCCATATTTTTCTTTATCAGAATTAGTTTATTGCACTCTTTAATCAGTTACCTATATTATATAATATGGTTTATATTTTGTGCAATCTATCTGATCCTGGCTGAATTATACCATACATTCACCTCGACACTTGCAATCACAATGTTTGCAGCTAGTTATATTTCTGGTAGTATATAACATTCTAAGGTGTTATAGAAGTTTGTATTTAATTAAACCTAGGTTGTCAAAGTTTAATAACACATCAGGTATTCGTGAATACTTACTTGTACAGGTTGCTTCCCTAATAGGTAACTCAGTTTGTGCCTAAAGATTCAGAGGAGCAGCAACTAATACTTTGTTTGATTTACCAAGAAGCATTTAGGAAAAATAGTGTACAAAATTATAGTATAAGTTATTTACATTAAAAAAAAACTTGTCTGCCATAGAATGATATATTCATTTTACATCACTAAGAATTAAATGCAATTCTCTAAATAGAGTTTGCCAGTTGATAATCTCTGCCTAGAAATTCAAATTTATAATTGAAATTTTATTAAAATTTAAAGTTATTCAAAATATTAGTTTTAAAAATTTATTGCAATAAATAACTATATTGTGTTGTATGAATTTTTAATTATAACATGTATTCACATCTTTTACTTCACAAATAAATTTAGAAATATTATAAATTATATGTCATATTTCAAAATAATAATAAAAATCATGTGTTTAAAAAAATCTAATATTTTACTTAGTATTATTAGAATTTATTTTATTTTATTTAAATTAATATAATGATTTTGAATGTTTTATTGATTTATATATAATGAACAGGAATCATCATGTATAATTTTCCTTCCTGGCTGAAGAATTATCTTTTCCAAATATTTTATTAATCAAAAAAAGCATTTAAAATCAAAATAATTTCTTTGTAAGTTATATGAATATAAACTGTAGATTTGAGTAAAAAATGAGATGAAATTATTTTCTAGTTATTTTTGATATACAAGTGGAAACCAGAATCAGCTAAAAAAGGCAAAGGTTCTTATTTTTTATTTCATCAACAAATGCTACCCAATCCTATATTAGCTATGAGCTACATTGACATAGTTGGCGATGGATTGAAAGAACTTCTCATTCTAACAACAAAAGGCTTGCATATTTTTCAGGTGGGCTGTAATTAATATAAATTTATTTAATATTTCATTCATTATAAATAATATTTTAAAATATGCCAATTCCCAAAAAATTGAATAGATGAGTGACATTACTCTTAAAAATATTTTTTGTTTATAACATAGCCTAATACCAGAGCTCATTCTTGGCAGAAAAAAGGGCAGGGTGCAAAAGTTTAAAAAAAAGGGCATTATTATCCTAAAGAGGCAATAATTTCTTTCTATGGGCTTTACACGTTCTATTAAAAACATTCACGTTCTATTAAAAACATTGTCAATTTTTTTTAACTTTACTAAAAGTACCAAAGCAATCATATTAATTACTAATTTTTATTAATAAATTAACATATATATATCGAGTTAATGAGCCAATTAGCTTAGTAATTTATTTAAAATGCATGCATATATTAATAAAATAACAAATGTATGTTTTTAAGTGTCTGTAGTTATGATTGAATAATTAAAATGATTAATAATAATTATGATTCAATGATAGTGAAGTAACTGTAAACTTTCAAAGACAAGTGCAACAAGGGGGTGTGATGGCTATTTTTCCTTTCCCATATAAATCTATGTATTGACAGCAATGACAAACTAAATAAAAAGAGTTGTAAGTAACGAAGGGTTGAAGAAAGAAAGGGCAAAAAGGGTATGGAGTCTATTATATCATGTTACTAATTTACTTCAGGGGCAACAGGGTGGATTCTTTTGACTCAAAGGGCAGCAGGGTGCTGCACCCTGTTTACCCTGCCTAGAATGAGCTCTGAATACATTGTTAAGATCCAATTGACCTTTATTTTGGAAGAAATTCCAAAGATGTTTATATTGAAACATTTACACTCCTTGCATTTTAATTTTCTGCCGAAAGACCAGATTTTCTTCTTATATACTATTTGCTTCCAAATGTGCATGGACTTTTTTCCACTCCAAAAACATTTGAAAGTTATAGCTTATATAGGACCTTTATCCTCTGAAATCTTCGAAATTTAAATTTGATGCAATAAATGAATTGTAAAAATCAAATAATACTACAATTAGAATTTTTTCATACCAAAAATAAGTAAAAATAATTAAAAATTAACCAAACACAAATATTTAATAATTAAGCACTTTTTACAGTTAATTTAAGTACTGATCCTTAAGATAAAAGTATTTATAATTCTTGAATACTTTATTAATGCCATCATTTATAATTATTACATTTAATGTTTTTCTTATAGCATGACATGAAGAAAGCTGCTGAATTGTGTTTATCAAGAATGAAAATACTTCTGCAAAAGATGTCAAGAGAAGAACTAGAAAGTTGCTTAAAACTAGAATCATGAATAAATAATGTATTTTTACATTAATAATTAAAATTATGTAACATAACATTGAGTGTGTGTATATATATATATATATACTAAAAAAATGGATATTTTTATAAATTAATGTTATATGCAAATGTTCATTAAATTTTTAATTTATTAAATTAATTAGTTTTCTAGTTATTTTATTCTTATGCTACTATTAGTTACATATGGGATAGAATAAGAAATTTGTCATTACTTGCCATAACACCAAAATATTTTGAAAAAAAAAAATATATATATATATATAAAACTCATAATGATGTTATTTAAATTTGTAACCTATTGTTTATGTGATGCTTTAAATATTAAAATGAAATTAAAAATTAGGATTTTTAATTTTTAACTTAATTTTTTCCAGTTATGAAAAGATTTTTTCCCTCGTTCTTTTTTTCTTGGCTCCAATAACTGATACTTTTATTTTCTAACAGAAGGGTGTTTAGCTACTTAGAACTTCATATAAAATGGCTTAGGGACCAAAAATTTTGAAAAAAAANAAAAAAAAAAAAAAAAAAAAAAAAAAAAAGAACTAATATTTCGAAAGCTGTATTTTTCACAAGAAAATATTTATATAGTGATATTTAATATTCACTATATAGATACACTTAATAAAAGTAATGTATGATCCCTGATTTACAACTACTCGGCATCTACTGAAACTCGGTAATTAATATCAAGATTCATGTAGTTCAAAAAAGTGATTCATTAAGGTGATTCAAATTTTCATGTAAAAAAAACAAAATTAGATTGCAAAGAGAAAAAAAAAAATTTAAAATTTTTTTAGATGTAATTTTATTTATTTATTTTTTGCAGTTTGCTGTTAGTTTGTAAATAAGTAACACTAAGATTAAAAAAAATTGTGTTGCATACTCTGTTATTGAATAACTGAGTTATTGACTATTTAAAAAAAATATATGTTTATTAAGCAAACCAACAAAACAGTGTAGTAAAACAAATATTTATTTTTCTATGCAACCTTCAATTAATGTATCCCAAAACTTACATTTTACGTTTTGAACAATAAAATTTTTAGGAAGAGAAACTTTTTCAGGCGTATCATTGAATAAACAGTTTTTATTTCCTAATTGACCCCAATTATTATAGCCCCAAGTCCACAGCTGCTTATCTTCTGAAAAAAAAAAAGAACATGAATTTTAGAATTCTGATGTTAAGAAAAATAAAGTTTTTTTTTACAGTTTTTAACAGTCTAAATATAAACTAATTAAAATATTGATAAAAAAAATCACAAATACAGTCGTGGGATTTTTTAAAATCAGGATTGTTATTTACATTTTTATACAATCATTAATAGCTTAACTACATTAGCTATTTTTTATAATCTTATATTTTGCAAATAAAATTCTTTTAATAGTTTTTAATAGTTTATTCCTTTAATAGTTTATTCTTTTAATAGTTTAATTTCTAACAGATTCTAAATAATTTGTTATTACAAAAAATGGATTTTTTTTCGCCAAAAGATTTTGGCATTTAAGGATGCACTAATACTAATAATAATTCTGAATAATATACTAATTTTGAAGGAAATCAGGTTAACTTAAAACTTTGTAAAGGATCAGAAAAAAAAAATTGGATTTATCACTGATTTGACCTTATCCTCAGGACCCATTTATTTGTCAAAACTGATCCCAAAAACTTGGTGCTGAATAACTACACAAAATTATACATTTAAATTAAGTCTAGAGTTTTAGAATTTTCATGGTTTTTACATACCGCTAACAATTAACAGCAAAATAATTTCTCCATAAAAACCAAGTTGCCATAAGCTTCATTACTATTAATTTTTACTTGCAATAATTTTTAAAAATTGCTCAATCAAAATATGTTATTCTGCTTTTTTTATATATATATATATTTAATCTACTAGCAGTTTTGTTGACATTTTCATTTTAACTGCTTCCCAATGTTCAAATTTTTTTGCACAAATATGGTTGAAATAGCCATACACATTTTCCAAATATTCAACGGAAAATATTCACGTTCAACAATAATCCTTTCAACATTTCAATGATCTTTTCAATCAGAAAACTGTGATATGAATGTTAATTTTTTTACATACTACTTTATAAGTACTACTACATAAGTAGGTTGTAAGAAGTAAATGTTGTGTACATAAGTAGTAAATGTTATGCATAAAAATTAGAGGCTTTTTCTATACACTGGATTGTATGTAGATAGAAATTAAACAAGAAAAATTCTCTAATTGCACAACCATTTGTGAGTATCTATGTGTAGATCTACAGGTGGGTTAAATATAAATAATTTTAAACCAAAGCAATGAAATTAGGTTAGGCTATTACAGTTTTTGGATGTTTACTTTTTGGGTTCTGTTAACTCTATGTTTTGAAAAAAAAAAGTATAGACACACCACTGTTTATGTTATTTTATCTAAAATGAATAAAATTTTGTTTGTAGTTACATTCATCTAAATCTTCCAAATTATTAACAGAACATACCATTCACAGCTGGTGTATGTCCTGATACACAAAATGCTACTTTGTCTTTTTCGTCATCAAAAAAGGTCACAAAGATTTTAGTTTAAATTATTTTGTCTAAACTAAATCAAATTTTGTCTTTAGTTATATCTAAATCTTGCAAAGTATTAACAGAACATACCAGTTATAGCTGCTGTATGTCGAGAGCCACAAGATATTTTTGTGACTTTTTTGTCATCTAGATCTATTAATTTTGGAAGATAGCAAGCTGTATAGATTTCTGAAGAGGATCTATTTCCCTCAAGTTTAGGACAAGGAAGACCAAGCTGACCACTCTCATTCCAACCCCACATGTACAAGTCACCAATTGCTAAATAAAAATACTTTTAAGTAAATTAAATATAACAAGCAGTGCAAAATAGTCTTAGTATATGAATCGTTCATCCAAAAATATAAAATGTCAAATAAATAACATTGACTTTTGTGATAACTCGACTTCTTATGATAGTTGTTCTCTTAAAGAATTTTTTTACATGAAGCATTGGCAAAAACAATTATCAATCAAACAATTTATTTTCATTTTCACGATTCAAAAAGGTCTAAATATGTTAGTGCAATAGCTAGTAATTTAAAAATAATAAATAATAATCAATTTACATTAAAAATCAAAGATAGTTTGAGAGGTAACAGAAAAATTTAGTTTAATTTTTAATCAAAATTTAAATTATAATGACCCGTAATAATAATTCAAGAGTTTGTAACAATGCAATAATTACAACTTTAATCAAAATTTTAACCATTTTTAAGGGACAAATTGATAAAAAAAAATTTTCCCTTAAAAAAGGTAGATTGGATTTCAACTTAGATCTTCTCAACTTTTTTTAAAATTTCTTTGAAGTTTAAAATGTTGTAACTTCTTAGAAAAGTTAAGGTTCCTACTCCCTCAGGGAATAAGTGTCTTGTATAACTTTATCTCATACAGTACCAAATTTTTTCAGTTTAAATTTTGAAGCATAAAAATAAAGTGAAAGGCCAGTGATATAATTGAAAAGAAAGCTATAATTATTTCACTAAAAACTTCTCATAATTTTTTTTCTTCCTCCAATAATTTGAAAAGAAAAAACTTTATTAAAGCTGCGAGGCTCAGGGGATAGAGCGCTTGCTGCTCAATAAGTTGGTCTAGGTTCAAATCCCACAAGCTAGCTGATACAAATTCTGCACCCAGCTTGCTCCAACCACAGCACTAATGTAAAATATCCTCAGTGGTAGACGGATTATGGGTTAGAGTCCTCTTATTGCCCGATTAGCCTCAGTAGGCTTTTGTTATTTTCCTCTCCAGATAATGCAAATGGAGATTATTTCCATCAAAAAGTCCTCCACAAAGTCTAATTTGACCTAATGCTTCATCAAAAAGTTCCATTGTGTTCTTAGTTGGGTTCAAAATTACAAGGCTACAGAGTTGAACAGAACATTAATAACCGCAAACATGAAAATAGATTGACTGTTCAATATCAATTAAAAAATAAAATAATGTAAATATAACATATATATGTGGGTAAAGTGTATATGATACACTGTATTTATTCTTAACCATATACTTACAACTTATTGCTGCTGAGTGCCAACCTCCAGCAGCTATGGCTATAATTTCTATGCCTTCTAAAGCTTCTAATATCACAGGTTTCTCCAATTTATGTAAGTTATTATGCCCTAATTGACCACGGCTAAAATGTTATGAATAAAATATTTAATTATACAATAATTGAAAATTTGTATTAAAATCAATGTCAAAAAACTATTCAAAATATTTAAAAATTTAATTAAGAAATATATTATTTAATTCGAATGCATTTTTTAAATTATTTAAATGTGCCATAGATTATCAGCAAAAATACATGAACATGGTAAAATACCTCTATCTAATACAAAAAGAAAATGGTTTAACTTGTCATTGTTCTGGACATATTTTAATTGACAAGAAAAATTATTTGTTTGGATCCTAAATTAACAAATAGACCAAAATTCTTTTTGTTTGTCATCAGCATTAAACTAATAAAAGTTATAAGGGTATTTTTTACCTGTAAAACATTCCTTTACTCCTTATTTTACAGCACTTACAAGAAAAATTTATTTATAATCCATTTTTAGTATTATTCTCTGCTATAAAGATGATTTGATTATTATTTCAAATTAAAGGCTTAATAGCTGTATTTCTCGATAATAAAGTAATCCTATAATATTATTTTATTAGGTAACATTTTAACTGATTTGAAACAATATAACTAAACTATGAACTGTTTAACAATAATTAACCCTCTCAGCTATGAGAACCTGGGCTAAATTACACTGAAAATTTCCAGCTACTTAACAACATTGCGAAAACCGAATTTTCCAATTAGCCTGAGATACACATAAAGTTTCCTAATATTTTTTTCTGTAAAAGTATAAGAAACTAAACAATATTATAGTTATTATTTTTTTAATGTATGCATCTTGTAGTAACTTTATGTTTTAATACTTAGGTTTGCATCACATAGTTATGTAATACCTACCAAATAAATAAAAAAAAAAATTTTTAGACATTATATATTTGAAAAAATAAATGTTACCTTCCAAAACCATAACTTAACACCACACCAGAACTAGAGAGTAGCAATACATGTTCTTTACCACATGCAACTTGATTAATAATGAAAGGTAAATCTATTAATGTCACTTGAATTTCTTCTGTTTTTTTAATATCTAAAACTTTGCCCTCTAAAAAAAAAGAGATCATTAAATCTTGTAATTGTATAATTTAATACATATTTCATGAGAAATAAAATTTAGGCTTTTAATTAAAAAAATTAATATTTTAAATCCAAGAATACTAAAATAAATAAATTAATACTTTTATATTTAGTCATTAATATATTATTAGCATTTCATATTAATATTAGATCCAATCAAGGGGGGGATCCAATCAAGGGGCAAATGCATTTTATAAAAAAATTATTACATTTTGCATTTTTTATAAAAAAAATTCAAATAAAGATAATACTCAATTAAAAAAAAATTAAAAAATATTGATGAAACTTTCTGTATCTACTGAAATCTTGTATTTTTTAGGAAAATTATGCAGAGGTGATGAAAATAATTCTCTTTTGACAATGAAATGAAAAATAAAACCAAGTACATATTAGACTAATTTTTGAGTAGAAAAAATTCTCTCTTAGAAAGTATATTTTTTAAAACTATTAATGTTTTTTGGAGCATAATTATAGCTTTGTGATTTAATAGTAATAATTTACATAGTATAATTACATAGTACTAATTCACTTAATAGACAATTTCACTTACAATGCAGAAAACTTTGCAAACAAAACAATACATAAATGTGTTCAGCTAATTTTTATGCAAATAAACTTCTCTCAAATAAAATTTGTAATACAAAATCATTCCCTAATTGTTAAACTATCTAGTTTTATCTATAAAGCTATCTAGTTACATTATACTATCTAAATGCTCATCCAATCAAGTTTGCACTTTGCAATAATATAATACTCATTATTAAATGAAGTAATACTAGTTGATATATATTCTTTGCATGACATATAGTATATGATCTGTAGAATAACATAAAAGGTGGATACATGTGTACCAGTACCTGTTTGCACCAACTACAATTGCCTAGTCCCTAAAGGTATTTTAAACTTGTAAAAATTAAAAAAATTAATTTGTAGAGGACCTTAAAATTACTTCGCTTCTGTGATGTTTTTTTTTTTTTTTTCATTTCTCACAGGTCCACAGAAATCTTCTCCACAATGTGTCCACAACTTGTTTTATAAGTATTTTGTCAGATTTATACCACAACTTATGTTATCAGCCTTACTCAATATTATAATTTGTGTTACAGAGAAAAGAAACACTTACAAAATCAAAATTATCAGGGAAAACATAAATTTTACATTTTTATTTTATTTATTCAAATAGATAAATATACCTGTTGTTAAAGCAATTGTATATAAATCTTCAGTAGCAATTCGATCTAACTTCTTATCTTGTATATCGATTTTATTAACAACGAAATCAGGATGCGAAACATGATATAAGTCCAACGTTTCGGATATGATATAAGAATCGCTTAGACTGCAGCTTAAGTCATGTACACCAGAAAAGATTTTACGGGGGTGAGATTCTTCATTAGCTGTTTCATAAAAACCACAGTGGTATGTCCCTTCATCTGTGAAATGAGAATTATTGATTAATTTAAATAAATAATAATGTAGTATGATGAAAATTGAAATTTCAGTTTAGATAATAGATATTTACTAATTTTAATTAACAAGAAAGACCATCCAATAAATATTCCTTTAATTATAGAATATGGAGTAAGATCTAAACTTGAGAATTGTTTTAATGTTTTATATTTGATATTTATTTCGCTTAGTTCAATTTTAAAACAGTCTAACTTTTTGAATAAATTATTCCCATAAAAAATAAAAGAACGTTTTGTTTTATGACTTTTCCAGTCCGTATTGAGAGACATTAGGCATTTCCGATTGCTTTTCAATTTGTGAAAAAAAAAGTGAGAGCTAAAATTATATTTTTTTAGTTCTATGTTCAAGAGTTTTGATCACTTTTTGGATGATTCTATTCCTTGCTTTGTTTATTTACAATTTGCTTATCGGCAAAAGTAACGTTTCCGGTTATCTACTTTTGCTTACAGTATCTAAATCTTGTTACAGAAAAATAATATTACCCAAGCTGGATAGCTCAATCGAACCGTTTTCGTTCTTAAAAATACTTGATCATTATACAATGGATTCAACTCAAAAATCGAAACAGTTGAAAATGTCTCACTGTGCCTTTTCCGCTTATTCTATAACTCACTGTAACTTTATACATAGAATGTCGGCATAAACCGTAAACAACAAATGAAAGAGTAATAATTACCTAAAAAATGGTATAAAATTTATTCCGATTATCTTTTAAGTAAAAGAATTTTAGAAGACGTTGAAAATGGAAACTCTTCTTGAACAACAAAGACGATATCATGAAGAAAGAGAGAGGCTTGTTGACACAATGGTCAAAGAAAGTTTACACAAGAAAAGTTCTGTAAGCAATAATTCGTGTTTCTACCAGTAAATAAAATTAATGAAATCTCAAATGTATCTTTTCTTAAACCTTTTACTTTATATTTTCTGTCTATAAACTTGGTCATTTATCGTAATTTTTAAAATTGTATTATACTTTTCAGAATCGGGAACAGATCAATTCGGATCATCGTTTAAGGCTTCTTCTTAATGTAAGTAAATTTTCAGTTATATTCAGGGTTGGAAAAATATATTTTTTCCCCCTAGTAACCGAAACGCTTTATAAGTATGTGTTAAAACTATATCAGATGTATAATTTCAATACTATTTTAAATTAATCTCTATTTCATCTATTGAAATTCCAAATAAATTTTGTCAAAAATTAGCTTTCTAAAAAATACTTGGCCGAACATTTGGCTGAATGTTATGATGTATTCATATTTAGTGCTGTTAAAATATCTAACCAAAGTTTCTACTATATTATTTTTATCTATTATTTTTTTTACAGTTGTATTATTAAAAATTAATCTTATGTATTCAGAGCCGGATTATACCTTTCGTAGGCCCTAGGCATAGCCGTTTTTGGGCCCTCCCCTCCTTCCCCCACTCCTCCCCTCTTTTCAAAATACAGTAGAGCGCCGATTATCCGAACGTCCAATTATCCGAACTATGTCCGAATTCGCTTTTTTTTTTCGTCTTCTCTTTTTTAAGTTCAGAATTTTTTTTAACTTATTGACAATTTTTTTAAATTTAGAGGAATAAATAATATCCACTACATCTGAAGACCATATTTAATTTAAAGCAGTTTTCTTATAGTAGACATACATACATGCATTGTTATACAGTTAAACCTACATACCCCTTTAGCCCTCTTCACCTGAAAATTATCATCAAGGAATGCGAGCTTCATTTTGACAATCTACAATTGTTGGAAAGCGGAATGTGTTCATGAATAGATAAGTGCCGAAATTCTACAATTGGGGGATGGGTAGTTGTCACTCATGGTAATGATTAGTGATTACAGTGCTTGGAATCTTAAATCTTGGAATAAAATTCTTATCAGAAAAACAAACGAAACTGCAGTTTGTGAATCGTTAGATCTTTCGGGTGAAAATGTGCCATGTTATACAGCAGAAGAAATAGAAGACTGGTGTCGAGACACTGAAAACGACTCAGAATTTCACATTTTAAATGATCATGAAATTGTTTCTGAAATTTTGAATCAAATCGGAACTCCTCAGATTAAGAGGAAGAAGTACGTGATCAAGTTCAAGATTGTGGACCTTCTCATAAGAAGCATGCAATTCAATAGATATTGCAATGAATTGCCTAGAACGTCAAAATGATGTTGATCCAATTCAGTTGATTTATTTAAAAAGAATAAGGGATATGGCTGCACGAAAAAGAGCATGTTCTTTGAAACAAAAGTCTTTGCTGGATATCTTTTGCAATGGAAAATAAAGAAAAATGTGGTAAAATCAGTAATTGACAAAAAAAATTATAAAAAGCCGAAATATGATAAAAACGATTCAAATTGAAAAAAAAAGTTTAAAAAAATATATTTAAAAATTGGGAAAAAAAAGTCTTAAACTCGCCAGAGCTATTTTAGATAGTACTGCCAGTCCTAAGCCTAGAAAAGTGTGAAGGGAAGTTGGTGCATAAATAATAATCATTTAAACTAGGTTTTAAACAACTTTCCAATTATCCGAACATTTCATTATCCGAACCACGTTCGGTCCCGAGCAGTTCGGATAATCGGCGCTCTACTGTATATGCTGAAATTTTCTTGCATATTTTTTTTTTTACACTTTTATTAATATGGATTTTAATTTACGAATTTGTTTATCGAACTTTATCTGCAATACCGACGAGTGTAATGCATAAAGTAAGAGAAAAAAGAAAGGAACTCCTAACTTTAGAGAGAAAAAAAATGGTAGAAATATAACATTTAAAAGAATAAGAACCAATAAAATAATAATGAATAAAGAATAAGAACCAATTTAAAAGAATAAGTTTAGACAAGAAAAACAAGTTTAAAAAATACAAAATTCTCATATATATTTTTTAAAAATAATTACAATTCCTAAATTAACTTATACAGTAGGGAACCGATTATCCGGAATGATCGGGACCATCGCTATTCCGGATAACTAATTTTTCCGGTTTTCTGAATCGTTACAAAAAGCCGTTTTTTTATTGTTAAACCCAACTATAAAAAATTTTTTGGGGGAAATAATCTTAAAAAGAAGAAAAAACGATGAAGTTATACACTAATGATTATTTCCAAAATTATGGTAAGGNATTTATGAATAAAAAGAATTTATTGAGTGCGAAATTTATCGTGAAAAGAAAAAAAAATCAAATGCAGTGGAATCAGAAAAACAAAACTGTTTTTCTGATTCCACTACGTTTGATTTTTTTAAAAAAAATTTTTTCTCCCAAGTTTTTCGTAGGCCCTAGGCTCATGCCTAGTGTGCCTATAGGCTAATCCGGCCCTGTATGTATTAAATGAAACCAGTAAATTTAAATAAATGCATTTAATTATGTAATTATTATTGACATTTACTACATTATGCATAATACTGAAGTTAACTTAAAGCTGTGCTTAAGCATTGTATTTTATTTGTGTGTATTTTTCTTGCAAATTTATTTCTGTATTGTTATATTTTTATTAACACCATTGTCCAAATTAGTTTAAAACTCAATTTTTCTATTTAGACGATTTAAACTCAGTATGTTATTTTCAGAGATCCATGGATTGCACCTACAATTTAAAGGAGCTGTATGAAGACAAAGATGGGTAAAATTATTTTTGCTACATTATTTTTTAGTATATACTAGTCATTGAAAAATAGGGTTATAAAATAACCATCTTAACATTCGCAGGGGTCTGTCTAGGTTTTTCTAAGAGGTACCTATTTTGTGAAAATTTAGACATAATTTATGAAAAATTATATTAAAAAATCAACACAAAAATATGGATTTATCGTTTCTTAAGGGATACAAAAATAAAATTTTAAGAAAAAGTATTTTGTGAAACTACCGTTTTTCCTGAAGTTGAATTTGTGAAGGTACCGCTAAACGGTAGTAAATTCGGCCTGGACAGACCCCTGATTTGTATTTGTCCTAATTTCAAATGTGAAGCACAAGTGTTCATGTTATATGTAGAATGTGAATTTTCCAATGACCCCTTAAATTTTTATAGATTGAAATTTTGTGTTAAAATCATGTAAAAACTTATTTGATTTGATATCCCCTTGCGCTCGCTTTTACTGAATTTTTTTTCTCACCAGCATCTGCGATCACTGCTAGTTTATGGTTTGGGTTGTACTTGTATTCACACAGATGATTGAGAGAGTGGAAAGAGCAAAGGTTTTGACTTAATATCTTCTCTGTTTTATTTTTTTCATCCCTAGTTTAAGTGTGATTGCTGGATATAGATTGGTCTTCAATTTGCTACACTGATTTTTTTTTTTTTTTTTTGTGATTAAGGATGTTGTGTTAAGGATAAGCTTGGATGTTCTTTTCTATCTATCTATGCTGCCGAGATAAATTTCTTCTGAGCAAAATTTTAGTACATAGGGGAAAAACTAACTTTTTTAGCTAGAAGTATAATCCATTGCTGTATTACGATTTGTTAAGTGTAAAAAGATTTAATATGGCTGCTGATTTAATTTGAAACTTTGTGCATAGCTTTTTTAAACAATGCTTAATGGTGCTTATTTGCATTTTTTTTTTAATAAAATTCCTTAAAGGTGCTTTTATTATTGGGTGATTTTATAAAGTACTTAATTTTCCTTTTACCACATGACATGTTTTTCTTCACCATGTCGATGCATGAACTATGCAAAAATAGAGGTTTTCGCAAAGGTACATTCAATATTTTCATAATTCATGCAAACACAATCCATTTCAGCATACCATTGGTCTGTAGCATGTAAAAGCGCCAATCATTTAACATATTTGATGAAATGCTTGCAGGTCCGCATATGTGTGTACTGAGCTGGATTTGGTTAGAAGGATTCTTGCGTTCTCGTGTGCATTTTGCAACGGATTTTCTGTTTCCGACCTCTGCATTAGAAGCGAAAAATCTTGAATTTTTGGAGATTATGGAGACCTACTAAATATTGCAAATGTTTTTCTTTAATAGCGAAAGAAAATTTTATTTCTCTTGTTAATTTCATCATTGGTGAAGGCCATTGTCTTCGTCACTGGTAAGCCAATCGAACTTGACCTGGGGATCATTCACTAATTTCGTATATTCACGTGGGTTCAGAGGAGCAAGAAAAAATTCTTATTAGGGTGCAGATCCTAATTATGAATTTTTTTTAAAGTGCTAAAAAATATTTTTTAATGCATAAAGGTGCTTATTTTTGTTGAAAATTTGGCTACTCACCCTACCTGGCTCGCTTTCGACCACAGTGCTGATGTAAAACATTCTCAGTGATAGATGGATCATGGTTTAGAGTACCCCTTGCCACCAGGCTAACCTTGGAAGGTTTTCCTCTCTATGTAACACAAATGAAAATCCATCAAAAAGTCCTCCATGAAGGCAAAATTCACCCAATACTTGATCCAGGAATTCTCTTTTCTTCTGGATTGGGCTCAAAATTACAAGGCTACGGAGTTGAACCTTTGTAGTCGTGAACCCAAAATTTAGTCGGCTGTTCATTGATGGTTATGAAATAAACTATATCTTTATCGTATCTTTTAATTTAATATATTGTATCTTTTTTAAGATACATATGTTTAGTGTTCTTAAATAATTGTTTTGTGTTTATGAATTCCTAAATTTTTTGAGTTTGCAGCAGAGTGGTAACAAAACATGTTTACATGTTTAGTGTTTTTTAATAATAGTTTCCTGAGTGTATTTTTATGTTATATTTTTATGAAATTTGTAGGAGAATAATAAAACTGTTGCCTGGGAGATGACATTTGATATAGCTCTACTATTTTTTATTTATTTATGAAATGCATGTTTTGTGTTGTTGGAAAATGAACGTAGTACAAATGAACTTTTAAATTAATTAATTGCAAATTTTATTCTGTTTTCGGCCTCTGACGAAAGTGCGTCGAATAAAAATGTGCTAAATGTGGTTGGCAATGAAATGAATTTCCAAACATTGAGTGCAGATGAATAACAAATCAGTTCTCCTCTATTGTTTTTATTTATTTTTATTTATGTAATGTATTATTAGTGGAATAATTTTTTTAAGTAAACCTTTCTCTCTTTAGTTTAAGAAAAGATGAAATTGCTTCGTTATCAGGACCAAATGAATTTGCTGAGTTTTATTCTCGCCTCAGGGAGATAAGAGAATTTTATCGAAAACACCCTCATGAGGTTTGTTCTTTTTTATTATTTCAAAGCTCAATTTAAAATTCTATTTTACTATTAAATATTATGAACTAGGAAATTAAATAAAGTTTTTTTTTCCTCCAATAACAGTTTTTAATTTTAAAAAATATAATTTTTAAAATGTTTAAATATTACTAAACATATCTTCAAATTAAAATTATAAATTTGTGAGGCATATTTGTCACATCTGCATACAAAATCTGGTGCTCTGTCTGACAATGAATTAGGTAAATTTCTGTTGTTGGATATTACTATTTAATTATTTGTCAGTATATCATACTAAAAATTGTGCACTCTTTAAAAAAAGTAATATATACCTATAACAAAAAACAGTAATATTAAAACATGAGTAAAAAAAACATTTGGTGGTTGCAGAGTTCTCCTTAGGAATGAAAAAAAAAGCAGGGCGCTTCCTCACGAAAAGGGTAATTTGAGTTTTGAAAGAAGACACACTTAACACCTTAAAAATTGCCAAAATGTGCAATATTATGTAATAACTGAATTCAATCCTCAGCAATTTTTAAATTATCCTCTTATACTATTTTATGTGTATATTTCAAAAAGTAATTCTCATTTTAAAAACAAGAGAAAAATTTGTAGTTTATAAAAAAATAATTACAGGCAGGCATGCTAAAAAAACAATCATTGTGCAAATTTTTTTTCTTCAAAAAAACTAAACTAAAAAAATGATTATTGATAAACTACTCAAAAGCTTTTTTTCTTTAATTTAAACTGAAAATAATGAGAAAAAAAACTTAAAGATGCCTTTAAAAAGAAATAGGTATTTAAAGGATAATTTTAAAATCACTTGAAAAATTCATCGAAATATCCCTGAAAAAAGTTAAACTTATAAAAATTTAACCAGTTGAGAATAATCCTGACAAAAAAATATCTGTAATAAAATAGCAAGCAGAAGTAAACCTATAAAGACAGATATTTTTACTATTGTATAATTATTATTTAAATAGTGAATTAATTTTTAAAAAATGGAATATGAATAAAGAGGCAATGTTTGTTTATTTTTACTGAGAGGTCAAAAAGGGCGCTCAATGAAAAATAAGAATGATTTCCTTCAAGTACTTTGTTTTTAAAAAGCGCTATTGGGATATATAGAACAAAATAACTTCTGCAGGACTCATTATATAGCTAAAACAGAGAAGTGGTAAAACTTGCCACTGTTATTCGTTTTAAATAATTTCTATAATTGAACCACTATGTGCAAAAATGATTTCAGTTTTGCTAACTACTTTTCTAAGAAGCTAAAACGAATACTATTTTCTGCTTTTCCTATCTGTTTGAAAAAATCTGAAAAAAATTTTATATATCTAAAAGCAAATTTTCTTTGTTATATTAACTGTTTAAAAATACTGTGGTTTTCAGAATCACTATTTTTTTCTGTAATCATATGTTTTGAACAATATAATATGAAATATAATATTAAGTACTATACTAAATGCATTTTTTAAGTAGAGAAAATATCTTAGAAACTTAATAATATTAATTCATAGGTAGATTGTAATTTATTAATTTTAATGATACTTATTTACTGGTTACTTTTTAGTATATATTAACTTTGGTAATTCATTTGGAAAAAAAAAAGTACGCACTCACCTCAGCTCAAAATTAAAGTGATGCTCACAAAAAATACTGAATTGACCACAATTTTTAAATTTTTGTGCTTTACCCTGAAATTATGGTTTTTAAAATGAGAATTAAATTTTAAGTTTATTGCAGACAAAGTATAGTAAGATAAAATGATACACAATTTATTTAACAGTAAATATTGTTTTACTATTTCTCAGTAACTATTCTGAGATGCATTTCCATAACTAGGCTAATTTTTTTTTAATTTTTTACTTAATATTCAAAATAATGTAACTTTTTATGCTGCAAAAATTTCACATTAATGCTAATACTGTAAATATATTTGTATTTTGTTATTCCAGTAATAAAGATAGTTTTTACTGTCTCTTTTTCAGTTTTTATTTGTATGTGGCATAATAGTTTTCTAATCTTTAATTGATAGATTATTTTTACAGATTCAAGTTCCCATGTCAGTAGAATTTGATGAAATCAATAAATTAAGAGAGACTACTGAAGATAATGTTCCAGAGAGTGAGACATTCTTAAATGTTCTAAAAGTTAAAAATTAAAATGCCTCTCATTTGTGATTTCTTATATATTGATTTAAGATGCTGTACAGCGCAAAGTTTCGGTGTTATATGTTTCAATTGTTGCATAATGATTCAAATAATTTTTTATTACATAGATTTTAAGTGCCTAGACCCCAAAAATAAGCAAACAAGTCTTAGAATTAAAATACAGTAGCAGATTTATATAACACAATTCTATAAACTGCAATTCTCCTTAAACCACATTAACTTTTAAAGTTGTAAGCAATGAAAATTGAAACTCAGAAATTTCTGTCTAAGCAAGAAAACTTAACTTTTTGCAATGCTAAAAGGTTACAATTTTATAAGCTAAGCAAACCAAAAATAATAAATTTATTTTAATGCTCTAGAAAATTTAAATTTCTTTTATCTGTGAATAATAAATAATCAAGTTCATATTTTTGTATTTTAAGTTTATGCTTATAAGAATCATTTTAAAGATTTTTATGATTGTTCCCTTCCAGACTAATATTGCTGCTATATATAGTTGATAAATATAAAGCTATATAAAATGATCTATACTACAGAAAATTCTATAAAATGTGAAGCTTAGTGTTTCAAGGTTTGCTACTATAAAGTTATTCTACTGTAACAAATATATTTAATTTATTGTTGTCGTAGGTGATTAAGGCACTGGGGTACTATTACTCTTGTTTTCCAGTGGCGCCATCTACAACCAAGAATTAGACTTCTGCCACACCTATTTATAGGACGGACCCATTCATTCACCCACAGATAGTAATTTTGACCTGAACCAGAGAACGATCAATCTCAAATTCAGTATCCCCAGACGTATAATTTTTTTATGGGAGCCTGGAAGACTTTGTGACCCGACAGATTTAACATGTCACCATTTGCTACATGGGGAGTTTTCTTCAGCTGGCTGGATTTGAACTCCGTTCCAACGAATGTGAGCCCAGCTCCCTACCAACCAGGCTATCCTGGCCCACAGAATATTTAATTTAAAATTAATAAATAAAATAGTCAAAATTATATTTCTTTTTCAATTTATCTAAATTAAATTTGCTTATAAATTTGATTACAACTTTTAATATGGAGTCTGCTATAATCTGAAATGTATTACACTTTTCTTTTCTAACTTTATTATTAAATCATGCCACAAGATGACTGACTAGCTGGAATTCACCCATGTACCATCCTTATTCTGCACTGAAACTTTTTCATGAGTGTCTAGTTTTCACTATAAAATTCATTGTTGTGATCTTAACTTTATTTTAATTATGCAAGATCTCTGAAAATTATGTTAATTTCATTATTTATAGTAAGATTGTTAGATTTGTATAAATAGTTATGTAAATAAGATTTTCTTCTATTCCTCATATTATTGATTTGATTCTTGTATAATGATTTCAGTTTTTATATAAATAAAAGCCAAAATAGAAATTTTCACACAAACTGTCACAATTGTTTCATCTTATATTGTTACAATTAAAAGACATTTTATGATTATTAGAAAAATTAAGAAATTGAAAATTCTCTTTGTTGAATGAGCTACACTTAAAATTTCTAAATAAAAATATGCAAACAATTTTGCATGCTTGTTTATTTCTTTCTGTCGTAATTATACTGCAAAATGAAAAGTTTATCAAAACCACTTTAATAAATTTTAATGTAAGTTCATGTATTTGATATTTTTTTTCCTAAATTCATTTGAATTAATTACTTGTTATTGGTATATTCATTAAGTATAATTGGGTATTAATTGTACTTAACTATTAAACAATTATTGGTAATGTTTAAAATTTTTGAAATGAATAAAAATTTAATTTTTTAAAAGTAATAAAAATATTAAAGGCATGCAGATATAAGTTATTTATATATCTTTATTCTTCTATCACTAATAAATGTTTTCTGGTGCTCATATGCTATATATATACAAACTTGTTTTTCTTTTTATAAACATTACCTTTAAGAAATTGTTTTACATAAGCTTATGTTTTAGTTTTCTTTATATATTTTATTTAGACATGGCAGAATTTAAAGATGAGGAGGGTTATGGTAAATTTCTTGACCTGCATGAATGTTATGAGAAGTTTTTAAATATTCGAGGAGTGGAGGTTTGTATCACCTTTACGTTTATTTTTTATTTGCACTTCTTTTCTATTTAAAGACATATTCCATTTAAAAAAATCTTTGAAAAATACTGTTTTATTTGTTTGAAACCTTGAAATGTTTTCACAATATAGTTTTATTGATCACACATGAAATAAAAGTACTATTTATTCCTTTGTCGGCCAATAATTATTATTGGTATGTCATTTATTTTGCTTCCATATTTTTAAAAATTTTATATTAAGATGTTAATTAAAAAAGCTTTTAAAATACTGTCATTTATATTTTATTGATGCGGACAATTCTCATTATTGTATCAGCTACCATATATGTAAAAATAGACATTATCTTGATAATTTATCACAAATTATTGCAACCATAATCTCACTATGGAAAAGTTAGTTGTATGATCAATTTATGTTAGGGAATAACTTTCAAAATGTTTAGTGCAATTTTAATTTTTGTTTTTTGTAATTGTATTATTTCTTGAGCAGAAAAAAGAATTTCTTGTAAAGATTTAGTTACTAATACCTTGAAAGTTAGCTAACCTTTGCACCTCAATTGTTTTTTTTATCTTTTGTTCTTTCCTTATATAATATAAATAATGTTTATTTTCTAAATTTTTTTTCTCCTTTTTCTAGAAAGTTGACTATATGACATATTTGTCGATATTTGATCAACTCTTTGATATACCAAAAGAGAGGAAAAATACAGAATATAAGAAGTATGTAAATACCATTCAATTTGAAATAAATTTATTAAAATTTCAAATAGAATTAATTTAATAAAATGTTGAATGTTTTTAGGTATATTGAAAGTTTACTTGAATATCTTGAAGATTACTGTCATCGTGTAAAGCCCTTACTTGATTTAAGTGACGTAAGTGTCATTAAAAAATATCTTATTGTAATAGAAACAGTTTGAGTCGTAATTTTTCTGCTGCCACTTCTTTGAATCGTTGTTTGTTGCATTGTTTTTAAATTTCATAGTTTGATGTAATGTTAGAGGGTATTTGAGATTTCCTGTAAAGTTACATAAAAGCTCATTTCTGTTATCTTTAGCTTTTCTTTGGAAGTTTAACCAATTAACCAACCATAGCACCATTAGTGATGTAGGTAAGAAAATTTTTCCAGAAAATTTTATTAATTTGATGGGAAAATTTTTCCATGTTTTTCCAAAAAATTTTAATAAATGTCAAAAAAAAAGATTTTTTTTTCATTCCTCTTTTATGGAACATGCAGGGTATCCGCGCACCTGGAAAGTCATGATTTTCGGTATTGAACAAAATTTGTCTTGAAATGTCATGATTTTAACTATTTTTTAAAAAAAATCATGAAAAGTCATGGATTTAGGTCGCCAAAAGATCTAATTTATAAAATGGAATTTACCCCCTCCCCCCAATTCAATAGTGTTCCGAATATCTGAATTTGTAACAAAATTCCCACTCACAGTCATATTTGATTAAAATATAAAATGTTTTTATCTTGTTCTTTAAAAATTATGGTGTTCTTTCAAAAAAGGAAAGAAAAAACATCATTTCTGGAGTGAATTATCTTTTAAACTTCTGTGATTTCAGAATTTGTGTTATTATTTTTATTTTATAAATTTAAAATTTTAGCTGAAGGCCATTGGCGAATTTTTTTATTCCTAAATGAGAACAGAAAAATCAGGAGTATTTCTTTCCTTTCGTATGAGCAAGAAAAGTATCTTTAGACTATAATTCTGCAGAAAAAAATTATTTGCTTTTGTATTTTTTTCAGCTATTTTACTGCTTCAACTCTTTCTAAACTTTGTTTTTTAAATTTAAAATCTGTAAAGATGAAGATGTAGAATATAACAGTTTTGGTTATACCTATCATTTCAATGAATGTTATTATAAATGCTTTTTTAAATTTAGTGTTGTGTTTTTGTCGGAGAAAATAGTTACTTCGTTAAGTCATGAAAAATTCTTGGAATTACTTATGGAAAGTCATGAATTTGAAAATCTAAAATGTAGCAGATACCCTGAACCTAGTTTTATCAATATTTTAATTTACTAGGCAATTTCTGCACCATTTAAACAAAAACTACAGGTTATATATACAGGTTGTAATTCACATAATTAAGTTTGATTGTTTTTCACACTAGATTTATCCTATTGTTTACTTGCAACTCATAACAAGTCAATTCATCCTATTTCATAATAAAAGAGCACTCGCAAAAAAAATCACCCATTTATCTTGTTGTTTGATAAACAAATAATGAAGTAGTGACAGAGAGGGGAAAAAAATGGTCCCACTGTATTGGCTGCTGCAGCTATAAAGAGATATAATTACCTCTTGTAAACAAAGTTAAACTGGGATAAAAAGAAATCTTTCTGTTCTGTCAGGAATAATGGTGTCATAATAACTAACTTAAACTGTCATCCATATGTTTAACTTTATTTGTTGCATAGCTGTCCACATGTTTACACTTGGCAGCTTGCTGATCCATGTACCTTTACACTTATTTTCTTAATACAGGGTAATTCAAATTGAATATTGTGATTGCAAACGGCTATAACTATTTAACAGGGTGCATAGTATTTTTAAAAAGTGCTTAAAGGTGCTTATTTTTGATTTACGTTTTTTAAAAGCCCTTACAGGTGCTGTTTTTACTTGGGGTTTGTAAAAAGTGCTTAATTTTTATCTTACAAGAAGAGATTTTTTCTTTGTCGTATCGATTGTCGTTCTAAACCACAAAAAATTCATGATTTTTATAATTTTCTCTGCAATATTTATCAGAAACTAGTTATTTTAGCATGATTGTGAAGTTTTTGAGAATGTTTTTGAATTTTAAATAATAGATGTATTTTGATATATATATTGGGGTATAATGATAGATTGAATTTTAAATGTTTTGATTAAAATGATAGAAAAAAATAATTTTTGTTACTGCACAGATTCTAGTTATGATTTTTTTTGTTTGTTGGAAAGTGATTAAAAATATGTTTTGAGTGCTTAATGCTTATTTTTTAATGAAAAATCTGGCTACGCACCCTGTTTAATGAAAAATAATTTGTCAATCAGATTAACATGGAATGTTGAAGTTGTGTAAATTTTATTCATAAATTCTTTTTTATTAAATAGTTATAGCCGTTTGTAATTGCTATATTCGTTTTGAATTGCCCTGTATATCGATAAATTAGTTTTTTTTTATTAAGAAAGTGTAATCGGAGAAAAAACCAAGTTAGTAGAAACATTTTGTTGAAGTTCCTGAAAGCAATATATTTTTTGGCAAATGCAAATATTATGATCAAACATAAGGAAATAAACTGGAAGGAGAAGACAGTGCAGGGGGAAAAAAACGGAAGACTCTGAATAACTTTTGATCTAATGATACTGTAGTACTACAAAGGCAAATGAAATTAAGTTGCATATTTGAGAATCAAATTTTTACGTACTTTATCTCCTACGAATTCAAGTGGTTTTATCAGCAACTTTTTCAGCAGTAGTTGCTATGTATTTCTATGTGGTTTACAGATTAAATTTTTTAAAACTGCATTATTATGACACATAAATTTTGATTCCTTTTTCTAGTTTAAAATTGATTTTGATCATTTTTATTCGTCCTGAGTTAAAAAAAAATTATCCGATCTTTTAAACTTTACAGAATTTCGAGGTCATACTGTATCGGAAAAGATCGAAACCTATTGTATGCTACCAACATAAATTAAGTGTTTTCTTCTGATTGTTTCTCTTTTCTGTTTAACTAAAAACTCTAACCTTGAAGCATTCGTTATATTGCATCTTGATATCAAGTCTTCATCTTTAATTTCTTTACAGTGAAATAATTTAATTTGTGTACTTATTTTATTGTCTTGCCTTACTTCTATTTTATCTTTCTTTATATTATTTGAAATAGGAAATGGATTCAGTTATTATTGAATTTGATAAACAGTGGGAACAAGGTGCTTTTCCTGGTTGGCAAGTAAGTAATAAGTCAAGTCAAAAAAATTGTTAAGTAACAAATATAATTTTTTTACTGTTAATTTTTTTTTAAGAACATATGAAGTCTTATGTCTAAATAATATTGCTTTATTTGACGTTATTTAGGATAATTAAAATTCTGCATTTTTCGCTAGTGATTTTTTTCTTATGATAATTAATGATAGACATTTTTTATTTATGTATTCACTTCATTTGTCTTTTAATAGCTTTAAAATTCAATTATATAAATCGCATAATATATTTCTGCATGAATCAATAATTTAATTTTTCAATTGCTTTATTGCCTCAATTAATATTTTATTTGTAATACTTTAATTTTTTTTCTTCAGAAAGAGACTGAGAGTGCATTGACCCATGCTGGTGCCCATTTAGATTTGTCTGCATTTACTTCATCTGAGGTATGTTTCATTATAAATTAATTGTAAATCTGATCTTTGTTTTATTCCCTAGTTATTATTATTATATTGAATAACTGACTCACTGAATAATAATTTAGGGAAAGAAATTATTTTTGAAAAAAGTGGGGAAAATTCCAAATTTCTTTGAAATAGTGTTATTGTATAATTTTAATGCACGGTGTTTTGTTTTACATAAATGTTATAAGATGTTACACCACCGTGTTGTATTGCAGAAAGCTTTTGGTTTTATACGACACTGTTGTGAAAAATTAGTTCTTTTTTAAAACAACTGTTCTTATACCAACTAAACCTTAATATGAGATTACTAAGCTTTCCATTGGTTAAAAGTATACTATGCCTGAGTATGAAAAGAAAGTCTGAAGTAGTTTGCAAAAAATGTTGAACTATACTTTTTGTGGAAGTCCTTTACAACAGTTTCTATAATGTGCATCAGTCAGCTGCCATAATTTCTTCCTATGTAATCAAAGTTGCCCCAAACTTTCATTTTTTGAGATTTTTGGTGGGAATAATATTGACTACCCCTTTAAGATTCTTAGTAAGTTACTTCTATAGTAAATTATTGTTATTTTTTCACATCTATTGTTATATTTTCTCGTTCTTTTTCTTTTTTACTTGATGCAGTATTTTTGTTTACTATGTATGAATACATTTTATATTAATAAAAACCATATTAGGTCAAATTGTTGTCTTAATTTTTTTTAAATATATTCTTTTCTGATGATTTTTTTACATTTTTTGTAAACATCTGTTTAAAAATAAAATTGTAGTAGACTGAAAAATTGTATACCTTTTAGCTGTATCAACTTGCTTTACTCCCTGATCTACTTCTGAAAATATTTTAAACTTTTCTTCAAATGTTAATGTCTTAAAGAGCACCATCATAAATTTAAAGTTTTAGTATCATAAAACAAGTGGTCAGTTCAAAGTACTACATCGTGGTCAATCGTAACAAACACATATGAGTATTTCTCTCTTCCATTCCATCATTTCTACAATGACCTCCTAGCATGGATTGCAATATCTATTTTATAATTTCTTTTTCATTTTATTTATCAATAATCTTTTGTTTTCAGTTTGATCTTCGTGTGTCATTTTTCAATTCAATATTTGTTTCCCCCAAAAAAATTAAAATTAAATATGTTTCAGTGGTAATTATATTGTTAAATATAGCTCCGTCTGAAAAAATGATTATTAATGTTGACAAGTTAAAAATGTATCAAAAACAGAACTAACAGAATGAGTGATAATTACTCCTAATAAGATAATTTTTCTTTGTGTATCTAAAGATTATAATTATTGCTCTATTTTAGGCTTAAGACTTTTTTTTTACAGGATCTTAGAATCAATAAAAATATTTTTCTTCTTCTTTTGTACGATGCTGTATTTTTATGTATTTATATTTCAGGAATTGGCATCTCTGGGATTAGATAGATTGAAATCTGCTCTTATGGCTTTAGGTTTAAAATGTGGCGGGTAAGTGGTAGCCTTAATTGACTAATTTTTTTTTAAATGTTTTTTATGTTTTACCATTATATGCAGACATTTGAAATGCTCTTCAGTTGCCATTGATTTCTTGTTTTTTGTATATTTTAGAAGATTTAGTATGTTTTTAAAAAAAAGTCCCGATTGAAATAGAATTTATTGCTTGCTTTAATATTGAAGTAATGCTAATTCATAATGAAGCTAGCCTCATACTTATTAATCAGTTTGAAGCTTTATTTGTTCTAAAATTTTTAGTTTATTTTTTATTCAGAACACCTTTTTTAAATAAAAGAAAAAATTTATTTTTTAACTGTCAATAAAAAATTACTATTAAAAATTATGAATTAACATAATTATAAATCATTTCAAGTTCATTTAATGTTGATCATAAATACAAAATTTTGCAAATTATCTAATGTTATTAGAAGTATTAAGTTTTCGTATTTTGATAGCAATAAGAATCCCTAAATTTCCCTATATGTTAAATATATTTAGTATATTATGCAATAGTTATCATAGAACTTGTAAATTGAAAAATCTGGATTTTTTCTTATCTATGTTAGCAGTCATGTAAAAAGACACTTCAATACTGAAATAAGATGCAATCTTAATTTTTTGAGTTATTGTGTATTTCTCTAATTATGGAACTATTTAAGTGATGAAAAAATTAACATGCAATTAATGTAAAAAAATGTTTAGTAATGCTTTAGCTGTAATATTTTTATTTAATAGTGGTCAAAAAAGTTTTAACTTTGAAGTTACAAATTTTTACCTCCTTCTTCACCATGTCATTTTAAATGATGAATTCCAATATTTGAATGACTCAATCTAAAGAATAAAGTTTTTTAAAAAAAAAACAATCATAAATTTTAAATTTCCAGTTTACAAGTATTGTTAATGGAATATATTTGAATGTCAGATTTTAGAGTTTCAAATTCAGGGATGAGATTCTTCCGCGGATTCGCGGATTTCCGCTTTTTTTCAGATTTTTCCATTTTTCCCGCTAATTTCCGCTGAAATTTTTTTTTGCCCAAGTTAAAATGTTTTANCATTGATTTTTAGTGGCATTATATTAACAACATACCTGCCAACTCTACTGGATTAACCAGCAGACTATTGGATTTTGCCCGTTTCTCCTGATCTAATGGCTTAGTAAAAATTCTTATGTTTTTTGTATATTTTAGAAAACTTAATAAAATTGAGTAAGTTTTCTAACATAATCCCGATTGAAATAGAATTTATTGCTTGCTTTAATACTTAAGTAATGCTTATTCATAATGAAGCTAGCCTCATATTTAGTAATCAGTTGGAAGCTTTTTTTTGTTCTAAAATTTTTAGTTTATTTTTATTCAGAACACCTTTTTTAAATTAATTTAAAAAATTTTTTTAACTGTCAATAATAAATTACTATTAAAAATTATGAATTAACATAATTATAAAACATTTCTAGTTCATTTAATGCCGATCATAAATACAAAATATTGCTGATTATCTAATGTTATTAGAATGATTAAGTTTTTGTATTTTGATGATAATAAGAATCCCTAAATCTCCCTATATGTTAAATATTTAGTATATTATGCAATAGTTATCATAAAACTTGTATTTCAAAAAATCTGGATATTTTCTTATCTGTGTTAGTAGTCATGTAAAAAGACACTTCAATACTGAAATAAGATGCAATCTTAATTTTTTGAGTTATTGTGTATTTCTCTAATTATGGAACTATTTAAGTGATAAAAAAATTAACATGCAATTAATGCAAAAAAATTTTAGTAATTCTTTAGCTGTAATATTTTTATTTAATAGTGGTCAAAAAAGTTTTAACTTTAAAGTTGCAAATTTTTACCTCCTTCTCTACCATGTCATTTTAAATTATAAATTCAAATATTTGAATTGACTCGATCAAACGAAAAAAGTTTTAAAAAAAATCATAATTTTACAAGCATTATTAATGGAATATATTAGAATGTTAGATTTTATAGTTTGAAATTCAAAATATTTTTGCCTTTTAATACTGAATACTGAAATTTAAAATTAATTTTTTCACATTTTTTTTGTTGTTAAAATCCATTGTTATAGAAATTTTTTTATAATTCCTCAAATCAAATTAGTGTTTTTTTATTGCTTTTTTAAGTTTAAGACTAACTTTTTTAAGTTAAGACAAAATTTTTAAGACTTAGAAACTTATTGTATTTTTGGCCACTGAATCAATCTCCCTTGATTTATTTTTAAATTATTTTTGATATTAGATTGTTATGGTTTAAAGATACAGTTTATTTTTAACATATTTGTGACTTTAATCTACAACAAACAATTTCCAGTATATATTCATTATCATATTGTCGCATATCATTTTTCAGCTTTAAAACTGGGCTTTTTAAATTTATGCACATAATTCACTTTTGATTTATTTAATAATTATCTTTATATCTCTCTCTCATTTTTTATCAGTACTCTCGAAGAAAGGGCTCAAAGACTCTTTAAAACAAAAGGAAAAAGTCTGAAAGAATTGGATCAAACTATGTTTGCTAAATCTAAACCAGGTAAAGCTGGACGTACTAAAGATGTTGAAAAACAAAAAGATATTGCTTTACTTGAAGCTCAGCTGTACAGATTTGTTGAAATTCTCTCAGTAAGTCAAATTTTCTGCTAAGCTTAGTATACATGTTTTAAAATGTGCTTTGTTTGTACCACTTCATTTTTTTTTAAAGAGATACCTTTTTAAATCACTTTTTTAAATGTAAACTTTTACAATAGTTTTGGAAGGGAACATTTCTAAAGTTACGTAGTTTCCATTGTACATAATTATTAGGCTAGTATCCTCTAATTGTGTTTGGAAAATTTACTAAATTATATTGTTTTTTAGAAGTAATTAGTTTTTATAGATTTTAACAAGGTTCAGTATTTATAAAAAAGTATTCTTAACCTTGGGTAGAGTATTCTTGTTTTTGAAAAGTATTTTTATTCTTTCACATATCTTTTGAGTTTTGTGTGTAAAAAATAATAAAAAATGTTAAAAGATATATGTTTTCCTACTTCTGTATTATAAAAGTAATTATTTCTACAATTATTGTCTCGTAAAAATTTTGGTGAATGTGTGAAGTACATATTTACAGGATATTTCAGAACAAACAAAAAAATTTTTTTTTTCCATTTATGATTTGAGTGAAAAAATTAATTTCCAACTCCTTTATTATTCTTTTATTTAAAGATTATTTTTTGTGCTTAATATCAGTAATTCCTCCTCTAACTAAAACTACTAAAATGTGATAATTTCTTTTAAAAATTAATAAAAATCCAAATTATATTTTTGCAGAAATATATACATATTTTTTTTTTTTAAAAAAAGGATGCGAAATTGGGTTATTTATAAATGCTATATAATTCTTTTGTAGGAACAGCGACAAGCGACTAAAGAAAATGTTCAAAGAAAACAAGCCAGAACTGTTGGTGAAAGAGAAGAATCGGATAATGAAGCGTCTGAATCAGATTCTGATGATGAAGATGACAATGATGTCATTTACAATCCTAAGAATCTACCTCTTGGCTGGGATGGAAAAGTATGCCTTTTCAATTTGTTATTTATTCTAATAATACTATTTACCTTCACATATAGTTTATCATATGAGAATATCTTTGTAAATAGAATTGTACTGTGAAATTGAAGATAGTATATTTTAAAAAAAAAAATCTATGTGTAATTTTTGTTGACACACTCACATTAGATTCAGACTATTCAGTTTGGTAGTTGTGGCTACAAATTAGATTTTAGTTATGTTATCTATATTATATCAGACAAATATTAAATTATTTTTTTAAAAAATTATTTCTGGTGCAAAATTTATGTAATTAAAGTAAAATAATGAACATATCTCTTTTTATTCATAATTGTTTTTTAATTTCGTAGAAGCTTTTTCAGCTTCCAAGATTTTTGCAGTTGGAAAAAAAGAGTTGAAATTGTTTAATGTCAGCTTAAAAAAACAAAACATTTTTGACCTATTCTGCAGATTATGTATTAGTTTTGAACTCTGAAGCCACTTAAGAAAATTTGTTCGCTTTACTGAATAACAAATTTTTAAAAAATCAGTTCTGCAGGCAGGGAAAACTGTCAGGTGTAATATTTATTCCGAATATGTGTCAGTTTTAAACTGTCAAGTCATTTAAGAGAATTTGTAATTTTTTTTTATTTTTTATCGCTGTGCTGTTTCTCTATTGAACACCAAAGGAACACAGAAAAGAAAAAACTTCCAGATTTAACAGAAGAAAAAAATCAACAATTAGTTAAAAGTTTGTCTGCTTAGAATGATTTTATTTTCTTGATTTCTGTTGAAAATAATTTTTAGATTAAGTCAGTTCTCTTAACTGCAGTTTGTGTGTAATCATTTTATATTTGTTCCACACATAAATATATAATACATTAAGTATTTTGTATTACATAATTTTTATTCTATTATATATGTATAATATATTTTTTATTCTATTTTAATTTCTGTTATATATGGAATATTTATTTTAGTGATTTTATTTTTTAGCCTATCCCTTATTGGTTATACAAGTTACATGGATTGAATATAACATACAGCTGTGAAATATGTGGTAATTTCACATATAAAGGCCCTAAAGCATTCCAGAGACATTTTGCTGTAAGAATTTTTCTATAACATATTTAATTACGTTTTATATCAAACTTTTAAGCTGGTAATTTAAAGTTTAACTAGATGCAACAATCTGTTGATCAATGGGTTGAGAAAATGTTCTTTTATGTTTATAAATTTTATCGTATATTATTTGATAGAGGAACAAACAGGAGTTCAAATTTATGATCATTAGCTTCTTACGCAGATCTTAGTTTGTTGCATTCTCTTGTTTTGCAACAAGAGAATGCAACTAATCTACTAGCTAATCTACTTAGCTCTTGTTGCTAAGTAGATTACAAGAAAAACTTGTTTTGCAACAAGTTTTTCTTGTAATCTACTTAGTTCCTACAAATTGCTAAAACTTAGGGCTTTAATTTATTGAATAGCATATGAGAAATAAACTTAAGTTTCCAATTATTCTAATTGCTTTTATTTATTTGATTTACTTGGAATTGAAAATATGATATATATATGCATACCTGCCAAATTAATCCTTTCGAGGATTGTTTTCCAAAGTGGTAGTATATTCGAATTTAAATTGCAATTCTAGGCAGAAACATGTGCTGTTTTTGTATAAGGTTTATATGGACAAACACAACAGTATTTTATACCAATATATATGTTTAAATTTTTTAAAAACAGTGGTGGTCAAAAAGATTTTAAACTAAATTTATAAATGGAAGAAATATATAGAAAGCATACATTTTACTACCACATTAAATATAGAAATAAAATTTTACGCCAAATGCGCAAAAGTTGGCAGGTATGTATATGCAAAATTTAAATGTTTTTCCACACTGCAATACGAACTTAATATATATTAATGAACCATTTGTCAAATAATTTATAAGTAGTTTTTTTATTTATTCACAGGTACTCTAACAGTAGGTTTAATAAAATTTCAAAAATAAGGAATTTTTTTTTTTTTTTTTTAAATCTGTTTCTAGGTTTTCTTGATTTAATATTGCATATTACTGCATTTTAAAACAATTTCCTAGTTGTAATATTTTGTATAGCCGGGTATATTGTTAAAAATGACTCAGTCAATAATTAGCATAACTGAGATTATGTACTTTAGTCGTTTAAATGCCTGTTACCTTTTTTGGTGGGAAAAAAAAAACCAAGTCAGTGTACTTAGTTTATAGCTTTATACACACTATAGTATTTCTTACCTATCTATTAAGATAGGATCTATTAGCGTGCCTGAGTAATTAATAAAATCTTCTCATAGGAATGGAGGCACGCACACGGTATGAGATGCTTGGGAATTCCAAACACAGCTCATTTTGCTAATGTCACTCAGATAGAAGATGCTCTTGGATGTAAGTACATGTTTTATTTAAAGAGTTTTGTATAAAAGTCTTTTCTTACTTTTGCTATAATAAAATGTCTTATCTATTTTAGTGTGGCAAAAGTTAAAGGAGCAGAAGCAAAAAGAGCGATTTTTGCCAAGCAATGAAGTAAGTCTTTTCTTAATGCTTTCTTTTTTGTGGTTTTCTTTGGCTTAAAATGTTTTTCTGCTCACATACATTGCCTATGCACATGGGAACTTTCAAGATTTTATAAACTTTTTTTTATGCATATCTTGTTTAGTCTTTCTCCTAGTGGACTCTATTCTATAATTAAATTAAAATCAGACACATGGAAAAAGGAAGATATTTATTATTATAAAAAAAAGCACTTGTGTAATTATATTCAGATTTCTTATCTTTGCAAATGCCTACTTTTTTGAAAGAGAGAGTGCTGTCTTAAACTAATCTCAACTTATTAATTTGTTATGCAAAATGTAACACAGTCAAACCCCGCTATAGTGAACCTTCAAGAGACCCGAAATTTCAGTTCACTATATCCGTTACGCAGGCAATTTAACTAATGGTTCCCAAACTCCTCACTTTTATTACACATTATTAAAATAAATGACTGAAAAATGTGTTAGTTTTCATTACTCCTTGTCTTACGTGCAAAAAAAAAAAAAAAAAAAAAAAAAAAAAAAAAAAAAAAAAAAAAAAAAAAAAAAAAAAAAAAAAANTAATTTTTCCTGAATTTCTGTTATTCCGCTTTTTAAACCCGTCTAACCTGCCATTCGAGCACACAAAAGAAGTCTCATAAAATCGCTTAGAAAATTCATCGACATTTGTCCAAAGACTGGAAAATTGCGGCTCCTTCGAATGGTGAACCACTTCAGTAATACTTCTTCAACATCCTTGTGATCTGCTTTTCTCAACTTTTTTCTGCCATCTAAATTTTTTTTCATGAGCAGAAATTATTAATTGCCTATTTTTCCATTTGTTACAAACTGCAGATTTGGATAGTTAGTATTCCCTGCAAATATCCACTTTATTGCATTCATTTTCAATTTTTCTGATTATGTCCATTTTATCATCAATGGAGAACATTTTACGTTTACCGGTCGCCATCATTAAACTTGAGACACTTGTTTGCAGGCTTATTTTTAACTAAACTGAGAGCAAAAAGGAGTTTAAAAGAGGGCCTTATCAACACATATTAGTGTCCTACCCTCTGATAGAAAATACATATTGATCCCACTGACACCTTACAGGTGCATCATCTGCTAGGTTTGTTTAGGGATAGGAAAGTGAGATAAAAGAAGCAAACAAGAAAAAATGCTTATTGCTACATTCCCCTCTATAGATGTTTTTAAACATCGGTATATGTATTTATTTTGAAGTAGAAATTTCAAAATTATTACAAAAAAATGAAGAAAAAAATCAGTCGAAGACAGGAAGTTGGATATAATGAACTTTTTTTGTTCACTATATCCACAAAAAGTAACATTATACGTGTATAGCAAGGCACGGGACCGAACATTTCGTTCACTATATCCAGGAGTTCACTATAAACAGTGTTCACTATAGCGGGGTTTGACTGTAAATCAAACTAATTGGAAATTTTAGGAAAAATACATTATACTTCCCCTATTAATGTAATTATTTATGAGCTAATTATATCAATTCAGGAAAAATAAAATTAAGGAAAATTGTTTCGAGGTGCAACATGTTATATTCTAGATAGATAACATTAATTTTGAATTATCTTCTAAATTTGTTAGTTTGCTAATGTTGGATATTTTATGAAATTCAAACCTTAAAAAAAAGTTTTTCTATTCTTTCATTTTGTGAATGGTAATTTACAAGAAAATATATTTGACATAGCCAACCTGCTATTAGAAACACCTGTGGCACTTCACCTACCTTGGTCTATAACAATGTACAACTATGTTGATCTATAACAATGTTGAACAAAATAATGGAAACATTTAGGAGAATTATTTTAAAACTTTAGAGGTTTCAAGAACCAGCAATAAATTATGAATGAAAAAGACTGAGCACCCTATGTCAAATAATACAACGATAAGCTTGTAACTTAATCACGTTTATTATTATATGAAAAAAAAATTGTGAACCTAGCTTAAATATTCTTGGAAATATGGACATTTCTATAAAAAACTAATATTTTTGCCTTACTATAACTGCAAAATTTTTAGAGTGATTTTTTCATTGAAAAAGAAAATTGTGCAAGATATGAGTATTTAAAGTAATTCTTTCATACTGAAACATTTAAAAAAAAATTCATAAGAAATGATAATACCCTAAAATGATGATCCAGACAACAAAATGTAATGGTATTAGGAAATAAAGACATAATTTAATAGAGCATGGTCCTGCATAATGCCGATGCCATTTTCAATAAAGTTTTCTTTCCAAATTAATGAAAACTATTTTGAAAAAATTTAAATCAAACTTTTTTTCTTCATAAGTTACTAAATATGATTTTAAACAAAATTATGAAGAAAAAAAACAAAAGAATTTTTAACTGTTTTCTGCACATGCACAATATGAAAATATTACTTTCAATACTCATATCTTGCGCAATTTTGAAGGCCTTTCTTTAAATTTTGAAATGTTTTTATTATTAATAAAAACTTACAATTATAATTTTGTTGAATATTTCTGTTGTTATAGTAAAAAAATGTGCGTAACCAGATTTATCAACAAAAAATAAGCACTTTTTAATCACTTTCCAAAAGAAAAATCATAATTAGTGCAGTAATAAGTTTTAATTTTTTTTCTATCGTTTAAATTTCTTAATTTATTAACATAAAATTTATACAATTCAAAAACATCTAAAAAGATAGAAAATGAAGCACTTTTTAAAAACGCTATGCACCCTGCATGAATATTTAAGCTAGATTTACGAAATTTTGTGCCATTATTTCATGTGATAATCAACATAATTGGCATGAGTTACAAGTTTATCTCTGTATTTTTGGGCATAGGATGTTAAAAAATAAATTTTCATTGCTGGTCTCCCAAACCTCGTTTTAAACTTTACTCACATGTATGGGGAACTGGATGACTGAAACAAGTTAGTATAAAAGTGTTTCCATTATTATGTCCAACCTTTGTACAACAAACATTATTTTGGCAAAAAAAAATTATCTTTCTGAAAATCTTTTGATTCATCATATGCCTAGTAAACTTCAAATGGTTACCCACTCGCCTTTTTTGTGCAGATATCAAGTATCTTTACTAAATTTCTCCACTACTAGGTGTAATTAAAAGTGCTATTTTAAACTTAATGACTGTTAATTTATTATTCATTGCTCAGGCATATAACTAATCCACAGGATTCAAACTTTTTAGGCCACATGCTTATTTATTATTTTCTACAAATACAGTAACAGAGTTATAGGGTTGTCTCTAAAAATGATTAATACTAATCAATATTACAATAATTGTAGAATTTTTTAAATGCATACTGGTTATTGCAAGTAATACTACAAAAATTTTCATTCAGTGTCCTATTAATAAAATTTTGTTCGTGTCTGAACAAACTCTAAGACTACGGAGTAATATATTTTATGACAATGTAATGCATTCATAGTTGCTTATAGTTAAAATTAATATTTCAGGAAGAGTATGAAGATACCCAAGGAAATGTTGTAAATAAGAAAACCTATGAAGATTTAAAACGCCAAGGATTATTATAAATTTCATTATTTTGAAGGTTAGGCTGGAAATAAAAGCCTTTCTCATCTTATGAAATATTGTACAATGTTCATTTCAATTAAATTTTTACATTATTTTATTGAGATATTTATTAGCTAATCATGTTTTAAGAATTTATTATTTATTGGTTCTAGCTGTATGAACAAACCGATCAAAACTTTTACTTCAATATCGAGTTAAATCAGGTTGCAATTTTCCCATCTGATAATGAATCTATAAATAAATAAAATCAGTTATTTTTGTTGAAGCTCAACATTCAAATAAATTTTTACGTTTTTATTTTCCAGTTTAAATAGTTTATAGAGAATTTAGATTATTTCAGGTAAATACCGACCATAGTGCCGAAGTAAAATACCCTCAGTGGTAGAAGGATCATGGGTTAAAGTCCCCTTTGCCATCAGGCTAACCCTGGGAAGTTTTCCTCTCCATGTAACACATTTCGGGTTAGTTCCATCAAAAAGTCCTCCATGCAGTCAAATTCTTGATCTGGAGTTCCCTTGTCTTCTGGATTGGGTTCAACTATTATGGCTAGAATCTTACTTCAGTAGCATTTGAAGTTATGATTAAAATCTTCTTGATTGGGGATGCAAAAGAGAATGAAAACGGATTCAGTAACCACACTCTGTAAAATTTAGCATTGTAACCCTGCATCTTTTTTACAAGAAAAGGGACACATAACTATACCAAATTTTTATAAATTATTGAATAGCTTATTCAGCAGTAAAACTATAACTTTAATTTTAGTTTGTTTGCATATGTGCTACTAGAAAACTAATATTTTATCAGAAAACTGACAAGTTTTTGGCATTTAAGAACAAATAACTCAATATAAATTTTGAAAATACATTAGAAAATAGACTTTGAAAATTTGATAGTAATTTAAAAGTTAAAAAAAATAATACCTATAATTTTGAGCCCCAGACAAAAAATATACCTACTCCATGCTAATTAAAAAGAGATTTTCTTTTTCAATCTGTTATGACCTCTCAGCTAATCAATGCTGCTACTTGTATTTCATAACATTTTAAACTATATTTGGATATAGGAACTCTGGTTACAAACAGTCTGATCTAAAGTAATGTATAAAAAATATCCATTATTGATTGAAAGTAATGCAATTTATCACACAGCAAAACTTAACAGTATTAATTTAATATTGTGTAAAACAGCAAAACAAAATTTTACAAGAAAAGTTGTATTACCTATGCTGAGTAGTTTTCTTCAAAACCAAACAATTTAAGAAAAAGGTAACTATGTCACAGGGAAAGCATTCTATTGTCATGTCCAGGTAACAGAGGTGCTTAAATGTCAAGTAGCAAGCAGATCCAATTAAAGCCAACAAATAAATGTACCACTGAACACTACCCAGTGAATCTCTAGATCCCAGGACTTTTCTACCTTTTTATGCATATATTAATCAGACAAAACAATTAGACTTTTAATTAAGGATGATCCAACATCTGCATCAAGTAAAAAGCAATGTTATTTGATACTTAGAAATATTCGAATTTCAACCGTTATTATTTACAGTTTGTGGTGGCTCAGGGAAAAGAGCGTTCACCTTCCAATGAGATTAACCGGGTTTGAATCCCAGCGATGGCTGGTTGATACGAATTCTACACCCGGCTCGCACCGACCACAGTGTTGATTTAAAATATCCTCAGTGGTAGATGGATCATGGGTTAGAGTCTGTCAGGCTAACCGTGGGGTTTTTCCTCTATGCAATGCAGATGCTGGTTAGTTTCATCAAAAAGTCCTCCAAGAAGGCAAATTTCACCCAATACTTGATCTAAGAGTTTTCTTGTCTTTTGAATTGTTCAAAATTACAAGACTACGGAGTTGAACATCAGTAGTAATAAATCCAAAATTGGGTTGGTTGCTCAACAACTGTTATAATACAGTTCTAAGAAGAAAAAGATTTTTTTTATATATTTAAACCTATGACATAATTTTACCTGCATAGATCAGCTAGCACGGTATTGTTTGTTTATGGGATGGAGAATTATGCCTTCTATCTATGATTTTACCCATTAGAGCTCATAACCAGGACCCCTTCTACCATTAAAATATTTTGATATTAAAACTAATTATTAACACTCTTATGTGTGGCAAAGCACCAGATAAAATCCGATTTACTGATCTCTTCCTTTAAAATATTTATGCATTGCAATGCTCATGCAGGGTTTTCAAAATTAAAGAAATCAATACAGTGTTTGAATCCGTTATTGCTCTCTATTCCTGGATGACTAAACTTTCCTCTAATAGACTCAACTTTTAGCAGGTTTGCAAATGCAGGATGTTACCATAACACTTAAACATCTTCAAAGGTTATTAACATTAAATTTTATTATTTAGCTAAAATTTAAAATAATTTAAAAGTGTGTACACTGAGGAAATATTAAAAAAAAGCACTTGTTCAAATGCAGTTTATGAATTTAATAATTAGTTACTAAGTAGTACTGACTGAAAGTTACTCCAGGGTTAATTATTTCTTCGGTGTTACAGTTAAGGATGTATCAAATTAATAACTTTTCATTTAATCATATGATTGTCATGTGGGCTATCGTAATGGTTTTTGGAGACCTAAAATCAAAAATACTTATTAATTAGTGAAGACAATATTTTAAGTAATTAACTTACCTTTTATACTGGATTTAGCTTGACCCTCAAAACATGGAAGGTACGATCTAGTAAATATGATTCCAATAGTTTGGACTCCTTAATGTTAATTTCGCATTAACATTAATTTCTGTGACACTTGTCTGTTATCCACTGTTGTATTTATATTAATGAGAGAAACAATTATGACAACTCAAAATTAAATCACTTTGCAAAAGAATTTTAATATATATTTCACTTTTTAAAAGTATACATAATGTATCTTTTCTGCAGCCAATAATAAAATCTTCAATTTCTGCTTAAACATTCAGATAAAGCTATGACACAAACACCAAGCAACTAGGAATAATATAAAATTTGTAGAGTATACAAGTTTGAAAAACATGTAATAAAAACTCAATTTAAATAATTCATTAATTTTTTTTTTCTTCAACAGTCTTAAAAATATTTAACAACTGTACATTATCTGCCTGTATTTTTTAGTTAAAAATTATACCAAATTTGCATTTTGATTTAGTCTAAATTGCAACTGGAAAAGTAAAGTAGGAGGCACAAAAATGGCAGTCGTAGATCAACACAAATATAAACTAAAAACATAGTTTAAATTGCAACTGGAAAAGTAGAGTAGGAGGCACAAAAATGGCAGTCGTAGATCAACACAAATATAAACTAAAAACATAGTCTAAATTCCAACTGGAAAAGTAGAGGAGTCACAAAAATGGCAGTCGTAGATCAACACAAATATAAACTAAAAACAATGTAATATAAACAAAAAAAGTAAATGAGGTAGGCTGTAAATATAAACAAAATATAAAAAAATAACATTTCTCTCACATAAAAGTATACAAATAACAATGCAAGCAGACGATTTGAAAATCACTTTCCTTTTGCAAATTTTTTTCTTTGTAATAGTAAAAACTTAAGATGAGCTTTATAATTTAAAGAACACAACCAATCCTACACGATGCACAAATATTTTACAATGACAGAATAGGAAAGATACAACAGAATCCCAAGCTATCGATGCCAATAATTTTTCATTTAATGCTAAAATTTTTTTTTTGGTAGTCGTCGTTGAAATATAAAATAAACTTAAGTTATAGGCTCTCATGCTTATAAAGATTCAATGAGTTAACAATTTTTGAAATCTTTTTATGCTTCATAGATAACGTTCTCAGTTTTTCGAATGAATAATCATTAAAGAGTATTCAATTTCAAAACAAATGCTGTCAACGCCACTACCATTATTGAACATAGTATTTCTTTTGAAGAATATCATTAAAATTAAAAGTTTATACAATATTTTAATTGAAAAATTTAATAATAAATAAAAAGTTTAAGCCTATGTGTTAAGCCTTAATTATAAGTAATTTGACAAAACATAAAAGAATATGATTAAATGGTGAAAATAGTCTTTTGCTGTTTCCTCCTATAGTTTGACTGTGTTTTGTATATATATGTAACTAAGTTAAATAACAGATTAACAATTTTTACATTGTTAAAGAGCCCACATAAAAGCATAACAAAAAATTCTATATGCATAATCTATGCTTTTATCAGATGCTTCTTTCAACAATGTGTATTGAGGGCATTCCCAATTGTGAAATGAATAAAAAAAAGTAATAAATAAATAAACTCATTGTATGTATCTTAATTTTTTAATATGGTGTTGAAACTTTATCCTAATTTAATTGTAGACAAAAAAGTCTGCATCTACTTCTACAAAAGGATTCCTCCATAGAAATAATGAACTAAATAATTTCTAAATTAGTGATTTCCAAAACCTTTTTCCACAAACAATACATTACAAGCCAATAAAGCTTTGGCACAAGTTTAACTACACAAAGAATATTTTACAAATAAAGTTATACCATTATTTGTACTCAAACAAGGGAAGTAAAATAAATAGACAATTAACAAGGAAATACTTAATACAATTTGATACAAGAATATTTGTTATATCAGAAATACTAAATCAAGATACATATGAAATTTTTCAGTTGCTGTTAGTCATTTGGCAAATAAACATTTTGATATTGTTTAACAAGATACTGTTGACCAGAATTAACAAATCTAAATTATTTATTATTTGCATTTACAGAGATTTCCCGATATCCATACTAGTGTGCAATAGTTAATGCAATATCTTTAAATGGCGATCAAAAGTTATGCACAAGCAATTTCAGATTTTGGGTGCAATAAAATTTTATCACAATATAAAAATCTGATGACAATATTATTTTATTGCAGTCTTCCTACAACATTTTGTAGCATGCATAAAAAAGGTGATCTAGATACCATGCAACTTTTTTTTAAAAATATTATCCTTAGATTAATTTTTATCCATATTGTTAAAAGAACAGTAATTATGAAATAACTATTGTTTTTTTAAAAAATATATGATCAAAAGATTTCTTAATGAATTTATTCCAAATGTAATGAGCAAGTCTTAAATATTTTAGATAATAAATCATTCCCGCCAACCAAAAATTATGATGAACTAATATTTTTAATAAAGTAACTAATTGTTGTTTTTCTTCTTCAACTAAAAGAAGAAAAAAATATTTTAACTTTTTCTTTATTCTTGGTTAAAACTAAGCACACATTTATTAAAAATACCAGTAAGAATACTAGATTTTATTTGTTTAGCATCATTTATGCCAATATATCTAATAAAATTTTTTTACCTAGGTATGTAACTAAGGCAATAAAACTTTAATAGCATTTAATAAATAAAACTTTACAATAACAAGCAGGACTTACATGCATATTTATATTTAAATGTCCTCAATAAACCACAGAAATATACATTTTCAATTCAGTAATATGCATGTTCTACAACTATATTTATACACTGTAATAATAATGTAAGATCAAACTATGATAAATTAATTAAATCTTAGATCATTGTATTTACAGTTATACCTATATTTCAAGATATTTTCTCGTAAAATTATTTTAATGAAAAATATTGAACACTTAAAACTGGTGGATTATTTATGGAGTGGCATTTTCAATAGAAGCATAAAGTTCTGAAAAACTGGTAAAAGAAAAAATATTTTTTAGTTATTTACTTTTAATTTTTAACTAAGTTAGTGGCCAACAGCAAATATTGTGAGAAAATATCCTTGTACATATATTGCAAAAGAGAAATGCTTATTATCGTGCTTTATACTATAAAATGTGATTTAAATGAGTTCGAGTATAATCAAAAAGTTATTGCATGCAACGAAAAGGTCATAAATTTGAAGACAGCTTGCCGGTGTAAAATACATGATTCTGAGTAGGAGCATTACAATTTAAAATAAGTCTTATAACAATCATTTTACTTTCACAATTATTATCAGAATTAATTTATCAGCAGCACAAAATAAATTTCCTAATCTTTTAATCTGAATATTTTGACAAGTTATTTCCAAACAATCTAAATCAGTAAAATATTATACATGCTTCTCAAAATTCTGAAAATTGCTAACAAATAAATTTTTTTTTAATATTTATTAAACTGTACAGTTAAATTCAGGTCAATCACCGGGATGTCAATAAATTTTATAATTTAATTCCAAAAATTTAAGGTTATTTTGTTTCCAAAAATCACCTATGTTATGGAGTAAAGTTATCTTTATCTAGTTGACATTTATACATATCAAGTCAGTGAACTTTATACACCTCTTAAAATCGGACAAATCTATAAATTAAATATGTACATATATATTTGTCAATAGGTCACAAAATACAATAACACAAATAATTTTATCACAGATTTCAAAGACAGTAAAACTAGTGAACCTACCAAAAGAGGTAGGTTATTTTTTAAACACTGATAAAAGCCCTATACAGTCATTTATAGCAAATTAAGATACATTATTAACAAAACTCAAATATTTTTGAGAGATGATAATTATATACATAAATATTCTTAACTTAGATTAACAAGCTTTAATAATTAACAATTTATTCACAGAAATGAAATTATTTTGCACTACACAGCAATTTTTAAGAACAATGTTATAGATATATATTTGCATAGTACAACAGTTTCTATATTATCGAACTTCTATAATCTCGTATATTAATTTAATTTCAGCTTTAATTGACTTTCCTAATAATAGCTGTAAAATGAGGTAATACAAATAGAAACAAAAAAGAAATATTTGGAATTAACCTTTTGTTTACAGCACTTAGCTTGGTGAAGCCGTTCATCCTGATTCAGGTACTGTACCAGCCGCAAGCAAAAATGAATAGCTGCTAACATGGAAAGGAAAGTAAAATTCATTTCAAACAACAAATTTCATGCTAACTATTGCACAATATGTAAAACATTTTAAGCACAGCGATTTATATTCAACAAAACACAAAAACTGTTTTAAACTATAAATGTAAATTCACTATATTTATCCACTAATGAATGAAAATAAATAAACTTCAATATAAAAAGTTTACATTATCTTTATAACATTTTAAAATTCTTAATTTTAGATTGTTACAAATTAATCTTTACTTTAAAAATAGAGAATACAAATAAATAAAAAAGAACTTAGCATTTTAAAATATTTAAAAATAGAAAGACTTCCTTCATGCTGATTACTTTAAATGAGCCTTACCACATTATTCAGCAGCCATCCCTATTTACAAGGAATAAACTGATTAAAAAGTTCTATTTTGATACAAATTTATCTTCAGAAAATACTTAACCAAGTTAATTTTCAAAAATATACAAAAAATACGAATTTTTGATTAACTTAAGAGTAACTGGCAAAATCCAGTAGCCTACTGGAAATAAAATAGAATAGCCAGCTATGCTAAATTGTGGCATAATTTATTTATTTCAACAAAACTAACTTTCTTTAATTTTTAGAAGTTTTATGATTTTTAGTTTCGTGATATTTTTAAATAATTCTGAAAAATAAAACTTTTCTATTTTTCATATAAACCTATTATAAAAATATGTAAAAATACTCAACAATAAACAAAATATAAATACAGAAAAATAAACTAAATTCAAAAATACAGCAGGTATTCTGTTAAAATCATCAAATCAAAATTTTATTTGAATCAAAACATAAAAAAAATATTTTTTATTGCCTAAAATGTCTTAATGAATGTGCAAAAATTATCATGAAATGTGGTCTTCATCAAACATTTAATCACATTTAAGTAAGTGAATCAAAAATGTTTTGTGTCATTCAAAAAAATAAATAAAATAAAATAATTAAAATGACAAACTGTAACAGTTTTAAAACCAAATACCTGATTTGTTTCTGTAATGAACTGAAACAAATTCAATAAAACTTCGTTAATACTGTCGAACCTTGTTAACACGAAATCGGCGGTACTATCATAATTATTTATGTTAACCAGATGCAGTAGGCAATTCTAAACCATATTCATAATTCTAAACCAAATCGGCGGTACTATCATAATTATTTATGTTAACCAGATGCAGTAGGCAATTCTAAACCATATTCATATTCAGAAAATTATTAAAGAAATTTAACTTTTCCACAACATTATTTTTGTAATGCCTCTATAAAAAATATAATTATACAAATCCATTAATCTTTTATGGATATAAAAGTAAATTAACTCAAACAGTATCAAAACATTCACTTATATTTAATGCAAAATATAGGAAATCAATCAATAGAAGTTCATTTAATAAAGAACACTGTACTGTAAAACTAGGTACTTTCAAAAATTAAAACAGTTAACATTTATGAGAAGCATAGACTTTATACAAAGACGAAAACAGCTAAAACTATAACATCGATTAAATATTTATCACTTCATAGGAAATGACGTTTTGAACACTGCAGTAGTAGTTTTACATGAATGGAAGAAATAAATGGCAGTAAATAGAAGAGTTTTGTTTAAAATCAACAATAAAATAAATGTAGGTACCCCTTAACAAAATAAAAGGTACCATATATCACAGTTGGATCTTCATTCATTTTGAAAGTCAATGATTACAATTAAATTTTATCATATATAAAGAAATCAACAAACATATTAGCACCAAAAATCATTCACTAACTTAAATTTAGACAAAAACAGGAAGTAATTTGAACATTTTTGCTTAATATTACCGTACGAAGCATTATTGCTTTCAATTAAGGGGCAGTTAAAATGGGACAAACAAACCTAAAAGAAAGAAAATTATCCAATTAATATTTTTTATGTGAAAAAAAATCTTAAACCAATTTTTTTTTTTAAAAAAAAAAGAGGGAAATTGCCAATTTCTGCAAAGTTTTTCCCCTCAACATTTTGCCTAATTCTTCAATAAAAAATATTACAAAATTTAAAAAAAAAAACAATATGTCACAGATGTGAAGTTTTTCCTAATAAGTTAAAACCCTTAGTTAGGGAACAAAACTTATGCCCATTTTTACCATTATAAATACTTTCAATGTTGCTTTTTAATTTGTAAATGGTACAGCATTGAGAAGCCCATATAATGATTGTTATTTCTAAAACATGTTTGTGGTATTTTTGCTTCATGTAGAAAGACTTTTTTTAAAAATAAAGTTTCAAAATTAGATCAAAATCATTACTTCATGCAACTTGCATGATTTTTTCTTTACTTTTTGCAATGATTTTAACTTCCTACTGACAGTTCCCTTAACAAAACTAAAAATATCATTAAAATCTAAAAAAGACAACTCTTGAAAAAAATAGTAAAAATGAAATGGTAAATAGTCCATTACATTTAAAGTAAACAATTTACAATAATAAATACTTTAAACATAAGTAAAATCATCATGTCTGTTATTAGTATGAAAACGCAACAAATATTGAATGACAAAATAGTAGTAAGTGTTGATTTCTTTACATATGATATTAAAACACAGAATAAATGAAATAATTTTTATAACTTTCAATGCTACTTGACACTTAGAATGAGAACCTAAAAATCTCCTTTTAATTTCTGAGATGGGAAACAAACAACAGTGCGATGAACTTTATAAGCACAAACAATCAATTTCACCTAGAAAAAAAAAAATTTTCTTTAGCAAATCCAACTATATTATGCATGGTACTGATAAGACAGAATTGAGTGTTAATTTTGTTTTTTGATCTTTTTAAACTAAACTGTAGCTCGCAGAAACATCTCAGTAATTTTTTTTATTTTATTATTGTAAACTATTTTCAAGCATTTTTTATTTTATTTTACGTATTATCAATACAAGTAAGGATCACATATTTGGTGAATAACATAGCTTAGTTTGTGTTTCAAGACTAGTTTTTTGCAATATCAAGAATTAAAAAGCCTCTAATTTTTATAAATACACTCTTATTATTGAAATAAAATGAAAAATAAAACTGTAAATATATTTCTCTTTTGAAAACTAGAAGAGTCATGCAAATGAAAAGTGAACACTTGCAATAGCCACAGAGGCACCATATCAGGGCAAATCACAGTTTTAAAAGGAAGGTTGGAGAATTGCATTGTAGATTGCATATAATTAATTAACCAGATCATGCGACACAGTTTAAAGTGAATATAAAGTCTTGCTGAAGATGGATGTGTTCAAGATAAAACACCGATCTGCATACCCTCCAACTGCTACGGAATTTACGTAGTTTCAGAAATCTTCTTTTCTGGCGGTAGCAAAATTAATGTCTTAATATTAAAAAAAAAATTTATTTTAGCGTAACTTGTCCACTATTACTTATAAAAGTGCAGGCCATATGGCTAGATTCTTAAGTTCTGATAAAAGTTTTATGAGAGATCCATTTGCTTTAAAAATTTCTACTTTGGTTCGCTACCACTAGAAAGAATTATTTTCAAAATCCTCATAAGTTGGATGGTATGCCGATCAGTAGCACAAATTATATAATATTTTATAATGCATGCAGTTATGATTTCAATTTTCGCTATTCATTTGAATTTTGATTTTACACCTCATAGCACAAAGCTTTCTCTCCAACCTTTTATTGATACTATTTTTGCATAAAAAAAATTTCCTAAAAATTTTTTCTAATAAATATTAGGCAACATTTTCACGACAAAAGGATTTTTTATATTCCCTTTACTTGGTGTATTACTACGTATTGTTGACTCATATTTTGTCTATAAGCAGATTTTTACCCATTATTTTGTACCATTCTGATAATTATGACTCACATCAGAAAAAAAATGCCACATTGCATAAGTTGGTTTTACAATTAATGGTTGATCAATTTCATAATGAACTTAAATTTATGAGAGATTATATTATTAATTGCTTCGATTGTATGATAGATCATGGTATGCAAAAATATTTATTCAAATATCCTTTTACCACTAGATTTTTTTTTCTCAAAGGGTAATACATGAATGAAACTGAAAGTCTCAGTTCTACCCTTTAGAAGTCTAATACAATATTAGATGGGAGGCCACATGTAAATTAGCAATGAATATTTCATGATAAATTCAATCTCAAACCCTGTCTAGTCAGTGCACTTTAAAAATAATTTTTTTTTATTTAATCTCATTTGGAGGTTCTATTTGCAATGGACAATGGTATTATTTGGGCATTGGCTAGTATCTTTGATCAAACAAACACATTTTCCAGTAAAATCAACGGTATTCAATAAATACAGAAGGGAACCGATTATCCGGAACGATCGGGACCATCGCTATTCCGGCTAACTGATTCTTCCGGTTTTCTGAATCGCTACAAAAGCAGTTTTTTTTATTGTTAAACCAAACTAAAAAAAGAAATATTTGGAAATAATCTTGAAAAAACAAAGTACAGTAGGGGAACCGATTATCCGGAATGATCGGGACCATCGCTATTCCGGATAACTGATTTTTCCGGCTTTTTGAATCGCTACAAAAAGCCGTTTTTTTTATTGTTAAACCCAACTAAAAAAAATATTTAGAAATAATTTTAAAAAGAAAAAAAAACGATGAAGTAATACACAAATGATTATTTCCAAAATGATGGTAAGGTAAACATCTTTCAAAAAAGAAAGAAAAATCCTAAAATCTTATGAGGAAAAAAACATTTTTAAAAATAAAAAAAATTGGCGGGAAAATGTATCGAATTTCGTTCCGGTTTTCCGGTTTACTGATTTCCGGATAACGGGCTCCGTACTGTATATGGATTTTTTATAACTTCCTTTAACATGTTTAAATTTGTAAGATGTTTATATTTTCAACAAATTTTATAAGCTTTTTTTTGAGAGCATTTTTTAAAACTAATTCATTGATATGGAATGTCACATTTTAGATTATTCAAAATTAAAAATAATAATTTTCTATGTTAATTAGCAAAACAAACATAACATTAACAATAGTATAAAAAATGAATAGTTCACTTTTTAAATTACTTAACATCTATAGTATCACTAAATAATAAGCATGCCAAAATTATTTATGCTAACCTCAGATTGTGGCGAATGAACAGTAGTAATTGAAACTCTATTTGATCCATTTTGCAAACCTGTCACTTTGAAAACTGAACTAACATCCTGAAAAATAAAATATATATTTTTTAAAAATATAACACTAATATTAATTATATTGATAATAAAACAGTAATTGTTTGATTCACCGAAAAAAAAAAAAATAATAATAAAATACCTTTCAAAATAAGAAGAAAAAAAAACTTCAGTGTATCTCTTCAATAATGTTGTGTTTATAAGGTAAGGCATAAACTAGTCTAGATTAATCAGATAATTCCCTGATTTTTGTTCATAAAATTAGTAAATTAAAAATCAAATTTTGAATCATAAATTCGATGGAAGAAATTAGAATCACTAAAAATAAATAAAAACAAAATGGAAGCTACTTTGAATCTTATTTCAAAGCTTGTACGCAAATTTGTATTAACATTTCTAAACTAGATCAGTTGCTTTTAACTAGTTTTATCTAGTTTATCAGTTTTAACTAGTTTATCAGTTTTAACTAGTTTATCAGTTGCTTTTATTGTACCACTAGTTTTATAAACCTTTTTAAGGCAATTTTTCAAAGGCTCTGTGGTAACATAAAATAAAATTTTTTTAAAAAAATATAATAAGCAATTTTGCTGTGTTATCTGGACTGTTATTTTTTAATATTTTTGCAAAATATAAAAATAAAATAGTAATTAAAAGTATTAAACATCAATTTTGATTGAATAATAGAACTTAAAACTACACAAAAATGAAGTAGTAATCAATTGATTCCTTAATAAAAACTTGTGAGTTAGGAAAAGTTATTTATAACTCTTAGGTAGCGTTTAGCATCATTAACCTCAGACTATCAGTCATGAAGAGTTCACAGTATTTCTTTAACAAAATATAAAACTAAAATAGTTAATAAAAAATATGAAAGTCAGTTTTAATTGACATAACTTAAAAACTACAAAAATTGCCTGCAGTACACCTTAATCTTTATTGTTATATGAATTTAAAATTGATTGTGATGTATTTTTATATTTTTAAAAGTACAAATAGAAAGTTTATGGTAGCGTCAATATTTTCTAACATCCTCAGAAATATATATATATATACATACAAACTAGAAAAGAAAGAAAGGAAATGGGGGAAAGGATAAAAAGAGCGGGGAAGCATTAATCCAAAGAAGGATCTTAATACTTGTGAATATTACCAACAAAATTGTCTGTACTATTAGCCTTTCTTGTTACCTCTAAAGGCGTGTTGTGTTAGGTTAAAGCATTTAATCAGGAAATAACAAAATCGTAAGGGTCGGGGCACAATATATTCAGAATCCTCATTTTTCTAAGTGACATTTAAAAAATCAGTTTGTTCATTAGTACTGATTCTAGTTAAGTGCTTAATAAAATTTCAGGAATTTAAACTAGATAAATAACACAATACACTTGAATAAGGTGTGTAGGTCATTAGAAAATAAATGGTCAGGTCAACAAAATTATTAGATTGCAAGTCAATATAGCTTATAAAACCAAATTATTTGTAAGAAAAAAAAATACAGAAATAAAAGAACAGCTAAAAACTAGAAAAAGTATTCTAAAAAAAACAATCAAATATTAATGCTTCAATTTTTTTCAAAAGAAAGAAAAAACAATTACAAAAAATAAAGAAAAGAAAATATAAGTAATTTGAAAAAAGATTAGATTAACGTTTATATAAAGACAAGATGAAAAATTATAAGTTTTTATACTTCAAATGTATCCTGCTTAATTCCATTTATTGTCACATTATAAATTACAGATTCAACATCAAATTGGCAGTGTACAGCTTTTTCGTGAAAAGTAGAGTGAGCAATAAATAGAAGATTCTGGTTCCCATTTTTTTCTGAAATAAATACAAGAAATATTGATAAAAATCATAATATTAGAAATAATTGCTAAGAGTTTTTGACTTCTTAAAGCAAACTCTTTATAACTTTAAAAAGAAAATAAGTTAATAGCTTTATATGTTTCAAAATTTTTTTAATATTAAACCAACAAATAGTTAAGTGCAGGACCCGCCCTAAGCATTCGCAACTTGCCAAATGTGATAAAATCGTAAATTTGGTGAATAAAATTGTGTTTTGGCGATTGATTTTTTGCACTGGAAATAAATTAAAATTATGTCAAAATGAATTTTTCTAAACAAATCAGTATTTTTTATTCGATTAGAGTAATTTTCAGCACATGCGCAACACAACCAAATTAGAAGTAGGTCAAAATAAAATAAGCTTGAAACGAACTACCATAAAATAGTTCTCTGTGGGAAAAGAATTAATCATAAATTTTTTTTTTTAAGATTTGCATTTGGCGAAGATTTTCAAAAATTGAATACTTTTGAAATTTGGCTAATTTACGGACTCATTATTTGAAATCCTTAGAGCAGGCCATGGCATGGCATGAATATCTGAAGTTTATTATGCAAAGATATTTCATTTGCAAAAATTCAACTTGATTTCAACAACTCATTTTTAACTTGAATAAAACTCAAATTAAAACTATGTTTTAAATAAAATAAGAAAAAAATATGTAACAGACAACAGGTTAAAATTTAAAGTTAAAATAAATTTAAAAATAAATAAACAGTTAAGACAAAACTCTTAAAATTGGGGTAGAATTGACGAGTTTTGAAATTAATTAAAGTTAACTTTAGAAATAACTCTTAAAAAAATAGTAAGAAATATAGAAATGAAAAAACAGGAGATAATGCTATAGGAAGAATTACAAATTTATCAAATCATATATAACTTAATTATAATTAAATAATTTACAAAAAAATCTAGAAGTATTTAAAAAAAACTTTTCCGTATGTAATTTAAAATAACTTTGTTGTATGTAATCATAAAAGATAAATTTGCATAATTAAAATATGTTTTTGAGAATTGCAATCTGCTTTTTAAAAACTTGCTATTCCTGATTACACACATTATGTATGAAATTTAATTATAATTACATACAAATAAGAAGAATGATAAGCATTCACAATATAATTCTTAAAAATCAGGAAGAAAAGGGTAAGCAAGACTTTTTTGGGAAAGAAATAAAAGACAACAAAATTAGGAGCATTAAAATAATTAAATTATAGTACTACTTAATTGAAAACAAATAGCTTTTACACATTATATTTACTTTATAATTGAGTAGCTTACATTTATTATTTTCAAACACTTACATTTTATTATTTTCTTTTAATGTGTACTAAGTTTTGTTTAATAACTTTTTAAAGCAAAATTAACACGTAAAAATCAATACATTATTTATGTAAATAAAACATGCTTTTATAGTTATTATCGATAAAAAAACAAACAATATATATACTTTTAAAAAAGAATTACAGCCAAACCCCGCTATAGTGAACCTTCGAGGGACTGAAATTTCGGTTCACTATAACAGGGAGTTCACTATATCCGTTACGCAGGCAATTTCACTAATGGTTCCCAAACTCCTCCCTTTTATTACATTATATTCATATAAATGACTGAAAAATATTATGTAGTAGCAAAAAATGTGTTATTTTTTATCACTCTTCATCTTGCGTACAAATAAAAATTTGTAATCTTTAGCTGATGAGCAATCCTCAACATCAGATATGGAAACACTTCCCGCCTCTCAGATAATTTTTCCTGAATTTCTGTTACTCCGCCTTTTAATCCTGTCTAACCTGCCATTCGATCAAATAAAAGTAGTTTCTATAGATGGTTTTAAAAATCGGTATATGTATTNACATTATATTTACTTTATAATTGAGTAGCTTACATTTATTATTTTCAAACACTTACATTTTATTATTTTCTTTTAAATGTGTACTAAGTTTTGTTTAATAACTTTTGAAAGCAAAATTAACGTGTAAAAATCAATATATTATTTATGTAAATAAAACATGCTTTTATAGTTATTATCTATAAAAAAAATAATATATACTTTTAAAAAAGAATTATTAGAAGATATAACTTTTTGGGAAAATGAGAGAATTATATTACAAAATGTAAATAAGACATAAGAATTATTGATTTAGATTAGCACCACATCTAAAGATAATAAGATAAGTAACATATTTACCAGGAGACTCCAGTTTTACATGGTGATGGAAATTTATAGAGTACACTGGTCCCTCATTAAGTGAGAAACACTGAATCGGAAATAATGCATATTTTATTTGAGCTATAGGATCTATAAGAAGTCTGGCTTCAGATTCAAACTTTGAAACAACTCTGAAAAAATGCATAAGAATTTTAAAATCCAAAAGAAAAACAAATGTAAATTCACAAGGTTTCCCAAAAAGGACTGAAAATTCAAAGAAACTCTTATAGAGACAGAAATGTAATTTTTTGCTGCATTTTGTTTTAAAAAAAAACAAGTAATCATTATCAAACATTTTCAAAATTAGTTATTAGTCTGTAGGCATATGAATACTTATTGTGAAAACTATAAAGCAATATTTCTTGTTGTATATACCTATCAAACCACTCCAATTGAAATGTTGCTTTGGTTCCTGTTATTTTTATCCTAAGACTACATCACCATATTGTTATAGCAAGTAATAGATACTTTGAAAACAGTGTTCTACAGCTTTTCTCCAGTCAGCAGTGCCATTGTTGGCAAACTTAATAACCAATTTTGAAACTTGGTAAACAGAAATACCTTGTGTACTAAGCAGAATGCAACAAATTGTAAAATTCTATCTCCTGTTTGTTTTTAATTGACAGTCATTATTAGGATACCCAGTAAATTTTTATGTGCAAAATAATAAAATCCATCACCAAACTTATTTGCAGACTGGAAAAGTCTACTAGAATAAATAGCAAAGAAAGCAATATATTATATGAAATAACAGAGTTATAATTTTACAAAAAGAAAACCAATACAAATTTGTAAATATTTATGTTTTTTAATATTACTTAATCATATACTTTACTTTAATAATATTTTGTAATATTATTATTGTTACTTTAATTTGCTGTAACATTATTATTGTTATACTTTAATTTGTTTGTAACATTATTATTGCTACTTAAATAATATTTTGTAATATTATTTTAATTAATTTTGTAATACAGTACAGAACCCGTTATCCGGAAATCAGAAAACCAGAACGAAATTCGATACATTTTCCAGCCGTTTTTTTCCTCATAAGATTTTACGATTTTTCTTTCTTTTTTGAAAGATGTTTACCTTACCATCATTTTGGAAATAATCATTAGTGTATTACTTCATCATTTTTTCTTCCTTTTAAGATTATTTCCCCCAATTTTTTTTATTTTTTTTTTTTAGTTTGGTTTAACAACAAAAAAAAACGGCTTTTTGTAGCAATTCAGAAAACCGGAAAAATCAGTAATCCGGAATAGCGATGGTCCCGATCGTTCCGGATAATCGGTTCCCTACTGCATTACTTTACTTACACTTTTTACATTTATATGCAAAAAGTCATCGAAAAAACAATACATTTTAATTAAAGAAGTTATTTTCAATTAAGTTATTTTTACTATGCTGTATTTTACTTGTATATTGCTCTTGTCCATTAGTCAATTAAGTAATCAATTTAATTAATAAGAAAAACACTGAACATAAATAATATTCTAAAGTGATACGTATTAATTCATAATTTTTATCTATGACATTATTTCATCCTCTTTTTAAAAAACATTTTTTTTTAATGTGAATGATATTGTAGTTTTTTGATTTAGGATTGCAAACTGAAAAAAAAATAGAAAACTTGAAATAATGCTTTTTTAGTTGTTTAGTTTTTGTCAAAAGAGGAAGGAATATTTATGAAATAATTTGAAGTTCATATACCCGATAAAAATTGCATCAATATATATTTCAAAAAATTCAATTAAGACAATTTAACAAAAGAGGTTATTTTCACTGTTTTCAAACAGTATTATTTTATTGCTTTCAAAATATCAAACTTTACCTATTCAGGAATTTTGTTTTAAGTGAAAAAAAGATAGAAAGAGAATTTATAGCAATCAATTTTGTAAAATCCATGGCTAGTTGATTCTTTTAAGAATTTTCTAAATAGTTTCTTTCTATTAGAGTTTCTATTCAATAAGTAAATGCTTTAAAAAGATTAGTTAGAACAAATATAAATAAATATTTATTTTTAAATAGAATAAATAAAATTTGAAATAAATAAATGAGGTTTGTTTGTTTATTTTAAACAAAAAACAAAAATATTGGATTTAACTTAATTAAAAGTTTTTTATTTGACCAATCACATTGTTTGGTAACAGTAGGAAATGCTAGAACCGAATGATAATAGTAGCATTTTAAACAACAAATAAAAATGTATAATATAATAGATACAAAAGTACAATATAATAGATATCAAATTAATAATTTAAAAAAAGATTACAGAAAAATTAAAATTAGAGAAATAAAGTTCAAAGATCATCAAATTTACCTCACTATATGTTCTATTAAAATGTTATGCATAGTTGTTTGGTTTCCACATTGATTTGATATTTTGAGCACATTAACTCCATCAGAATTGGTTAATGCAAAGTTGGCACCATGTTCTAAAAGCAGCTTCACAACTTCTGAGTGTTTATTTTTACAGGCCTAAAAAGTAAAGCAAATGTTTGAAACCAACCCTTCTATACATCTATAATTACGAATTTTTTTTTATTATTTATCTCATGACATGGATATATGGTAAAAGAAATTTCTACGGTTTGATAAAATACAGCACCCTAGCTCTTATCAATCTCTTAACATTTATAAATATATATTTATGTATATTTATTACTGAATAATGTAAGATTATTTGGCATCTCTTAAAATTTAAATAAATTCAATAAAAAATCATTTTTATCAGTGTGCATAGCCAATACTTTTCAACAAAAAATAAGCACCTTTTAAGCACTCAAATATTTTTAATCACTTTCCAAAAAAAAAGAAAAAAAAAGATGAAGAATTATTATATATATGAGAAATTATAAATTTTTTGTAATTTAGAACGACAATAAACTAAGCACTTTTTACAATCCCAGAATAAAAAAAAAAAGCACTTAAGGGCCTTTAAAAAACGAAAATAAAAAATAAGCACCTTTAAGCACTTTTTAAAAATGCTACACACCCTGTTTATTAATATTTGTTTAAAATCTTTAATTTTAGTGATCATATANAAATTTTTTGTAATTTAGATCGACAATAAACTAAGCACTTTTTACAATCCCAGAATAATAAAAAAAGCACTTAAGGGCCTTTAAAAAATGTAAATAAAAAATAAGCACCTTTAAGCACTTTTTAAAAATGCTACACACCCTGTTTATTAATATTTGTTTAAAATCTTTAATTTTAGTGATCATATACATAAAAAATTTTTAAAAAATTTATCGCATTTTAACCTGCTGTCTTATTCACATAATTTATTTTGTTTTCCAAAATTTTTTCATTTACAAAACTCACATAGGATTAAGCATTTCTATAGCTGCTACCTCGTAGGATCTTTGAGAAATATTTTACAAAATGATAGCAAAATAACAAATTAGGTAGGAGGAATCTTATAAAAATTAAGTTTTTTTGCCAAAACTTTGAAGCATAACCACCCAACTAATAATTATTTTATCTCAGAAACATATATTTGAACTGTTGATTAGTCATGGAGGATAATAAAGTGTTCTTAAAGTTAGTGGCAACAATATTATGCTTCAATATATCATTTGTATTAAAACAATAATGCCACTGAAACTCACAAAAAGTTTCCTCAATAAATGTACGTGTTGGTAGCTATGTAGTACTATTACAACAATTAACAAAATATGTAATCAACACGGCATTATATATTGGGTTGTGAAAGAGTAATTTCGATTTTTCTGGAAAGAGGACTTATTTTAAAGCCACTTTTTACCTAAGCCACACAATCGTTATATAATTTGAAAGCTGATATAGCAAGACTTGCTAGTGAAAAAGCTTGATTCACACAGTAGTATTAGGTAAGCTATAATTACAAATGCTAAATTTACGTGATTTTTTTAACAATATTTTACCACCACACTTAATATGTATTTAAGTTCAAAAAAATTAAAAATCTATATGTAGTTTGTCTAAAGTAAGAACTCCCCTAGTCATTCATCTGGGCCCGCGGATGTGAGGCCTAATTATTTCCAGTAGGGGTGAGGGGTCACTTTTTAGGATAGGTTTTGGCTCAGGTCGGCAAGGGAAAGAGAATCTTTTTCTTTGGTCTATTGTGTTAGCCTTAGAATAAAAAGAAGCTTCTCTCCCTGAAATGAGCTATTCTTGTTTCCATAGTAGCAGGCAGCCTCAGACTTTGTGGCAGGGGGAGTTCTTACCGTATACAAACTATAATTTATCTAAAAAAACATGCAAATTATGATCATCATATATAGATAGAAATATTTAATTATTACCAGCATTAAGGCAGTTTCACCCTTCTGGTTTTGCTTATCTTTGTGAGCATTTGCTTTCAACAAAATTCTTGTAGAATAATATCTGCCCTGTAAAGATTGAATAGCTAAATCAGTAAGAGGTAAACATATTTAGAAAACATATTTGATTGAGGTGAATACATTTGATTAATAAAATAAATTGTTTCTTTTTGCTCTAAAATAAAAAAAATTTTTATTAAGTATATTATATTATATTTTTTATTTATTAATATTTTATTTATTTGTCATGATTAATTTCTAAGAAGCTGTTGATTCCCGCTATTCAAAAGAACTTTGAATGACGATAACGAATAAATTCTTAATAAAGTAATAAACTAAGTAAACGAAAAAAAAGGTATAGTACACATAAAAAAGGATGCTCCATAATTAAATCCCTTAAATTATATCCCTAGTCTCTAAAATAAGTATACAATTAAGGGGTCAAAAATGAATATTTTAAAGAGCAAAAAAATCCAACATATCATTTTTAGAGAAGGTAAAGCTGAAAACATTAAACCTTCTGATTGTTAGAAACACCTCCGTGTTTCATAAGGCAATTAAACTGGCTAGATATTTTTAATTCTGTTTTTCTCTGAAGTGAATTTAAAAAAAAAAAAACCTACCAATTAAAAAAAAAACTATAGGAAGTGATTAAAATATGCAGATGGCAGTTATTAGTCATAGCTAAAACTTTAATTTGCATTTATTATCAGAACATATTTGCAAAATAAATACTTTTATTTTGTCAATTCACGAGAATGACTCGTACAACCTAAATTTATTAATATACTATGACTTTATAAACAGATGTCTTGGTCTTATGTTATAACATGAATTATTTGTGAGAATTGAACAAAACTGAGAACTTGCAACAAATCACGTGGTTGTGTACGAGATGTTAATGTTACAGGCTTGGGTTTATTATCATGCTGAATCAATTTTGGGATCAAATTTAATTGGATATCTACAAGTGATATCGCACATATGTCTTGTACCTGATTGGCTGACCCACTCATAACATAGCTTGCAAATATCCAATTGATGAAGAAAAGGCATAAAAAAAATGAATCAATTTTGTCCTATCAGCTACAAATGAGCCATTTATTAAGGTCATAAATATATACATTTAAAGTTAGTTATAAAAATTATGTTCCCTAAAATAATCTAAAAAAAATATTCATTAACTTTAAATATAATGCTTGCCCTTTCCAGTTAGAAAAAAAAATCAAATTAAAATGAAGAAAAACTGCTTTAATGGAAAAAAAATTCTTTTTTCGATATTTTCACCCTCATAAATAGTTTAAACCAACAGTTCGACTAGTCAGGCATCCACCACTTCATGAAGAGATAGCACAAGAAGTTATGCATTGTTCTCTGGATTTGTTTCAATGGGAAAAAAACCTTCCATTGGTAGAGAAACAGTTGGTGTAATGCAGAGATGTATCAAACAAAGTTTGTTCAAGATACACGGTCAATTAAATATGCTGTTTACACATCCAGACAATTCCATTAACTGGATTAGAAGCTTGAGAGGAATTATTCAAAAATATCTTAATACTCTAGAAAATAGAGAAGAGAAATTTTTAGAAGAATTAATTTTATTAAAGAGTTAAGTAACTTAACATAAAAAAGAGAAAAGGAAATAATTATATTTTCTTAAATATAAATTGCATTCTTATTAATTTATCAATGAATAATTTAAAATATTCACAAGATGAAAACTGAAAATATGTCGAGAGCAACACGAACATTTCAATTAACAAATGCAATTAAAATAATAATATATATATACACTGAAGAGCCAAAAAAACTGGCATACCTGCCTAATATCATGTAGGATCCCCGCGAGCATGCAGAAGTGCCGCAACACGACGTGGCATGGATTCAATCAATGTGTGAAGTAGTGCTGGAGATAATTGACACCATGAATCCTGCAGGGCTGTCCATAAAACAGTGGGAGTAAGAGGGGATGGGATATCGTCTGAACATCACGTTGCAAGGCATCCCAAATATGTTCAATAATGTTCATGTCTGGGGATTTTGGTGGATTTCCGATACTCACGGCATACTCCTGAAGTGGTCGTACGTGAAAATCCACATTTCATTGATATCTCAGAGATGCTATGTCCCATCTCCCGAGCGCCGACTATAACACCACGTTCAAACTCACTTAAATCTGTATAACCTGGCATTGTAGCAGCAGTAACCGATCTAAGAACTGTGCTAGACACTCGTTTTCTTATATACGCGTTGCCGATCGCAGCACCGTACTTTGATTGGCTTTGATTATTTGCATACTCATGCCTGTACCAGTTTTTTTGGCTCTTCAGTGTATATCCTGAGGCAGAATATTTGCAGGCTTTCTGCAACAAACTTCCCTAGCACTAATATTTTGCTTTAAAATACTTTTAATTATAACAATTACTAATTTAAAGTAACAGAAACACTGTGTTTACAGAAGAAAGTAAAGAATAAAAATGCATAAAATTTTAAATTGCAAAAGTAGTACTTTTTAATTCTAATATTATATGCGACATTCTCGCATTTTTTAGGTGAAAAAATGCACTAACTATTTCCTCTTTCGAATTTCGTAAATCATGACACAAATTAAAAAAATTTGTAAATGAATTAAATGATAATAAATTAAAAAATCGTAAAATCAGTGCAGTAGCTCCCAAAATAAACATTACGCGTATAGGACTCTTTAAAAAAAAAGAGAGATTTAAATAAGTGCATGTAAAATATGGAGTTCCTTAAAGAAAAGAAAATGAAAGAACATAATTTGAGCTAACTATCTTTTAATCTTTCGCAATTCCGAATTTTTTATTTTAGATTATTACTATGAGATTCTAGCTGATGCCAGTCAACACAGATTTTTTTAAAAAATCTCAAATGAGAATAGAAAAATTATGATTATTTCTTTCTTCTCTGATGCATAAGAAAGACATCTTTGGAAGAAAAAAAAATTTTTTTTCGAGAAATTATGCGGAAAGGAAAGCCAAAATTTTTCCCTTCCCAAATGAAACATTTTCCTGCAAAAACTCTAACGTTCTGCGACAATGCCACCGTGTGCTGCAATTCTGCCACAGGATATACATATACACACACATATATATGTATGTATGTGTATATATATATATATATATATATATATATATATATATATATATATATATATATATATATATATATATATATATATATATATATATATATATATATATATATATATATATATATATATATATATATATATATATATATATATATATANATAAATATTATTGATAATTATTTTTCATGAAAATGAAAAGTATATATATACACACACACACAAACATATGAATATATATATATTAAAAAAATTCAATGAATAAAAATGAAATATTATAAAGAGGAATAGGTTTTTAATCATTTCAAACCTGCAATGCTTAGGAAGTTTACAGAATTTTTTAACAAAAATAATAAATCAGTCTCTATTAAAAGACATTTGAGATTTAAATTTTTCAGACTTCCATTATTTCTATAATAAGCACTGGAGTTAAAGGCAAGTTTGACCAGGACCATATTAAAATCATATTTAATGATTACATAACATATAAAAAAAGAATAAAATAGAAAAGGCCAAGAGGCAATACTAGAAAAGAAAATTCTAAGTGAAAATGTACAGATAGAAGTGTATACTCAGGGCAGGAAATTTCAGTTTTTAATGTGCTACTCTAACTAAAATGTTTGTATGCAATTATCTTCATGAAAAATGTGGACCATTTTTAAAATGTTAACAAATGTACTATGAAGAACGTTTTGGTGACCAAAACCATAAAAGGATGTAGAAAAATAGAAGCATATTTTATGTGAAATAATAATAATTTTAAAAAAAAGTTTCCATAAGGTTTCAATGATTCTAATATCATAAACATATCATTAAAAAAAGAAAAATATAAAAAATGTTTTAATACTTTTAACACTTCATGTCTGAATACCAACTAAACACCTTGAATAAATAATATAAGGGCTTGTATCAGGATCAAAATATGTCAGGGGAACCATTTATGGAAATTCTAAATAAATCATTCTAGCGAATCTAGAGTTCCATGGTCTACTTTGTAGAAGTTGCAGATTAATATTTTCCCCAGATTTTGAACTAAAGAGCTAGTTCTGAGAAAAATATGGATGGCAATTTGATTTAAAATAGAACATTTTACAAGATAAAACCTGTACCTAGCCCTAATTGTTTGGTAGCCAATGGTGAGTGAAAATTTTGTGTCCTAAGATACTACACTATAGTTTTGTAAGAAAGTAAATAAGGAAAGTACAAAATATTACAGTATAAAATTACTAGATTTATACCTTGCTTGCTTTTAATAAACTGATAGCAATTATGAGTATATACATTTACTTAGACTAACAAAAATATTTTCATAGCTATCAAAAAGGGGATAGATTTACCAAGTGTGCAGCAACCATTAATGCAGTTGTTCCATCACCACGACAACAATTAACTATGTAACCATTTTTGCAGAATCGTTCTACTTTTTCTAACTTCTCGTTGACGATACCATCAATAAGAGAAGAAAACATCTTGGCAACCATTATATTCATTCGCGTACCAGCCTCATTTTGATGCAATTGATTGACTCGACCAGATCTTTGACTAAAAGCAGGATAAGCAGTCTGGAATAACAGGAATTGCATGTTAATATTAAAGAAATTAGGAACTTCATTATTAATTTTAAAAAAATATGTATTCAAATTATGAAGAGCTGTTGGAAAGAATGAAGTAAAGCTGTGGGTTTCAAGCCACCACTGTGGATTTTTGAAAGGAAATGTCAATATAAGAAGCCAGTGTGTTGTAAATTTTTTTATATAAAAATCAGGGTTTGTGATTTTTTTTATTTAAATCGGATTTTTTTTATTTAAATCAGATTTTTTTTATTTTTATTCAAACGCATTGTAAGAACTTTAGTTTATGATTAAAAATACTTTATAAATGTTTAATCAAAATTAAATTAATATGAAAGCAATATCATATTAGCAAACCATAATTTTAATTTAAAATTGTGTTTTTTTTTCTCTTGATTTTTAATATGACAAAATAAATGTAACAGATTGTGTTTATAAATGTAGTCACTCAGCAATATTTTTATATTAAAATATTCATTTTTAATTCTATATCAAAATAGACCAGCTAAAAAATTTTTTTTAAAAATCTATGCACTCATTGGAATTTTCTTTCACAAAATTTCTTTATAGAAAATCTGATGATGTCAAAGATACTGTAAACATATTATGAGAAAAAAATACCAGTTACTAGTTAATAACTCTACTGCCTCAAATAGACTTTGAAAGGGAAGATTGACACTATATCAGGAAAAAATATCTGAATTCATTATCCTTTTTTTTCTTTCTATTTTTGGCATATTAGGGTATAATTATTTTTAATATAACCCCAAGCTTTAGAAATATACATTTTTCTCCAATAACATATAATGTAGATTTTAATACCATGCTGTTTCAATCAAAAGGTGGAATTTTAATTAAGATTATTAGAATTTTTTTCCGAAATTCACGTCTATTAATTACTTTCTACAGCTATGCAAGTCTATATTAAGTCAATATTAAATGCGAACTTTAATCTGCACTTTCAATCTCAAGAATCAAAAGATTTTTAAAAATGCAATTTCAAATGTGTTGGAATTTAACACACACCAAGAAAGAAAGTAATTTCGTTAACTAAAATTAATTAACACAGCAATTTATTTAAAATAAATTTTAATACTAAATTTTATAATAATAAAATTATCAAAAATTTAAAACATTGTTTTTTAACTTTTAAAATCAATATACATATTTAAAAAAAATCAGTTGATTTAAATCAATGATTTTTTTAAAAAAATCATTTGATTTAAATCATGATTTAAATCAAGCTGATTTAAATCAACGAACCCTGATAAAAACACCTAATAATTTTAAGTGTTGATCTTGAAGCACTTAATAGAACTTGTTCTTAATAGGTAAAACAAGCTTGATAAAAATTTTCTCAAGTACCATAACAACTAAAGGGTGGAATAAAGCAAGTCAGTCTTTTATTTAGGATAACTTTGAAAGCCTCTATATTGCTCAACTGGGACTCAGATACGAACAATTTATAATGTTCTAACTCCACTCCCAGATAATAAGACTCTCGTATTTTAATTATAAAAATGAATATTTATTATTAAAAGTATATTAAAGTATTTTAATTATAGAAATTAATTTCTTATATTGTTGTGGGTATGTCATATTTATTAGATAATAAAATAAAATTAATGCTGCATAACTTGATTTGAAACAAAATTAAGTAAATATCTGTGTCTAAAAAAAATATATATATGCATTAAAAGAACAAACATCTTTCATTTTTTTAAAATTTTAGGCTGGAAAAATTCAAAAGACTGAAGAAAAAAAAGATTATTATTAAAAAACTAAAAGAGCTCAGAAACATGGGGAAATTTAAAGATCTAGCTCGAATAAAAATAGCTCTGGAACACTCCAGCTCCCGTTCCTCCTAACATAATGGTTTCCATCAAATAATGATTTTTATCTACATGGAAAAATATTGTTGAATTATCCATCTTTAAAAAGTTTAATAAACTTTTAAATATTCAAGCTATTGTATCTTAAAGTTCATAGAATTTTTTTTCTATAAAAAGGATGTATATAGTTAAAAATTGAAACTCTGCATTTAATTTTAGGCAATCAAATCAACCATACATTATTTTCCTCTCAGAAAAAGTTTCCCTTAAATTAATAAAAAAAATCATTACCATTGAATTTTCTTGCATCGAGATCTTGCAAATTAGTGACTGGCTTTTCCTTCCATCAGTTCCCAAGACTTCACCGCAAGAACTATCTTTACAATTATTCTTAAACACACAATTCATCTTTTCACTTTCAGATTTTAATGAATTCAAGACATATTCAGGAAAGGTAGTCCCTTTCTCGTCATTTATAAGCAATTCTTGCAATATATTAGAACTGCTTAGTCCATTTTCCACACTAAAACTATCATGTTTGGCCAGACTTTTGAGAAGCTTATGTCGTCCATTTTCGTCAATGTTCCTTTTCCTATGAATTCTGCTTTTTCGTCTCCGATAGTCTCTTAATACATCATACTTTTTTCTTTTTCGAACTTGCAAACTTATTGGTTTCTTTAAAGGAGATTTAAAACCCAAACTATCAGTAGTTCTATTACACGGTTTTCTTTTTAACAAAACTTTAGGACATAAAGGAGGTGGTGGGTTTTCTTTCTGGGGAGAGGTTTCTCCACTTTTGCTTGGTTCTCCAGAGTTATTTGTTCTAGCTGCTCTCTCTTTGACTTTGCTATACATGTCTTTTTCATAAACTGCACCAGCAACAGTTATTTTTCCCTCATCAAAATCTCTCCAAAATGTATCTTTAGAATGAGCACCAATCGGTTGTATTTCAGTAGCTTGCCAGGTAGCTGTTGCCATCTTGTTGACTTCAGCCTCCTTGAATAAAAGAAATGAAAATTATAAGGTTTATTAAACTATAAATGTTAGGATAGAACTTATGAGATAGTGAATGACCTAGAACAGTGTTTCTAAACCAGATTTACTCAAAGAACTGGTGAAATATTTCAGAGTTTTGTTGTGGAATGGTAGGGTTAGCAATTTGGACTATTAGCATAATTTTCTCACATGCAAAACTGTGGCACTAAAAAATTTTTTTGACCAGTTTGATCATTCACACACTTCCTGCAATGAAAAATATTTTGACCCTAACTCTGTTTAAATATAAATAAATTTATATTTAAATTCAAATACAATTATTAATCTAAGCAGTTGAGAAAAAATGATATACAAAACTAATAAAATGGTAAAAGAAATTTATTTTAAAAAAAACAAACATTTTTTTATTTGTTTAAATTACAATTTTTTAAAGATAATTATAAGAAATTTACCAAGTTACCCAGAAAAGTCAAAGATAAGTTTCCAAAAGGATTTTTTGACTTGAAAAAAGAACATGAAGTTACAGGCAAAAAAAAATTCTAAAAGTAAGTTTGCTGGTAAATAAAGACATTTTTAGCTTAAATATAAAATTATGCAGATAATCATGCTGACAACTATAAATATAAACTTTAGTTAAATGAAAAAAAAAATTTTTACACCTAATGAAAAAGCTGCATAAAAAAGGTGAAAACAAAAATTTTTTATGCTCTAACACACAATTTTGTAAAAAAAAAGAATTTAAGATAAAATGTTGAGAAATTTTTTATTGAAGTGAAACTTCTAATGCGACTTCCAACAAGGTTGCTTTGAAGGTTTAACGCTACCATGGCAACGAGCGGCCTGTGATCCTTGCATGAGATTTTAATGTGAATTTCTCGTTACCTGAAGCTGAAACATTATTAACCTTCCTTAACCTTTTGGATTGGAAATGATAAATGGTAGGAATGATCCAATAACCAAAGGAGGAACTACCATTGATGCAGTTTTTGCAAGAAATATTGAAAAAATAGAACTCAAACATTTCGTATCCTACTTTAGTTATCACAATCCCATTGTAAATGTTATAGATTTGGATATTTCTCCACTCGAAAATGATAATTAAAAGATGCGATCAATTGTGAATTGTAAGCAATGTTAATAAAGTTTGTCTTAAAGAAACAATATGATTTCACTAAAAATCAATTTCTACCCCTTCCTATTTTCATTTCCACATTACGAAGTTTCACTTCTTCCGCGTGGAGGGACTCCACGCACTATTTTTTTTATTATAGTTTTGACATAAAACTAAGAAAGGGGTCTAATTTTTATAATACGATACTTAAATTTTTAGTAGATGATTATTTCGGATTTTAATAATTATGTTTATTGCCACTATCCACTGCAGGTTCACAAGCTCTGGCAGACGTTACTGGTGAAGAAATTGATTATTGTAAGCGGCCAGTGATCCTTGCAGGAGATTTTAATGTGAATTTCTCGTTACCTGAAGCTGAAACATTATTAACCTTCCTTAAAGACAAATTTGGATTGGAAATGATAAATGGTAGGAATGATCCAACAACCAAAGGGGGAACTACCATTGATGCAGTTTTTGCAAGAAATATTGAAAAAATAGAACTCAAACATTTCGTATCTTACTTTAGTTATCATAATCCCATTGTAAATGTTATAGATTTGGATATTTCTCCACTCGAAAATGATAATTAAAAGATGCGATCAATTGTGAATTGTAAGCATTGTTAATAAAGTTTGTCTTAAAGAAACAATATGATTTCACTAAAAATCAATTTCTACCCCTTCCTATTTTCATTTTTGTTACATTATTCTTACATTTAAAACCAAAAAGGCTTTTTTTCCCTTTAAACAAAATTTAACATCTACGCATTTTTTTAATTTTTTTTATCATAGAGCATTAAACACCATGTTTTTTTCTTGTATTACTATTCAGTACAACATTATTTAATACATCATATTACATAGCTAATATATAACAAACCCTTTACTGACTTTTAATATTCAGTAAATCTCTTAGTAAAAGACCAAATAATAAATTTTTGATAACCTTATTCATTTAATTTCAGATAATATATTAAACATCTTGTCTCTGTGTAAGTTCATAAAGCAAAAAATGGTTATTACTTTCTATTTTATAATATGCTGTATCCTAAAAAATTGGTTCAGTATACTCCTGCATATATATTCAACAAAATTTGTACATAAATCTAACGAACTAGTTTCTTATTGAAAGAAAAATGTCTTGAAAGTAAATTTAATCAGTCAAAATTGAATTGAATGAAAAATTTAATGGCACAACAATGAATAAAAACAGCTAGCTATATTGCATCAAATAATTTTATATTAAAAAACTTAACCATGACATCAAAATTTAAACTTTACTTGATGCAAAAACAGTATAGTTATATATATACACACGTATATACATATAACTAAGAATAATATAACTAAGAATAATATAATGAATATAGAATATATGTTACGGTTAAAGTAATAAATCTGGTTATTATTAATACTAATACAATTTCAATACAATAATACTAAGACAACTTATTAATACTAATACAATAAATCAGGTTATTATTAATAATAACATATTATTAATACTAATAGAAGTAATAACTCCTTTTTTTGATAAAAGTGAGAAATATCACAAATTATTCACTTTAGCCAGTTAATTCATTTAGCCATTTTAATAATAACCAATGAAGTTTAGTCAATGTGATTAATCGGACAAAATTGATAATAACCGCATCTTTGGTCAAAGTGAGAAATAAAAATGCGAAAGAATGACATTGATCAAACTTCAGGTTATTATTAATAATAACCAGTTAGAATTAATAATAACCGGCTATTCACATTGACCATAACATACATATATAAATAAAAATTTTCTTTCAAATATCAGTGTTTTTTTCCTTGCATTATTTTAACAGTAAAATCAGTATTTAAAATCAGAGCAATAATTATAAAAAAAAGTAAGATTCCAGATTGACCTTAGTGTAAATTGAAGAAGAATTTTAACAGAAGATTTTAAATGTTACACATAACATTGAAAACTTTATATATCAAATTTATTTTAAAATTTAACAAAATATACTTACAGTGTTAATAGGCTCTTTTGAAATTGCTTGTGTTTTCAGCAACTTTTTACCTTTCTTTCGCTCATGCCTTTCTTTCAATTTCGCTTCCAGATCTTCAATCATATCTTTACAAGAAAATAGATTTTCTTCGGGCTCCAAGGTGTCGCTTTCTTTTCCATAACCTCTCCATCTAACTCTGTAGAGTCTTTTCCCCTTAAAAATAAATTAAAATCCATAAATTCAGCCGAAATTTTTTTTCCCCACAACACCATATGTATTTTAAGTTTCTTTAATTAATAAATAACATGTGAACAATATAAATGGATAAAATGTACAAAAAATTGATGTATAGTAAGTTATAACAGCCATTTTAATTTGAAATAACCTTAATACAGAAATATTCATTCCAGTGCATTTCATAAATTAACGTAAATTGTCCATAATGATATTTTAACGGTTTTCTGCACTATTAACCTTTTAACCACCAAGGTACAAGATACAAGGTATAAAAACTCATATAAGTTTTCTTGGCAAATCATGTTTTTCTATTGCATGGAAAAATAAATAAATAACTAGTTTTTTGCATAGGAACCCAAGAAACAACCTTTCCAATTCAGCCCCAAGTTTGTGGTAGAACATATTTTAAGATAAAAAATATAATAAAATAGTATCCTCTTTTTCAACCTTTTGGAATAATGAAAAGTACGAAGTAAGGAAAGATAGTTTAAAGTTGAGATTTTTTTAAAAAAATTAAAAAATGGTAATGCTTCTTTTTGAACATTGTATTTAAATTAAACATATTTAATTATGCTGATAACTTTAAATTAGATTTTAAATCTAGCTTACAAGTTCTAATTTTTGTATTTTATTTTTTTCTTTCAAGATGACTTAATTAAGTTTAAGGACAATGGAATAGTGTAATGTCTTACACTATTTAATTAAAATTATTATATTACTGCAACAAAATGCAAATAAAAATTATGAGAAAATGATACTTCCCAAGAAAAGAATTTACAAACTAGATTGCAAATCTAGTTAACAAATTACTATTTGAAATTTTTTTTTTCATGAACTGACTCGATAACCTTTAATAATGAAAATTGAATTTATGTACTATGACACACTATTTAATTTAAAACATATTTGAAACACAATAATATAAAAATATTTAGTATTAGACTAGATCTCGTTATTTCCCAAGAAAATAACATACAAAGCCTTTGGGCTACAAAATGACCTAATTTATAACTTAAATCTGTATTAATTGTCCTTGTAAGAAGGTCACAATTAAAAAGGGTCCATTTGTCTTTTGAAAAACTGGTAACTTGGCCTGTGCACTACCAAAAACATTGATACGGTTTCCAGCCAATAGCCAGAATTTCTACTCAGGATATGCAAAATGAGAAGGAGGCATTATAAATTTTTTTTATTTACAATTTGCTAGTCTTGATGAATTAATTTATTTGATATAATGTTAATAAGTTATTTACTAAACATTAGTATAAATAAATATAAATAAAAATTATTAAATAACTAATATTTGACTAATTAATATGTTATTTATGATTATTAATATAAATATACTAATAAGCATAAATAACATATTAATTGGTCAAATATTAAATTTATTTAATAATTTTTTTTAAAAATCTTATATGGAGGGGATAAATGACACTACTAGATGGGGCTGAGCATTCCTTGGCTATGGGCATATATCATTTACAATAATTTGGGCATCATATTTTAGCATGATAACTATTACAATAGTACTTTAGCCAGTATGTACACATAGAAAATACATAAAATTCCAACTTAGCAATTAGCATTTAAAGATAAATTTAAGTAATAAATTGATTTTAGATAGAAACAAGACAAAAATTGAGAGCTGAAGCGATTTTATAAAGCTTTTTCAATTGTATACTTTTAAATCAAGAATAAAATTTAATTTGAAGTATTCCAAATTCCAAGTTAGACAAGCGTGTATAATAAGAATTTTTAAGAAAATTTTAAAAGTGCATGCATAATAAGAATATTTTAGAATTCGGACAGTGCAAGTATAAAGATTTTTTTTAGAATTCTAGAAATGTAAGGATAATAAGAGTAACAAATAATAAGAATTTAATTTTTACCAAATTTTATGCACTAAGAGCTTATGTAAATTAGTCTATAAACATGTCTCAAAACTTTGTTATTATTTCTTATACTTGAATAATAAATACTTTGAATATTAGAAATAATCACATAAAACTCAAACAACAAATAATAAGTGCAAACTGAATGCTGTACATTTCAATGAATATAATTTTACTGTAATTAATACAATACTATATTTTATTTTTAAATGTTACTATCTCAGTACACAGCTTTTTGATGCATAATTATAAAGTTTATGAAAATAGATACAAACATAGTAAAATATTGAAACCAGGATTACAAATATTTAACTACAAATTTTATTATTGTGTCAAATAATCAAATTGGTATAATGAAAAACTCTAAAGTTAAAATTCATCAATTAAAATTTCAATCCCAGCTCACTAAAATTTTAAATTATGAATCTGAAGAAAAAAAATCTAGTTTATCTACCCATGTGAATAACAATGATCAAATTTCCTGGGGGATCGCATTTCGCAATGCAATGTTTGCAAACCAAATCTTATCGATTTTTTACTCTAAGACAGACAAATAATAAAAATGCATTTCCTATGTAAGTAGAAGTTTGAAATACATATTAACGGCAGGATAATTCATTCTAGAATAGAAGGAACATTATTGAAATGTGAATAAATTTTAAAAACAACACTTTCAGATGACAGGAGATAATTAGTGAGCAGACGATAACACAAACAAACATAGTTGGGTATTTATGTTTATAAAAATAGCATACCTTCACAGTTTTAACGCCTACAAGTTTCTCGACTTCGTAAACATCTCCTTGAATTACGAATAGTTTAGGTTCTGTTTCAACCATCTTTTGTAATCTCTGCCTTTCCTCAACCAGCTCAGCCCCCTGGCATCTAGAGCCCGACGAAGCTTTTATCATCAACATCAGCGCATCTTTGCTGAACAGAGCCTGCTGTCAAACTCTAAAATCCGAACGCGAAAAAAGAGCAAAAGCTAGACAGGCGACGAGCGAACACCCTCAACGCAAAATGGAACCGCTCTCCGTTTTGTCAGGTGGTTTACGCACTGAAATTTCCATGCTTGCAGGTGAACTTAACCACTTTCTACTTGAGGCCCTAGTAACATGTCGACGGGTAAAAATGCCTCGCAGTCTAAATTCGCGGTGTCATCGCACTTTATATGAACACATTATAAAAATTACAAGAGCATTTTGGAACACTCTTTTATGACTTGTGTGATCGGTTAACCGTAATAAAATTGAGTTTTGTCATATTCTTTAAGGTTGAAAATCGTTATTTGAGATACGGCACTCGAGGAAGATGCAACCAGGGAAAATATTCATTAAAATATTTTAAAATTCATTTTTTTCTCTATTTGTATTTCTGAAAAATATTTTAAAATGCACATCAGAAATTTTCACAAACGATTTCAATTATTTACCTTACAAATTTTGATGAATATTTTAAATTTTTCAACTTTGTTTAGATTTTAAAATATTAAAAAATGCATTAGTAATCATGCTTTTTTGAATTTTTTTTTTATTAAATATGAAATTATGGTAAAAGCACATAAGAAAAAAATTAGTAAGTTCTAGGGAACTATAATTGTTTAATTTTCCATTGAAGTTTTCTTTTAATTAAAATCAATAAATAACTTATAATAGTTCTTAAAAACGCGACCTATGCGTTCAATATACGAAGCAGAGTAGATTACACTTTATAAACATTATTTGTAATTAATAAAAAATTAATCTAAAAGCAAAATGCAGTTTTTAATTTATGGGATTTCCAGGAGTTTGCAAATGTACCTCTTTGGTCTAAACCGCTGACTTTTTTAACTGATTCTCATTTAATCTTCCATTTTTAAAGTATGGAATTACAATCTGACACATATTTTTGTCATACGGAGTAAATATAAATCTATACTTATTTCAATTAATAAAAACTACAGTAAGCAATTATTTTATTATTCAAAGCTTTTTGTCAGCGTTAATAAACTTTAAACTGCGGGCATAAGAATTATTGTCCGCCTCTATTTAAGAACAAAATATTAAATCTAATATTCAGGAGAAAAATTCCGAGAAGTGCAATTCCGCATTTGTATAATAAGCAAGGAATAAGAAAAAAAAATATGCGCACTAATTTGAGAAGAAATCAAAACTGGATTTTTAAATTTAAATTTCAACTTAATCTTACTTATATGTGGCATGTCACATTAAACTATTGACGCTTTGAGTGTAATGAGAAATCTTGATTCGAGTTGAGATTGACCTTATTTGAGTTGATAACGTAAAGAAGAAAAAAAGAAGGGGGCGGGGGGGGAGGCTCAAATCAAGTATGATTAAATCCTAAACCCTACATCCTGATCGATTAATTCTACAAAAAATTGTGCGCAGGTTAATAAACTTTAATCTGAGGGGGCATAAGAATTATTATTCTATCTAAAAACACAATATTATTAAATCTAACACTCAGAAGAAAAATTCTGACAATTGCAATTTTGCGTTTGTATAATAAGCGCAGAATAAGGAAAATAATATTTACACCAATTTGGGAAGAAATCAAAACTAAATTTTTGATAATGTATATATTTGAGGTTTAGGCTGGGTTTTAAAATGAATCACTTATTGATTCACATGATCGAAAATTGCGAATTTATGAACATATTTTCTTCGAAAAATTTTGCTTAAAAGAAGAAAAAAAATCGATCAGCAGGGACTATATCTTGATTATTATAAATGACAACATATGCAAACAATATAAGTAACATGAAATTTTTATTTGAGCAACACTGATTATTTGATGATAGGTTACACAGCTAAATTAGGGAGCATTTTTATGATCAATATTTAAAAATGCCATTTAATCTGTCAGCATTTAAAAAAAAAATCGCTTTTTAAAACTTTATTTTTTTTGATGGTCGAAATTTCATGTAGTAAGTGTCAATCTTAATTATTCAAAGTATCACTTTCAAATTCCTTACTTAATTAATTTGTGCTAATTATTCATAAATATCAGACACAATATACTTTCTCTGAATTATAAGAATTTTCTTTTTATGACAGATTTATATTTTTAACGATAAAAATGTGAAGAGGGAGGGGGTAGTTTCACTTTTTACCATATCTAAATCGTTTTTAAAGCAAATCGAAAACTTTTCTCAGACACTTATAAAATTCATCTATCTAAAGATAGTTGCAAAAAATAATTTTTAATTATTATTTTTATTGCTTTATTTTATGTAGACCAAAATTTTTTGAATAGTAGGATAAGCAAATTTTCACACCGTGTTAAACTATGCAATTTTTAATGATAAAATACAAAATTTGGACAAAAACGGATTAATAGTTTCGTTTTTTTTTTTTTTTTTTTTTTTTTTTTTTTTTTTTTTTTTTTTTTTTTAACAGATTACAATTTTTATTTATACAAAACCATTTGACATGCTTATGTAAGGATACCACCCTGGAGTTCGTAAATGTTTTTAAAAAATTTATGGAAAATAATAAATGGAAAATAATAAAAATAATATGGAAATAATATGAAAAAATATGGAAAATTATTTTTAAAAAATTCGAACTATCAGAGAAGTTACAGAATTATGTGACATACCGTAGTTTTCTCAAAACTTCAGATAACTGAAATTCTCTACCATGTAAGACAAAATATTTTAATATGTTTAATTTTGAATTTCTTTTATGAACGAGTTTATCTTTTTATGCAAAAAAAACCCTTATGTTTAGAAAAAATTTAAAAAAATTCTACGCTACACTGTAGAAAATTCGATTCTCATTTTACAAAATACAAATCAAACGAATAGTTTCTGTGGTACTAACTGAATGGCTTGAAAACATAGGTCCGAAAAACTACAAAAGAAATTGGATGATTTGTATGACCATTTCTGTAGAGAACACAGTAACTGTTTCCTCCCCCCTCCCCTCAATAAGTTTTTGAAAGAATGCTAAGAAGAATGAGGAATTTTCCACATATTTCATTTTGTGCTATAAACAAGATTTATTAAAAATGACCCTGCCCCCTCCAAAAAAATTATCTTATTTCGCCTCTTTTCTTTCCTTATTAAATCCCAGTTTGGTGCAAGAAATTTATTGTAAGGTATTATCATTTGTTATTGAATTCTGTCTAATAATACAAAATAATATTTGTAGAAAATCCCCTATCATTTTGAGTTTTCCTTTAAAAAGTATGAAAACAGTTTTAAAAATTGCTTAAAATTTTTTAAATTTTCAAGATATTCAAATTGGATTTTATATGCGATATTTAAATTACTTTTTTCATTAGTTGTTAAATACGGTTCACTACAAAATTAAAAAATTAATTTTTTTACCATTTACCATGCATACGCAATATAAAAGAACTAGTTTAATTGCTCACATCTTGCTCAAATTTAAACGAATTTTTCTCAAATTTCAAAGCAAAAATTTTGTAATTAGTTTTAAATTGCTCTAAAAATTTTGTTACATTTTATTGAATATTTTACAGCAGAAAAAAAAACATAAGACAAAAAAACTAGTTTTTTTTTTTATAAAAATGTCCATATCTCCATAAATATTTAAGCTAGGAAAATAACAATAAAATAACAAAAATTATATATGTATCAATTAATTGAGATAAATTAATTGGATATAAGTTAGTTAATAAACTGGATATAAATAAAAGAAATTACTGGATTAGAAATGAAAACCAGGTGATAGCACATTCTATTTTGGATATTTTTGATAATAGTGGGTTAGATAAAACGACTATAATGGAGTTATGTAAAAAATGCAGTTGCTCACATATTTCTACCAATATCGCATATTCAGCAACATTGCGTGTTAAGTATTCAATTAACATGTAGCTACATATGAGAGCACCTACTGATAATTGCTCTTTAGTTAATCTGCAGAGGACAATTTGGAAAAGACAAAGCTATTTAACTTGGAAGGAAAATTGATTTTCGGCATTTAAAGCTGATATGTTTTCAAAGTGAAAATCCACATGAATGAACAAAAAGGTTACAAATCTTTAAAAAAAAAAGTGATAAAATGCAGGGGTCTGTCCAAGCCAAATTTACTACCGTTTAGCGGTACCTTCACAAATTCAACTTTAGGAAAAACGGTAGATAAATACTTACGATATATTTATAAATACGGTCACAAAATACTTGTACTTAAAATTTTATTTTTGTGCCTTGTAAGAAACGATAAATTCATATTTTTGTGTTGATTTTTTAATATAATTTTTAATTTTCACAAATTATGTCTACCTCTCAGAAAAACCTAGACAGATCCCTGAAATGTGAGAAAAGAGACTCACTCCACAACTTGCAATGGTAACAATAAATTTTAATTGATTGCAATATTTTCTATGGGTTAAATATAAAAGGCTTTTATAATGCGCATTGAATTCATTTTAATACATATTTGAATCCATTATTTTGACTAATAATAATGGATATGTAATTGTTTCTACATAGTTTTACTATTCTTTCATAAGTTCAAAAATAAATCAAAAGGAATAATAATAAAAGAAAACTTCAGAATACGTAAAAATTGTCAATAATGTCATTGTTTGCAATAAATGAGGCTTACTTCATTATTTAGAATTAATGCAAGCAAGCAATACATTAAGTAAAAAATCGAATTTGACAGGATAGGGATCTTATTTTTTTAAAAACTCTTCCAATTTCAGGAAATTTTCTGAAATATACAAATTCTAGGAGAGCTTTTAAGTTCAGCAAGGAAAGAAGAAGAAACTAGCAAAATCCAGTAAAAATTTCAACTATACTTCCAAAACTATATATCTGAAAACGTATGGATTAAAAAAACTTTGTAAAATACACAATGATTATTTGAGTTGAGAAAATTTTTTTTTAATAATTTGTGAATTATTAAATTTTTTGTGAATTAAAACTTAAAACAAGAATTGAAATTTAAGGTAAAGTTCCAAAATAAATATTTTATTAATTAAACATATTTTAATAAATTTTACAATAAGTTTATAAAAATAATACCACAGTTCGAAACAATATTGCTCCGCATTGAAATTCATACTTTAAAATACAAATTATGAAACATGTATAAGTAAACATATTGTATGCACAAAAATTTATCACATAATGCATTTTTTTTTTGTACAATGCAATTAGTTTTAAAAATACTTTATAGGTGCA